TGCAGTTCGCGCACACACACACACACACACAGTATATGGGGGAAAAAAACATGTAAACAAAAGCATTCTGCATCTACCGGGTTACACCTGACGGCTCAAATCTTCTGTATGTGTCAGATTTAATCCAACTTTTTTTATCCAAAAAATTATTCGTATACGGAGAAAAAGTAAGGGTTGCAAACTGTGCAAACAAGAAGAAAACATAGACAGGAAGTGGCTTCTCTCTAACTGTCAACACTGCTCCCGCATACCACGACTTGTTTGAATGTCAACACACAAGCGTTCATTCAGATTTGCTCACTTCCTGTCTTTCAAGGATTTTACTCACACACACACACACAATACAGTGTGCACACCCCTTCCCCTCCACCCTGTCATGTTCTGCCTGACCTTGCTACTGGAGCTGCTTCTGCACTCGCATATCTCTCTCTCTCTCTCTCTCTCGCTCTCACACACACACACACACACACACAAACACACAGACAACAAGCAGCATACCAACACCTCCGCTTACCTTCCATGGCAAAGTTCTCGTAAACCTCCTCATTGTGGATGTTTAAAACCGGCATGATCCGACTCTTCTCTCCGCTCTCCTGTCTTCATCCACTATCAATCCACTCTGCCTCCCCCCCCTCCTCCTCCTCATCACTCCCTGTCCCGTGACTCTGGCCCTGGCTTTGAACTCAGCTACACTTAACTCTGGCTGGATCACTGGATTCCCTCTCTCACTCTCTCTCACACACACACACACAGTCAGAGCTGTCTGATAAACACAAGCAAAGACAAACAGACACAATGACAACACTGTACCGAATAATATCCACACTAAATCCCTGTGATTTGCGCTGAATAAAAAAAACGTAATTCACACACACACACACACACACACACACACACACACACACACACACACACACACACACACACACACACACACACACACACACACACACACACACACACACACCATCTGCTCACTGATGTTGCCACAGGCTTGACCAATCAAAAGAGAGCAGACAGAGAGACACATAAAACAGAAGAGGTACAGTTTGTCCATTTTGAGCCGCCAAACGCTGAAGTGAAATACAAATACAAACACTTACTCATGTAGCGGAACGTCTCCTCGGCCAGTATGGGGGAGATGGCACTGTGCGGGCCGGGGCCTTCGTCCGGAGAGCAGCTCGGTGAGACCACCCAGTCCTGGCTGTCTGACAGGTAGACGGAGCCAGCCGAACCAGAGCCCAGCGAGCCGGAGCCATAATGCCTCCCGCTGCTGCCCAGCCCCTCATCTGTGGGTTGGAAGACAGAAAAAGTATAATCCAGGATCCATTTCATTATTATTACTTTCACTGCTGACAAATCAAGCATTTCTTAGTTTAAATAAATTGTCTTCTATGTTGTAAATTATGACCAACAACTGACATTAAGCCATGTTGTCATATGTATACTCTAATTATTCCCCTGCTGGAGGCCATAATAATCGGCTATAATAATACTGTAACACAGGTCACTCATTACAGTGAAAACAAAGCAAGGTTTCACCATGTTATCATGCACCACAATGAAAATACGAAGTAAATGAATGATGGGGGATGCTTTTATTTTGTTAAACCAGTGCAGCTCTGGTGAGATGAAGAATGTCAGACTGCAGTGAATGTGTTTGGAGAGCAACTGTGGGCTGATGAAGCATGTGAATGTATGTGTGTGAGAGTGTGTGTGTGTCTGTGAGAGTGTGTATGTTCTTGGCTCAGGCACTGTACAAGCCGGTGTCCTTCCACTTGAGCAAACATGTGGTTCACTGGGACAGATGGGGCTAACTATAGCATCGAGCCCAAAGACACAGCATACTGTACTTCAGGGCAGCATGACATTGGCAGAGCATCGTTTTAAAAATGTACAGACCCCTCACGGTTACCACACTGCGGCCTTTGAGATGCTGACCGGTAATGTTGCATGCTACAGCGCAGACACACTACCTGTCTCCGTGCTCGACTCCTTCTTCTCCACCGCCCGGGATTTGGCTTCGAACATGTTCTGTCCTTGGAGCGGGAGGGGGTCCCCGCTCGCAAACACAATGCTGGACAGAAAATGGCTATCGCTGTGACATCACATCCTGTTGCTGCACTGATGGGGTGGTGCCCGCACACACCTTTACCTGAGGGGAGAAGTGAAAGACATCAAAGAGGCAGTGAGGATAAGAGAACTCCACAAAAGGTTCACGATGACTTTGCTCATGTTTACGAGCCAAATTAGGGCCAATAAAGTGTAATAAGTGGAGTATTTGTGTTGCTTATAATCAGTGTGTGTGCACTGAGCATCTCTGACTCCAGGCTGCTGGCAACATTCATCATTTCTCTCTGCTGCTCTCCTTCTTTTCTCCTTCTTTTCTCCTTTCCACTTGGTTGCTGACATTTAAAGCCTGATGAAAAAAAACATTCCTCCCACAGCGTTTGCTGTTGTGAATCGCTGATTGTCTGGCATCTTCTTTGACAGATTTTAAATGGCACTATTAAAACTCCATCAATCAACCTTTAAAATCTCAAGAAGCTACAAGATGCATACTTCATGCAGTCTTCCTGACAGAGATTTTTGAGATAGATAATTTGCTGACAAGGACAAAGCGGGCCAGCTGCTATAAACCTGATGCATTTTAATTTCCCTCTTATGTGCCACATACTGTTTTAAGGGAGGGCCGAGGGGTGAGACAGAGCCCTCCCACATCCTGTTGCCTCTCTCTAGAGGACTGAGACAGGATGCACGCTCTTAAAATGGGCTGAGCTCCCAGATCCAAGACATTTCTGTACAGTATGCGAGTTTCTCTTTCGATAGTCTGTCATGCCCAAGTGGCGATCAGTGTTCTTACTCACACATTTCTTCTGATCAAAACAAACCGCTGCTGCTGGAAACGTTAAAAACATGAAGTAAAGAGGGAACTGCAGCAATGAATTATTGTACTTCCATAAAGTTGGGACGCTCGTGAGAGACAGACTTTAAAAAAAACAATGCTCAAAATCAAAGCAGCAAAAGGTCATAAAGCCAACCATCCATCTGCATGCAGACCTATCACATGCATATCTGCGTGTGTGTGTATCTGTAAGTGTGCCTGTGGAAAAGACAGTCCTTGGGTATCATCCATCCTCTGCTTACATAACACTGAAGCTCAAACTGTTTGCTCCATAAAGGAGATTACTGTGAGGCACGCAATGCTAGAGCCTAAATGTGCCTTTTACCATTAGAGGCCTGGCAGATATACTTCACTGACCCACTAATGATTCTGGTATTGACTGCCTGATGTTGGAATTATAATAGTCACATTCACAGGAGGGCTAGGAACAACTGTATGCACAAAATATTGCGAATGTCATTCATCTTTTAATAGTTACTGACATCAGTATGAGCAGGGTGGAAAGAATTCTGCATCCATTATGTTCGTACTGATCATGGCATCAACTCTCAGATGAGAGCTTCTTCTTCTTCCTGATTTAAAATGAGCTAGGCTGATCTTGGCCAAGTGCCTGTGAGTCATCTCATGAGCAACATTGTCAAATCCAGCTTCTTGTGTATTATGATACAGCCTGTGCTTCTGATTTGGATCTAACATATTAGAAATTAAGTAGCAAGAGCAAGAAATCAAATTAAATGTGTGGTTTTATTGACCACACACACACACACACACACACACACACACAAACCATTTCCTTTGGCTTGAAAACAGTGGAGAAAATTCTGACCGCAATCTGGAAACCATGACTTATTGTGGGTGACAGATTATTGCACATTATGAAGGGGCAACACATCAGCAGCACAGCAGCGAGACAGCAGCCCCGACAGTAACTCTGTTACACAAAGCGGCATTATACACAACACTCGTCTGTCACAGCTGTCCCAGAGCGACTGTCTGCTTGCATCAGCTTTTTGCAGACTTTATCTCCCTTCATGTCTAATCTAACTACGCATTCAGCTGATGCTCTTATCCAGAGTGACCTACAACAAGTGCAGCAGCAGAAATGTCATTATCTGCTATAAGCCGAGGTCAAAACAAATAATACAGGGCCAAAATCTACAAGATATTTCCCTCCACACCTGAAAATCCACCAAAGTATGGAAAGATATCCTTCCTACCTTTAATTTGTTACTTGCCTTGCTTCTCTGTGTCCTATCACAGCATCTGCACTCAACCTAGATCTAAACACACTGGACAGGGCCTGAGGGTTCGCTTCAAAAGAAATAGGACATGGGCATGTGACACTGACTGGACCACTTTAACTGCATAACCAGAAACCTCTGACTGGAACATCAGCAGACATTGGCCCAAAAGACGAAAACAATGCAGCTTAATGTAACACCCACCTACCACATCATGAAATACCCATCAGATCACACCGGCTGCGTCTAAAAGATGCTTTACTGCTCAGTAAACGTACACACGAGTTAAAACACGATGATCTGGATAAAACTGTACAACTGGAGAAATTGTTTGTGACACCTACAGTCACCTCCCACCTCGGTATAGTGTAATAAACGTAAACACGTCTCGCAGGCGAAGCTAACATTTACCGCCACATGCACATCAATCCACAGGTCAAACGTGAGTTCCCGTTAGCTCTCGGTCCTTTAATCAAAACCCACCGGGAGTTAAGACCTCCTGTTACATCTGTGCAGTGTTTAACGTGAGCTAACCTCAATATGTTTCCCTGTGCTGGCCGAGGAGGAGGAGGAGGAGGAGGAGGAGGAGGAGGACAGCTTCACCGTCGCTGGGCTAACACTAGCATCGCGAGCTAACACTGCGGGGACTACTTCACTTAACTTACAGCTTTATAGAACATTAAAAACACCCCTGTTTGTTGTTGTAAACAATAAAACTTACCGTATATCGGTGTTATTCCACGGCTACACGCGGCTTCCGTCCACCCTTCAGCTGAAACCTACAGACAATAAGAGGCAGCGTCGTCACCGTGCGACAGCGAGCTCCGTGACGTTTTTTATCAGGCGCCCTGAAGTGTCTGTGTCAAATTAAAAGTCCCGTCACGAGAGGCTTCGCGGTCCGGTGGAGAAAGTTAAACTTCATTTTATTTTGTCTTTGCGCAACCCGGTTTAATGTGGACTCTTTAAGTTAGCAGAAGGGGGGAACTTTAGGACACCGGACTCTAATCCGTGTTTGTACGTTGTTTACGTCGAGAGGAGGAAGGTAAGCAGCGTCTGTTGATGACGGCGTTAATTCAAACCAACACAACAGGAGCCCCGCTCTACGTCAGCGCGGTGCGTGAACCTTGTTACCGACATTAGTGAGCCTCGCTGCTCTTCAGAGTTCAAACAAACATAAACGTGATAAAATAACGGGACCGTAAACGAGATAATTAGCCTGTATGTGCGCTAACGGACATTAACGGTCATTAACGGACATTAACGGACATTAACGGTCATTAACTGACATTAACTGACATTAACAGTCATTAACTGACATTAACGGACATTAACGGTCATTAACTGGCGGTTTTGAATCATAAACCGTCCTCTGATTAAACTAAAATGGCTGCAGTTAATATAACCTTGAGGTGGAGTTTGTTTTGAGTGTTACGGGATTATTACGTTTGGAGGCTGCACTGCACCACCGACACTACCTCGTACTATCATCGTAAACACAGACAGCTGAATTAAATTAATAAATTCACCTCCTATCGGGAGCCCCTGTGTAAACAAACACTGTCTCCAGGTTTTCATTCACAATTCCTCCCCTTCCTCCCTCTGATGTCAGTCTCCCGGACTGGGAGGAGGAGGGAGGAAGAGGAGGAGGGGGGGGTCTCTGTTGGTGAATCTCACGTCGCTCCCTCACATCTGTAGATCAGCTGATGCAGCCAGGTGAACTGCAGACGGATGGATGAATGGCTGAAGTTGGACGGACGCTTTCTAGTCTAGTGGGGGATTCGCTGTTTGTCTCGTATTGCACCGCTGCACCTCCTCCTCCTCCTCCTCCTCCTCCTCCTGTGTCCCTCCATCGCGGTCGGTCTCCTGCGGCCTGTGAGCGGATGAATGCCAGAGCCTGTGATTTTACCATCGCCAAAAGGACTCCATGTCTTTCTTGGTAAGGATGTCACGCTGCATGGATTTAGCTTTTCTATTGTTTTGTGGCCCGGTAGATGTAAGTTATAGTCACGAATCATTTGGCTCATGCTGATGCCTCTGGTGGGATGTGGCAAATTTAAATCAGCTTTTAAAGTGTCTCAATATCAGATGATCACATTTCTGAGTTTTATGACCTGTCAGATATTCTTTAGATAAATTATGAAAGGTGTAACCCCTTTTACATATATATATATATATATAAATATAATGGGCTAACATAGATTGGATACATCCAGTATTATATTGGCTCTCTGTGCATCCATCATATCTAATGGGCTCATCTAATAATGTATGCAGCTCTTATCTTGCTCTGTTGGGACACACCAGTCAGTCAGCTGCCTCTGTGTTGTTGCCTGTTGTCATCACTTTAATTCTCTTTTCCACTCACCACTTCTGATAAAAAAAAAAGCCCTCTTAAGTGCCTCCACAGCCCATATTCCCCCGATGCTTGCTTCTCTACCACATCTCCGACCCTCCCAGCCTCCCCACAGGCGGCGTATCTGTCACCCTCCACTCCCAAGCTCCATGTTTCCCTCTCCACTCCTCCTTGTCCTGCCGGGCATGTCTCACCTGTGCTCCTCCCCCCCTTCACCAGGACTGTTCCTGCATCTCCCACGCTCAGGTCCAGCCCTTGGACATAGAGGAGCGCTATGAGGACACCAGCCACCAGTTCCTGGTCAGTAGCCAATACACTGTCAGCATGGAGACAGGTGTCACACTGAAGCTCTTCCATCATTTCATCACTATTCATTTATCATCTGTGTGGAGCTGCTTAACCCTTACCTTAGAGACAGTAGCTACTGGATTAATATCGCAGCTGTTAGAGCTGTTGGTAACTCTTAAAGGGGTACTCCATCTGTTTAACATTGGGGGACTCACAAGAGACAGATTAAAGCAAGAGCAGTCACAATTGGTGTAAAAGAGGCCAAGATATCCTGATTTCAAGTCCCCAGTACGGCTCAAGCTCCACAAACAGTGAAAACTACAAATCCCATAATGTAACTTGTTTTGTTTTTCATTGGGACTTTGTTTTATGGCTGCTGAGCGCCCTCCTCTCTCATACTCCCAATCAATAACACAGGCTTTTTGTAACGAATTTGTAATGAAGTCTAAAGATAACGCGCAGATGACATCACTATGACATCATCAGGAGTTATTTTCTCAGACTTGGCAAAATTACCAAAAAAATCAGTGGCGTGCCCCTTTAAAGAAAATAAATGAGATAAATGTTATTGGCAAGATGTCACCAATTTCCTGTTTTGTAATATTCTTCTCGAACTATAATCATTCTTAATGCAGTACTTAATATTTAATCATTATTATTAACTATTTAAAATGTACTGCTAGTGTAGTGTGTGAGGTCATTTCCCCCCCTCCCCGATGATACAGACAAAGTGCTGGGGCAGTGTGGTTGAAACCCATAAAACACATTCAGCTGGTGTGTTTTAAACGAAGCGGCATCAGGAACACCTGCAGCTGTCTGATGCTGGAAGGGAACCAGACTCTGTCTCAAAAACCTGTCTGTATCACTAAAACTGCAAGCATCCCCCCCCAACCTCCCTCCCTTTGGCTCCCACCACACATTAAGAGACAGGTGGAAGTATTAGACTATTGGACGGACTGCCAGCAAATTCTGTTCAGACAAATCCTAATAACTGTAGTGATCCCTGTTAGCTCTTTGTTTTTCCAATTCATTTTAGTTTGGAAAGGAGGGAGTCTTGTTCCAGAGCCTGTGAGTGAGGATGCTATGTTCTGTCACTGGTCATTAACAGGGGATTGATGAAGGTCATAGATGAATTAATTCACATTTGCACAGCGTTTAAGTCCCTTAATCGTGTTTATTTGCTGTATTGATTTGCTGTGTGAGTTTATTTCCCATTTGAGATGAATGCAGAATATGTGTGTGTGCGTGGGCTGAATGTGTGTGTGTGTGTGCGTCCCTGCAGAGCTGTGACGGTTCTGAATACACTCTGCAAGGGCCAGCGGGCGGCGATGACATCACAGGGCTGTCGCCCGAGCCCGCCCACTACCAGCTACTGTCTGAGCTGGGTGAGAACGCCACGACATTGAGTCAGACCATTACAGCTGTCAAAATTGCAAATACTTGAAATTGCACCTCATTTCATGTTAATGCAGTAAGATTTCAGTTCAGATTTCATGTTAATGCAGTAAGATTTCAGTTCAGATCAACTCTCTGTATCACAGGGAGGGGCTTCAATAACCTGAGCCAGGTGAACATGGCACGACACATCCCTACTGGCCAGCTGGTGGCCATCAAACAAACCAACCTGGATGAGTGCACCGAGGAGGAGCTGCTGCAGCTAATGGTGAGCTGCTGTCCTTCAAACTGACATTTATTTAAAGGACATAAAGCCTAATAGCTGCTGTGCATTCAGGTTTGTTTGTGTCTCAAACCCCAGAACGAGGTTCTGCTGTCCAGGCTGTTCCGTCACCCCAACCTGCTGACCTCTCGCCTGGTTTTCAGCTCCTGCTGCCAGCTGTGTGTCCTCACACCGCTCATGGCCTACGGTCAGCCACTGCCACACATCAATGACGTTTTGTTGTATTATGTTAAGGTTTTTTAAGTAAAAAACTCTTGCTTCTCAAATGTGAGGATTTTTACAGGATAATAAATTGAATATCAACAGTTAATAGTTTAATAATAATAATAATTTATAATTATTGAATGAATCATTAATTAAAACCACTATTTGCATTCCTATAAATTACATTTGTGGGTAGATTTGAGGGTTTTTCAGCTTCTGGTGAAACATTGTGCATATTGTGCTGCTCTTTAAAGGCTCTGACATTCTCTCTCAGTACATTTCTTTATACAAAACCATCTTAGGCCAACATGATTGCACTCACAATTTCAATTACCTGCTCCTCTGTCTGTCTTCCTCCCCTCCTGCTTGCAGGCTCTGCAGACACTTTACTCAGAACATATTTCCCAGATGGAATGAGTGAATCCCTGATAGCGTACCTGCTGTACGGAGTGCTGAAAGCATTGGAATACCTGCATCGGATGGGCTACGTTCACAGGTCAGTGGGAGAAGTTTTAGCACACAAAGAAAACACAATATATATAAATATTTTGTATGTAACATCTGTCTATATTTTCCTCTCCTGTCAGGGGGGTGAAGGCCAGTCATATTCTGCTGTCAGGTGAGGGGCGTGTCTACCTCTCGGGGCTCCACAGTGTTTACAGTATGATGCGTGAGGGGAAGAGGATGAGGGCCGTGTTCGACATGCCCCACCACAGCCCCGCCCTGTTGCCCTGGCTCAGCCCTGAGCTGCTGCGACAGGTCAGCACTCACTACATTAAGACACATTCTCCCATATGACATGAGCTTCAGGAAGTCGTTTTATTTCCCCCCATCATACTAATCTTCTCTCCTCTCCACATGCTGTTGGCCTCAGTAGGACCTGCACGGTTATGGAGTGAAGTCGGATATCTACAGTTTAGGTATTGTGGCCTGTGAGCTGGTCAGCGGCAGGGTGCCTTTCCAGGACATGCCCCCCACTCAGGTAATGGAAAAAAAGAAGATGTATGTGCATAATTAGGTTTAAAGGATCCGTTCCTAAGTACAACATTTGTACTGTTGTCCACAGTTTGTATCAGTGTTTGAATCTTCCTGTTCAGATGCTGCTTCAGAAGCTGCGCGGCTCCCACTGCTGTTTGCTGGACGTGGCGCCCTTCCCGCTCGGCGAGCTGGGCGGGCTGAAGGTGTCGCGGTCCGGGGTGGACTCGGGCATCGGGGAGAGCGTGGCCACCGGAAGCCTGACGCACAGCGCCACCGCTCCTCCTACTGACCGACCTCAGAGCCCCGGACCCAAAAACCACTCGGTCACACTGCACAACCTGGTGCAGCTGTGCCTGCAGCAGCAGCCTGAGCGCAGGTCATTACATTAAAGGAGCAGTCGGCTTTATTTGATAAGTGATCTGATTGCGTGTATAAACAGTACAAGCACACAGACTGTAATGCAAATGATGAATGCTTGTCCTGTTTTTGTCTTCTGTAGACCGTCAGCATCTACACTGTTGACCCACGCCTTCTTCAAGCAGGTTGGTTTCCCAGTCATGGTGCCATCTTTGTTACCTTAGCTGATTAATAACAATCCAGTATGTTGTGCCAGTGTTTGAGCATAGTCTTGTTGTTCTGTGACAGGTGAAGAGGCACACCAGAGACACCTTCCTCAGCCTCATGTACCCAGCAGTGCCCCTCACCAGTCCCGAGGACCCTCCAGTATCCAGCCCCCCCGCCCCGTCCGGCCATGCTCCGATGTCAACCTCCACCGACACCACTGAGGCAGTGTGGGACTTCTCCTAACCCCCGATTCTCTGACCCCAAATCTCCAAATCCTGACTAGCAAGCCAAACATGAGACAATCAAAGCAAAGCAATGAGGCCAAATTCTACTGTGCTTTTATTTTTTATTAGTAACCCGACTCTCTGAGCCTTTTTAAGTAGTTTTGTAGTTTTTTTTATATGTATGTCCGATGCATATGTGGAGTTTGGGTCATGGGTCGGTGGCTCCACTGTGAAAGTGCTGGATCAAAGAAGCTGCTCTGATCATATTGTAAGGATCCATAATAATAATAATGGACTGTCAATTACATACAGAACAAAACACTAATCAGTTGATGAATAATCACGTACTTCTCTGAGGTAAAACGCAATTATGAGCTAAAGGAAAAGTTCACCCAGAAAAACTTTACAGCAGTAAATCGTACACATCTGGGAACAATTTGTTTTTACAGAACGGAGAACCTCATTAACTGAATCTGAAATAAATAACTGAATACACTATAAAGTTCAACCTGAATAGGTACTGACAAAAATAACCCCTGAAGTGTGAGACACTATGTGAGGGTGGATTTTTTCCTTTCAAAGTGTTATTTTGTATTCAGACTGTGAATAGTAAATACTGAGGTACATAAGAACATATTTACAACACGTATGTGCATATATATTCATCTACATCAGAGGTCTGAGAGTGTTGTTCTCTGAGTCATCACTCAGTGAAATCTGAGCACATAGACTGATTCACGTATTTTTAGATTCAGTGTACTTACACTCTCTGATGATATCATTATCTCTAACGTCCGTTGTTAATTAACGTCCACAGATCCGCTCATAAATCATGGAAAAAAAGACATTCCTTATAACTCAAGAACTTGCCTGAGAATTATCACGTTTTTTAGGTTTTCTTCAGGATCAAATTAATCCAGTGTTAGATGTCTGTACATCCATGGGTACGCTACAAACAGGAACAGCTAATAGTTAATTTGGCATACTTTTAGTGGCGCCACAAATACAGGCTAGAAAATTATGGCTTAGGTTATAGCCGCTAACTAACTGACTCCTTGGCAACATTATACTTCCTGTTTACATCCCCCAAAGCCCCCAGTTATGGGAACTATGGTTTCAAAACATAGAGCACAATTACGCCTCAAATTGATGTATGTATTGATCTATACCATTCGATACATTTGACATCAGAAAAATAAACACTTGAACAAACAAGTGTGATCACAACTAACTAAAATGACAGAAACCATCTTTGGGAAAAGATTATTTGAGGTGTATTTTTTTAGTTTGGCCCATTTGCTAACATGGAGGCAGCTGGCTTTATGACCTGTACTGCAGTCAGCCACCAGGGGGCGATCAAGATGTTTTAACTTCACTTTTAGGGAGCTGTCATGTCATCCGACTTTTATATGTCGATGGATTAAAACCTAGAGAAATCCGAAATTTTATTCAGGTAACGGTACGTTTCTTACTTGCCTCTAGGTGCTATAACGTCCAGGTGACACGGCAGAGGGTGAGCTGAAGTTGGCAAATGTGACTCAACGTAATGTGAATCAAACTTTAATTTACCTCATCTTTGAACACAATTTCTGCCTTAGTTACATCTGATGTTTAACAGTGAAAATAACAACTCCTGTGATCCAACGCTACTATATCCGAGAGACCCCTGGTGGCAGGAATGACATATTATACGTTGAATACTGATGTTCAGAAAACTGGCCACAGTCAAATATGTAAATATATGTTTGAACATATATGCACATAGTGTTAATGTATAGTCATTTTTATGCGTGTTACCCTGTGTTTGCCTATGAGCCAATAAGACACGCTGCAAACATGGCTCTTGAAATTAGAGCGTAGTATCTTCCATGTAGGAGTTAGAGACCATCAGTAGAAACAGTAGATGAAAACCTTCCCTGCCCTGATCATCAGTGACACGCCAAAAGAGTATTTCTACTGTGCTCTGTGACCACTTATCCAACAATGCCTTTCTGTTTGAATGAAACCTGCATTCTGAATATTGTGATCTATCTGTAACTGTGATTAAGTGTGCTGTGTATGAGAACTGTGATCCACAGTACATACCAAACATGGTAGCTGTATGAGCCTTATATATACACATATTATAAATGATATATATACACATTTAGATTTCTAAACTTCCTGTTAGCCTCGATTGACTTTCTTATGGATTTGTGTTGATAGAAAAGTGTTGTGTGTTTTGACAGTACGCTCCATTCTACTTCCAACCTGCACGGTATGATCTTCTCAAACCCCCCGAACTCTAATGGATCCTCAGGACTGTTAAATGTGTAGGAGCTACTCAAATCTGGAACACGGACTATAAAAAGACCGAGGTCCACTTCATTATACGTGGATAACCGAGTGAGTCTGGATCTATTAATCTGGAACTGATGTCAGAGCAACACATCATTAAGCCCAAACCAACAGAAGACGTTTTAAGGTGAACTCCAAACACAAGTGGCTCACTCTCTTCAACTTGAACCAGGAATTGTTGATATAATTATGATTTTAGAAGAGAAGATGCAGGTTATTGTAAAATCTCTATGATCTGTTGGTGTAATTATCAGTATTACATTTCTATTACAACCAGTTACCTAAAGTTATTCATGATAAAACAAAATAAAATCAGAAACGAACTCATCCACAGGTACCATACAGGGCTGATTCTGAGTTTATCAAAAGCTTAAACCGTCAGACTGGTTTGTCTCTTTCTGAGATTGTGATGGGCATCGCTGTGAAGCCAGTATGGAGGCTATTGACCCACATATGTCTTCCAATTAAAAAGTCTCATTCAAATGTAAAGTGTTATTTTGCAGTTTGTATATGCCAGTATAGTATCTTCATCTTCATCTGTGAGCCCAAAACTAAACTGAGTTTCTGCATCGGTAGATTTCAACAAAGAGTCAAGGCTGCTGTGCCCAGAGGGTGCAACGTCTGTCCAAATCTGTCCAGTAAGACATTTGTGTCATTGAGTATTTTATTTAATCTACCTGCATAAGTGCCTGTAAGTTCAGTTTTTATCCAGTAGTCACAATGTGAATAGGGTGTGCAGAAACAGTGATGGTTTTTGTCACCATCTAGTGGTTGATTAGCTTTACTGCAGACAGACTTTACCTTCAACCTGACAAAAGTACTCTGAACAAGATCTTGAATATTTAGTTTTAGTTTTATTTATTTTCCAGTTTTATTAAAGTTTATATGAAGTAAAATCAAATGCGTGGGCAATTTAGAGTTTCCAATTAAAGGGTAACTTCGGCAGATTTTTTCCCTAGTCTTGATCACTAGAGGTCACCGAGTACTGTCGATAGGAAAAAGAACGACCAGAATTGCTTCTAGCAAACTGGAGATCCTGCAGCTAATGGCCAGTGCTCCCAGTTAGTTATAATACACTTCTTGGGGGCATAAACTAAAGAGTGCCTTTTGCTTCTCTTAGCAGACACAAAATGCAATTAAAATGTCTGTGCAACATGATCAGGGCCATTACGTGACAACAACATGCCTTTTCAACTCATACGTTGTGCAGAAACCGTACAAAACAGTACTGTCGCCTACCTGTTTTTCCACCGCTCGCTTCACCGAAAGCCCAGAATAATCGATCACGGAGATAATGCCTTCGCAACGAAAAAAAGTTTATTTCCCCCTCAAAAATGTCCATGTCTTCACACATTACTCTCCGATTTGCACACTTCCTGCAACAATTTCTTCTTCTGCGTTTACCTGCAACAAGTGAAGTCCCATGGAATTTCTTGTTGCAGGTAAATGCAGAAGAAGAAATGAGTGGAGATCGGAGGTGTTCACAAGGGAAGGAGCTTGGAGTAAGAATAACGTGTGTTGTTGATCTACTGTGGAGAAGAAATGGTTCGCGTTTGTGCCTTTCCAAATGGTGGCAACAGAATGAGAAGGTAGAAGTGCCTACACTTTCATCGTCTACCTTTCCATGACCATGAGATACTGCAGTTGTGGCTAGTTGTTCTTCAGCTGGATGTGCAAACTCCCATACAAGTACTATGCGTCGTCGCAAAGGCATTATTTGCGTGATCGCATAGTACTTGTATGGGAGTTTGCACATCCAGCAAGAACAACTAGCCACAACTGCAGTATCTCATGGTCATGGAAAGGTAGACGATGAAAGTGTAGGCACTTCTCATTCTGTTGCCACCATTTGGAGAGGCAGAAACGCGAACCATTTCTTCTCCACAGTAGATCAACACACATTATTCTTATTCCAAGCTTCTTCCCTTGTAAACACCTCTGATCTCCACTCATTTCATCTTCTGCATTTACCTGCAACAAGAAATCCCACGGGACCTCAGCGCGAGAGCAGTCCTGTGCTGAAGTCCCGTGGGATTTCACTTGTTGCAGGTAAATGCAGAAGAAGAAATTGTTGCATGAAGTGTGCAAATCAGAGAGTAATGTGTGAAGACATGGACATTTTTGAGGGGGAAATAAACTTTGTCGCAAAGGCATTATCTCCGTGATCGATTATTCTGGGCTTTCGGTGAAGCGAGCGGTGGAAAAACAGGTAGGCGACAGTACTGTTTTGTACAGTTTCTTCAATGTATGAGTTGAAAAGGCATGTTGTTGTCACGTAATGGCCCTGATCATGTTGCACAGACATTTTAATTGCATTTTGTGTCTGTTAAGAGGAGCAAAAGGCACTCTTGAGTTTATGCCCCCAAGAAGTGTATTATAACTAACTGGGAGCTCTGGCCATTAGCTGCAGGATCTCCAGTTTGCTAGAAGCAATTCTGGTCGTTCTTTTTCCAATCGACAGTACTCGGTGACCTCTAGTGATCAAGACTAGGGTAAAAATCTGCCAAAGTTCCCCTTTAAGCTGCATGTCTTTGGAATGTGGGAGGAAACCGGAGACACCCGGAGAAAACCCACGTCAACACGGGGAGAACATACAAACTCCACACAGAAAGGGCCAAGGCCGTAAGGCAAACCTTTAACCTTCTTACTGTGAGGCCACATTGAGCCACCGTGCCGCCCTCTCTCTTAAAAAGGTTGTGAAAGGAAGTTTTTTAGGTCGTACAGACTTGTTTGACAAAGTAGAGCTGAAGCTCAAAAGCTTTCGCTCTACTTTGAATGTGGGATAAAAACCGGAGACATCCGGGGGAAAACCCACGTCAACACAGGGAGAACATGCTAACTCCACACAGAAAGGGCCGAGGCCGGAAAGCGAACCTTCAAACTTCTTCCTGTGAGGCCACATTGAGCCACCGTGCTGCCTTCACTCTTAAAATGTGAAAGTTATTTTTTTAGGTCCTTTGACAAAGTATAGCTGAAGTGAGCTTCAGCTCTGATTTGTCAAATGACTTCAATCTTGCATGTACATCCTCAAACCCCATCTGACACATCCTTTTTAAGAGTTTGTATTCATCTTGAAAAAAACGGCCAGTGATTTTTTTCAAGATAAATACAAAATAATAATTAAAAAAGGGGGAAGAAGACTGGCACTGGATACTTACCTGTTCTACTTATCCTTTGATCCACAGCTGATGTAGGAGGTGAACGGCTTCCTCAGAATCCTGGCTGCAGAAGAGACCATCCTCAGCATAGCAGGGCGCTTCTGCTTCCTCAGTAGCGGTGAAGTTGATCCTTCCTCCGAGTTGCTGACTTCACTGTTAGACAATGAAGTGATGACTGCACAGGCTGGAGTGACTTTGTTTGACCTTCTGAAAAACCTCTTCACTTTGGTGAAAAAGCTGATGTGTTTTTCAGAAGAACTGCCCAGCTGCACTTTTAATGTCCCGACAACAACTTCGTCAAAAGCTGCGTCACCGGACAACATGGCTGCGTGGAGCAACTTTGGAGATCCAAAGTTGCGACAAAGTTCTTTGTAGACAGGGATGTGGATGTTTCCAACAGTCTGTGGGAGAATTGATTTTATTTCTCCCACAGTCCTTGCTCTCAGACGCTCCAACGTCCCATTAAAGTCCACGTCAAATACTGATGTCTTGGTGGAATGAGCAATGTGATCAAGAAGCTTCCCGAGAAGCACAGCGAGAAAGGTCCTATCTCGCTGTAGCAACTCGTCTGCAGAACTGGCAGAACACTTCAGACTCTGATCACCTGAGAGGACTGATCTACGCTGCTCTGATGCAGAGCAGATTTGATCAGCTCCCTCCGCGCAAAACTCCTGAACATCCGTGACTTTGTTGGGAAAGCAGGCCTGTGCAGTAAACTGCTCAACACTGGACACGTCGTCTGGAGAGCAACCCTCTGTGTCAAACTCCTCAATGTCGGACATATCATCTGGATAGCAAACCTCTGTGCTCAACCCCTCCATGTCCGACTCATCATCTGAACAGCAACTCTCTCTGGTAAACTTTGGAACATCTGCCACCTGGTCTGGACAAGAACCCTTAGAGGAATCACTCTTCAGAGATTCTTCGTCCTCAGGTGACTCAAGATCTGTCAAGATCAAGTGATTCAATATACGGCAGATGAAGTAAACCATATATTTAGTCTGAGATGAACCGGTTGATTCAGACTCAGCAGACTCTGTTGACTTTGTGGGTGAAGGTGACTGTACGATTGCAGCCAACATGTTGTTCACCCTGTGGGTCACTTCTGCTGAGAGAAACTCCAGTAGCAGTTCAGACTCGTGGGATCTCTCCTGTTCGTATCCGAGCACCTCACCGAAACAGAAGTGAAGCAAATCCCCAATGCTGGCTTGGATATCTTCCTCTGTCACATAGCGATAATTACACGTTCTCTGTGAAGTTTCACTAAAAAGAGAAGACAGTCACACATTAGTCAACTGATTCTGCTCTGGGCAGTGGGCAGTGATTTTTAGCAGAATCTGCTGGAAAATATTTGATCAATGTGTTGGAAAGTTTGGACTTACCTTGTGATAGAGCTGCTGCTGGCGTTCCTGGCAGCCTCCTGAGCAGTCCAGCTTTCAATCTGAGGTGCCACAGTTTCTGAGACCGAGAGGCTGATTGACTCTATGATCTTGTGGCACATGTCAGATAGAAGAAGGACTGTTTTGATGTGGATTTTGCCATCAGCTATGAACTTCCACTGCCTGGAAGAAAAGATTAAGAATGGGTAAGCAAAACAAACATTTAACCAATGTGTATGTAAAGTGTATACAATTAGAATTTCTGCAACTGATTTGATTGATGAATTTTAACTATACTTACTCTTCTGTGATATCATGTACGAATAAATTGAGGATGGATTCAATGACGTCTGATGTGAAAAGAGGAACATCCAAATCGCTGCACCTGAGTTCTCCTAGTTCATCCGATGAGATCTAGAAAGAAAAACAATCAATATTCAGCAACAGTAACTAAACACTGGGGTGGGACTGTAAAAGAATCTACATTAATAGTTATGGTACTTGGTGCTGTGCAGAATTCACAAACCACCTTTTAATTCAATCTGCAAGCTGTCAGTATTTGATGCATTTGAAGAGCTTATGGTCAAAATGAAAGTGTTGTCAAATGTTGCCATTGAAAAGCAAACTGTTAACTGTCTGATTTTAGCATACAGCAACCAATATACACTAACATAGAACATCATAACTGGAAGACATGTCTTTCATAAATATAATTATACTGTTTCATCAAAAGTTGAACCAACAGAAGGTGAAAACTTTCTCCTTGAAGTCGTCAAGTTCAACTTTTGTGTAACTGTGTGTGATTCAAGGCTAGATTTTCTTACTTTGTAATCCATGTCGAGATCCAGTACGTTCTCCATGGATGTAACTAGTCAGTTGTTCTCGTGGTGAAGGTCTGTGTAGATCTGTTCACTGTGATCTCTGGAGCTCAGTGAAATGGACTGTACAACAGAATTCATCCTAAAGTTCTAGAGTGTCACATCAAAGGAATAGAACTCATCAAAGGTATGAACTCATCAAAGGAAGGGAACGCATCAAAGGTATGGAATGTATCAAAGGTATGGAACTCCAGAACATTCTATGTTCATTTTATGTTCTAAAAAAAACAAACACTGAAAGCACACATTCTCAAATAGTTATACATTTTAAATGTAAACCAAAAAAATTATTTACATTCAAAAAAAACCATAAAAATGTGTTTTTCTTCTTTTTTCTCCAGTTGGATGTTTGAGCTTCTCTGCACAAAATACTTATACAAGTGTGACAGAAACCTGAAGCCACCAGTGCACACAAACTGAGAATGGCAGGAAATTTAAGAAATTAACATTTGTATACTAATAGATTCTTGAAGATGCCTTTTTAAGGATTTTAATGTGGAGATTTTACTAATTTTGAGGAAAAAGAAACATCAGACACAAATTATTGTTGTGTGTCAGAACATGGCTACGTTCACACTGCAGACAACAGCAGCCGAAATCTGAACCATGTAAACAACCCGTTTACACACTGGTGATAGAAATTGAGGAATAAATGAAAATAATACTATAAATGTTTCAGAATCTTAAATATGGAACCTTTAAACTGGTCATGGAAATACAAATCAATACACCCCTCTGACCCCGCATATCCCAAAAAGTTGAGTGCAGCTCTGTCATCAGTCACCACAGAAAACACACAAAGAATAACAGCCTCACATTAATGCTAACACGTATAAATACATTAGCAGAAAATCTTAAACAAAGTCGGATATCTACAGTTTACGTATTGTGGCCTGTGAGCTGGTCAGCGGCAGGGTGCCTTTCCAGGACATGCCCCCCACTCAGGTAAAGGAAAAAAAGAAGATGTATGTGCATAATTAGGTTTAAAGGATCCGTTCCTAAGTACAACATTTGTACTGTTGTCCACAGTTTGTATCAGTGTTTGAATCTTCCTGTTCAGATGCTGCTTCAGAAGCTGCGCGGCTCCCACTGCTGTTTGCTGGACGTGGCGCCCTTCCCGCTCGGCGAGCTGGGCGGGCTGAAGGTGTCGCGGTCCGGGGTGGACTCGGGCATCGGGGAGAGCGTGGCCACCGGAAGCCTGACGCACAGCGCCACCGCTCCTCCTACTGACCGACCTCAGAGCCCCGGACCCAAAAACCACTCGGTCACACTGCACAACCTGGTGCAGCTGTGCCTGCAGCAGCAGCCTGAGCGCAGGTCATTACATTAAAGGAGCAGTCGGCTTTATTTGATAAGTGATCTGATTGCGTGTATAAACAGTACAAGCACACAGACTGTAATGCAAATGATGAATGCTTGTCCTGTTTTTGTCTTCTGTAGACCGTCAGCATCTACACTGTTGACCCACGCCTTCTTCAAGCAGGTTGGTTTCCCAGTCATGGTGCCATCTTTGTTACCTTAGCTGATTAATAACAATCCAGTATGTTGTGCCAGTGTTTGAGCATAGTCTTGTTGTTCTGTGACAGGTGAAGAGGCACACCAGAGACACCTTCCTCAGCCTCATGTACCCAGCAGTGCCCCTCACCAGTCCCGAGGACCCTCCAGTATCCAGCCCCCCCGCCCCGTGCGGCCATGCTCCGATGTCAACCTCCACCGACACCACTGAGGCAGTGTGGGACTTCTCCTAACCCCCGATTCTCTGACCCCAAATCTCCAAATCCTGACTAGCAAGCCAAACATGAGACAATCAAAGCAAAGCAATGAGGCCAAATTCTACTGTGCTTTTATTTTTTATTAGTAACCCGACTCTCTGAGCCTTTTTTAAGTAGTTTTGTAGTTTTTTTTATATGTATGTCCGATGCATATGTGGAGTTTGGGTCATGGGTCGGTGGCTCCACTGTGAAAGTGCTGGATCAAAGAAGCTGCTCTGATCATATTGTAAGGATCCATAATAATAATAATGGACTGTCAATTACATACAGAACAAAACACTAATCAGTTGATGAATAATCACGTACTTCTCTGAGGTAAAACGCAATTATGAGCTAAAGGAAAAGTTCACCCAGAAAAACTTTACAGCAGTAAATCGTACACATCTGGGAACAATTTGTTTTTACAGAACGGAGAACCTCATTAACTGAATCTGAAATAAATAACTGAATACACTATAAAGTTCAACCTGAATAGGTACTGACAAAAATAACCCCTGAAGTGTGAGACACTATGTGAGGGTGGATTTTTTCCTTTCAAAGTGTTATTTTGTATTCAGACTGTGAATAGTAAATACTGAGGTACATAAGAACATATTTACAACACGTATGTGCATATATATTCATCTACATCAGAGGTCTGAGAGTGTTGTTCTCTGAGTCATCACTCAGTGAAATCTGAGCACATAGACTGATTCACGTATTTTTAGATTCGGTGTACTTACACTCTCTGATGATATCATTATCTCTAACGTCCGTTGTTAATTAACGTCCACAGATCCGCTCATAAATCATGGAAAAAAAGACATTCCTTATAACTCAAGAACTTTCCTGAGAATTATCACGTTTTTTAGGTTTTCTTCAGGATCAAATTAATCCAGTGTTAGATGTCTGTACATCCATGGGTACGCTACAAACAGGAACAGCTAATAGTTAATTTGGCATACTTTTAGTGGCACCACAAATACAGGCTAGAAAATTATGGCTTAGGTTATAGCCGCTAACTAACTGACTCCTTGGCAACATTATACTTCCTGTTTACATCCCCCAAAGCCCCCAGTTATGGGAACTATGGTTTCAAAACATAGAGCACAATTACGCCTCAAATTGATGTATGTATTGATCTATACCATTCGATACATTTGACATCAGAAAAATAAACACTTGAACAAACAAGTGTGATCACAACTAATTAAAATGACAGAAACCATCTTTGGGAAAAGATTATTTGAGGTGTATTTTTTTAGTTTGGCCCATTTGCTAACTTGGAGGCAGCTGGCTTTATGACCTGTACTGCAGTCAGCCACCAGGGGGCGATCAAGATGTTTTAACTTCACTTTTAGGGAGCTGTCATGTCATCCGACTTTTATATGTCGATGGATTAAAACCTAGAGAAATCCGAAATTTTATTCAGGTAACGGTACGTTTCTTACTTGCCTCTAGGTGCTATAACGTCCAGGTGACACGGCAGAGGGTGAGCTGAAGTTGGCAAATGTGACTCAACGTAATGTGAATCAAACTTTAATTTACCTCATCTTTGAACACAATTTCTGCCTTAGTTACATCTGATGTTTAACAGTGAAAATAACAACTCCTGTGATCCAACGCTACTATATCCGAGAGACCCCTGGTGGCAGGAATGACATATTATACGTTGAATACTGATGTTCAGAAAACTGGCCACAGTCAAATATGTAAATATATGTTTGAACATATATGCACATAGTGTTAATGTATAGTCATTTTTATGCGTGTTACCCTGTGTTTGCCTATGAGCCAATAAGACACGCTGCAAACATGGCTCTTGAAATTAGAGCGTAGTATCTTCCATGTAGGAGTTAGAGACCATCAGTAGAAACAGTAGATGAAAACCTTCCCTGCCCTGATCATCAGTGACACGCCAAAAGAGTATTTCTACTGTGCTCTGTGACCACTTATCCAACAATGCCTTTCTGTTTGAATGAAACCTGCATTCTGAATATTGTGATCTATCTGTAACTGTGATTAAGTGTGCTGTGTATGAGAACTGTGATCCACAGTACATACCAAACATGGTAGCTGTATGAGCCTTATATATACACATATTATAAATGATATATATACACATTTAGATTTCTAAACTTCCTGTTAGCCTCGATTGACTTTCTTATGGATTTGTGTTGATAGAAAAGTGTTGTGTGTTTTGACAGTACGCTCCATTCTACTTCCAACCTGCACGGTATGATCTTCTCAAACCCCCCGAACTCTAATGGATCCTCAGGACTGTTAAATGTGTAGGAGCTACTCAAATCTGGAACACGGACTATAAAAAGACCGAGGTCCACTTCATTATACGTGGATAACCGAGTGAGTCTGGATCTATTAATCTGGAACTGATGTCAGAGCAACACATCATTAAGCCCAAACCAACAGAAGACGTTTTAAGGTGAACTCCAAACACAAGTGGCTCACTCTCTTCAACTTGAACCAGGAAGTGTTGATATAATTATGATTTTAGAAGAGAAGATGCAGGTTATTGTAAAATCTCTATGATCTGTTGGTGTAATTATCAGTATTACATTTCTATTACAACACCAGTTACCTAAAGTTATTCATGATAAAACAAAATAAAATCAGAAACAAACTCATCCACAGGTACCATACAGGGCTGATTCTGAGTTTATCAAAAGCTTAAACCGTCAGACTGGTTTGTCTCTTTCTGAGATTGTGATGGGCATCGCTGTGAAGCCAGTATGGAGGCTATTGACCCACATATGTCTTCCAATTAAAAAGTCTCATTCAAATGTAAAGTGTTATTTTGCAGTTTGTATATGCCAGTATAGTATCTTCATCTTCATCTGTGAGCCCAAAACTAAACTGAGTTTCTGCATCGGTAGATTTCAACAAAGAGTCAAGGCTGCTGTGCCCAGAGGGTGCAACGTCTGTCCAAATCTGTCCAGTAAGACATTTGTGTCATTGAGTATTTTATTTAATCTACCTGCATAAGTGCCTGTAAGTTCAGTTTTTATCCAGTAGGCACAATGTGAATAGGGTGTGCAGAAACAGTGATGGTTTTCGTCACCATCTAGTGGTTGATTAGCTTTACTGCAGACCGACTTTACCTTCAACCTGACAAAAGTACTCTGAACAAGATCTTGAATATTTAGTTTTAGTTTTATTTATTTTCCAGTTTTATTAAAGTTTATATGAAGTAAAATCAAATGCAGATGTGTGGGCAATTTAGAGTTTCCAATTAAAGGGTAACTTCGGCAGATTTTTTCCCTAGTCTTGATCACTAGAGGTCACCGAGTACTGTCGATAGGAAAAAGAACGACCAGAATTGGTTCTAGCAAACTGGAGATCCTGCAGCTAATGGCCAGAGCTCCCAGTTAGTTATAATACACTTCTTGGGGGCATAAACTAAAGAGTGCCTTTTGCTTCTCTTAGCAGACACAAAATGCAATTAAAATGTCTGTGCAACATGATCAGGGCCATTACGTGACAACAACATGCCTTTTCAACTCATACGTTGTGCAGAAACCGTACAAAACAGTACTGTCGCCTACCTGTTTTTCCACCGCTCGCTTCACCGAAAGCCCAGAATAATCGATCACGGAGATAATGCCTTCGCGACGAAAAAAAGTTTATTTCCCCCTCAAAAATGTCCATGTCTTCACACATTACTCTCCGATTTGCACACTTCCTGCAACAATTTCTTCTACTGCGTTTACCTGCAACAAGTGAAGTCCCATGGAATTTCTTGTTGCAGGTAAATGCAGAAGAAGAAATGAGTGGAGATCGGAGGTGTTCACAAGGGAAGGAGCTTGGAGTAAGAATAACGTGTGTTGTTGATCTACTGTGGAGAAGAAATGGTTCGCGTTTGTGCCTTTCCAAATGGTGGCAACAGAATGAGAAGGTAGAAGTGCCTACACTTTCATCGTCTACCTTTCCATGACCATGAGATACTGCAGTTGTGGCTAGTTGTTCTTCAGCTGGATGTGCAAACTCCCATACAAGTACTATGCGTCGTCGCAAAGGCATTATTTGCGTGATCGCATAGTACTTGTATGGGAGTTTGCACATCCAGCAAGAACAACTAGCCACAACTGCAGTATCTCATGGTCATGGAAAGGTAGACGATGAAAGTGTAGGCACTTCTCATTCTGTTGCCACCATTTGGAGAGGCAGAAACGCGAACCATTTCTTCTCCACAGTAGATCAACACACATTATTCTTATTCCAAGCTTCTTCCCTTGTAAACACCTCTGATCTCCACTCATTTCATCTTCTGCATTTACCTGCAACAAGAAATCCCACGGGACCTCAGCGCGAGAGCAGTCCTGTGCTGAAGTCCCGTGGGATTTCACTTGTTGCAGGTAAATGCAGAAGAAGAAATTGTTGCATGAAGTGTGCAAATCAGAGAGTAATGTGTGAAGACATGGACATTTTTGAGGGGGAAATAAACTTTGTCGCAAAGGCATTATCTCCGTGATCGATTATTCTGGGCTTTCGGTGAAGCGAGCGGTGGAAAAACAGGTAGGCGACAGTACTGTTTTGTACAGTTTCTTCAATGTATGAGTTGAAAAGGCATGTTGTTGTCACGTAATGGCCCTGATCATGTTGCACAGACATTTTAATTGCATTTTGTGTCTGTTAAGAGGAGCAAAAGGCACTCTTGAGTTTATGCCCCCAAGAAGTGTATTATAACTAACTGGGAGCTCTGGCCATTAGCTGCAGGATCTCCAGTTTGCTAGAAGCAATTCTGGTCGTTCTTTTTCCAATCGACAGTACTCGGTGACCTCTAGTGATCAAGACTAGGGTAAAAATCTGCCAAAGTTCCCCTTTAAGCTGCATGTCTTTGGAATGTGGGAGGAAACCGGAGACACCCGGAGAAAACCCACGTCAACACGGGGAGAACATACAAACTCCACACAGAAAGGGCCAAGGCCGTAAGGCAAACCTTTAACCTTCTTACTGTGAGGCCACATTGAGCCACCGTGCCGCCCTCTCTCTTAAAAAGGTTGTGAAAGGAAGTTTTTTAGGTCGTACAGACTTGTTTGACAAAGTAGAGCTGAAGCTCAAAAGCTTTCGCTCTACTTTGAATGTGGGATAAAAACCGGAGACATCCGGGGGGAAAACCCACGTCAACACAGGGAGAACATGCTAACTCCACACAGAAAGGGCCGAGGCCGGAAAGCGAACCTTCAAACTTCTTCCTGTGAGGCCACATTGAGCCACCGTGCTGCCTTCACTCTTAAAATGTGAAAGTTATTTTTTTAGGTCCTTTGACAAAGTATAGCTGAAGTGAGCTTCAGCTCTGATTTGTCAAATGACTTCAATCTTGCATGTACATCCTCAAACCCCATCTGACACATCCTTTTTAAGAGTTTGTATTCATCTTGAAAAAACGGCCAGTGATTTTTTTCAAGATAAATACAAAATAATAATTAAAAAAGGGGGAAGAAGACTGGCACTGGATACTTACCTGTTCTACTTATCCTTTGATCCACAGCTGATGTAGGAGGTGAACGGCTTCCTCAGAATCCTGGCTGCAGAAGAGACCATCCTCAGCATAGCAGGGCGCTTCTGCTTCCTCTGTAGCGGTGAAGTTGATCCTTCCTCCGAGTTGCTGACTTCACTGTTAGACAATGAAGTGATGACTGCACAGGCTGGAGTGACTTTGTTTGACCTTCTGAAAAACCTCTTCACTTTGGTGAAAAAGCTGATGTGTTTTTCAGAAGAACTGCCCAGCTGCACTTTTAATGTCCCGACAACAACTTCGTCAAAAGCTGCGTCACCGGACAACATGGCTGCGTGGAGCAACTTTGGAGATCCAAAGTTGCGACAAAGTTCTTTGTAGACAGGGATGTGGATGTTTCCAACAGTCTGTGGGAGAATTGATTTTATTTCTCCCACAGTCCTTGCTCTCAGACGCTCCAACGTCCCATTAAAGTCCACGTCAAATACTGATGTCTTGGTGGAATGAGCAATGTGATCAAGAAGCTTCCCGAGAAGCACAGCGAGAAAGGTCCTATCTCGCTGTAGCAACTCGTCTGCAGAACTGGCAGAACACTTCAGACTCTGATCACCTGAGAGGACTGATCTACGCTGCTCTGATGCAGAGCAGATTTGATCAGCTCCCTCCGCGCAAAACTCCTGAACATCCGTGACTTTGTTGGGAAAGCAGGCCTGTGCAGTAAACTGCTCAACACTGGACACGTCGTCTGGAGAGCAACCCTCTGTGTCAAACTCCTCAATGTCGGACATATCATCTGGATAGCAAACCTCTGTGCTCAACCCCTCCATGTCCGACTCATCATCTGAACAGCAACTCTCTCTGGTAAACTTTGGAACATCTGCCACCTGGTCTGGACAAGAACCCTTAGAGGAATCACTCTTCAGAGATTCTTCGTCCTCAGGTGACTCAAGATCTGTCAAGATCAAGTGATTCAATATACGGCAGATGAAGTAAACCATATATTTAGTCTGAGATGAACCGGTTGATTCAGACTCAGCAGACTCTGTTGACTTTGTGGGTGAAGGTGACTGTACGATTGCAGCCAACATGTTGTTCACCCTGTGGGTCACTTCTGCTGAGAGAAACTCCAGTAGCAGTTCAGACTCGTGGGATCTCTCCTGTTCGTATCCGAGCACCTCACCGAAACAGAAGTGAAGCAAATCCCCAATGCTGGCTTGGATATCTTCCTCTGTCACATAGCGATAATTACACGTTCTCTGTGAAGTTTCACTAAAAAAGAGAAGACAGTCACACATTAGTCAACTGATCTGCTGCTCTGGGCAGTGGGCAGTGATTTATAGCAGAATCTGCTGGAAAATATTTGATCAATGTGTTGGAAAGTTTGGACTTACCTTGTGATAGAGCTGCTGCTGGCGGTCCTGGCAGCCTCCTGAGCAGTCCAGCTTTCAATCTGAGGTGCCACAGTTTCTGAGACCGAGAGGCTGATTGACTCTATGATCTTGTGGCACATGTCAGATAGAAGAAGGACTGTTTTGATGTGGATTTTGCCATCAGCTATGAACTTCCACTGCCTGGAAGAAAAGATTAAGAATGGGTAAGCAAAACAAACATTTAACCAATGTGTATGTAAAGTGTATACAATTAGAATTTCTGCAACTGATTTGATTGATGAATTTTAACTATACTTACTCTTCTGTGATATCATGTACGAATAAATTGAGGATGGATTCAATGACGTCTGATGTGAAAAGAGGAACATCCAAATCGCTGCACCTGAGTTCTCCTAGTTCATCCGATGAGATCTAGAAAGAAAAACAATCAATATTCAGCAACAGTAACTAAACACTGGGGTGGGACTGTAAAAGAATCTACATTAATAGTTATGGTACTTGGTGCTGTGCAGAATTCACAAACCACCTTTTAATTCAATCTGCAAGCTGTCAGTATTTGATGCATTTGAAGAGCTTATGGTCAAAATGAAAGTGTTGTCAAATGTTGCCATTGAAAAGCAAACTGTTAACTGTCTGATTTTAGCATACAGCAACCAATATACACTAACATAGAACATCATAACTGGAAGACATGTCTTTCATAAATATAATTATACTGTTTCATCAAAAGTTGAACCAACAGAAGGTGAAAACTTTCTCCTTGAAGTCGTCAAGTTCAACTTTTGTGTAACTGTGTGTGATTCAAGGCTAGATTTTCTTACTTTGTAATCCATGTCGAGATCCGGTACGTTCTCCATGGATGTAACTAGTCAGTTGTTCTCGTGGTGAAGGTCTGTGTAGATCTGTTCACTGTGATCTCTGGAGCTCAGTGAAATGGACTGTACAACAGAATTCATCCTAAAGTTCTAGAGTGTCACATCAAAGGAATAGAACTCATCAAAGGTATGAACTCATCAAAGGAAGGGAACGCATCAAAGGTATGGAATGTATCAAAGGTATGGAACTCCAGAACATTCTATGTTCATTTTATGTTCTAAAAAAAACAAACACTGAAAGCACACATTCTCAAATAGTTATACATTTTAAATGTATACCAAAAAAATTATTTACATTCAAAAAAAAACATAAAAATGTGTTTTTCTTCTTTTTCCTCCAGTTGGATGTTTGAGCTTCTCTGCACAGAATACTTATACAAGTGTGACAGAAACCTGAAGCCACCAGTGCACACAAACTGAGAATGGCAGGAAATTTAAGAAATTAACATTTGTATACTAATAGATTCTTGAAGATGCCTTTTTAAGGATTTTAATGTGGAGATTTTACTAATTTTGAGGAAAAAGAAACATCAGACACAAATTATTGTTGTGTGTCAGAACATGGCTACGTTCACACTGCAGACAACAGCAGCCCAAATCTGAACCATGTAAACAACCCGTTTACACACTGGTGATAGAAATTGAGGAATAAATGAAAATAATACTATAAATGTTTCAGAATCTTAAATATGGAACCTTTAAACTGGTCATGGAAATACAAATCAATACACCCCTCTGACCCCGCATATCCCAAAAAGTTGAGTGCAGCTCTGTCATCAGTCACCACAGAAAACACACAAAGAATAACAGCCTCACATTAATGCTAACACGTATAAATACATTAGCAGAAAATCTTAAACAAAGTCGGATATCTACAGTTTACGTATTGTGGCCTGTGAGCTGGTCAGCGGCAGGGTGCCTTTCCAGGACATGCCCCCCACTCAGGTAAAGGAAAAAAAGAAGATGTATGTGCATAATTAGGTTTAAAGGATCCGTTCCTAAGTACAACATTTGTACTGTTGTCCACAGTTTGTATCAGTGTTTGAATCTTCCTGTTCAGATGCTGCTTCAGAAGCTGCGCGGCTCCCACTGCTGTTTGCTGGACGTGGCGCCCTTCCCGCTCGGCGAGCTGGGCGGGCTGAAGGTGTCGCGGTCCGGGGTGGACTCGGGCATCGGGGAGAGCGTGGCCACCGGAAGCCTGACGCACAGCGCCACCGCTCCTCCTACTGACCGACCTCAGAGCCCCGGACCCAAAAACCACTCGGTCACACTGCACAACCTGGTGCAGCTGTGCCTGCAGCAGCAGCCTGAGCGCAGGTCATTACATTAAAGGAGCGGTCGGCTTTATTTGATAAGTGATCTGATTGCGTGTATAAACAGTACAAGCACACAGACTGTAATGCAAATGATGAATGCTTGTCCTGTTTTTGTCTTCTGTAGACCGTCAGCATCTACACTGTTGACCCACGCCTTCTTCAAGCAGGTTGGTTTCCCAGTCATGGTGCCATCTTTGTTACCTTAGCTGATTAATAACAATCCAGTATGTTGTGCCAGTGTTTGAGCAGAGTCTTGTTGTTCTGTGACAGGTGAAGAGGCACACCAGAGACACCTTCCTCAGCCTCATGTACCCAGCAGTGCCCCTCACCAGTCCCGAGGACCCTCCAGTATCCAGCCCCCCCGCCCCGTCCGGCCATGCTCCGATGTCAACCTCCACCGACACCACTGAGGCAGTGTGGGACTTCTCCTAACCCCCGATTCTCTGACCCCAAATCTCCAAATCCTGACTAGCAAGCCAAACATGAGACAATCAAAGCAAAGCAATGAGGCCAAATTCTACTGTGCTTTTATTTTTTATTAGTAACCCGACTCTCTGAGCCTTTTTTAAGTAGTTTTGTAGTTTTTTTTATATGTATGTCCGATGCATATGTGGAGTTTGGGTCATGGGTCGGTGGCTCCACTGTGAAAGTGCTGGATCAAAGAAGCTGCTCTGATCATATTGTAAGGATCCATAATAATAATAATGGACTGTCAATTACATACAGAACAAAACACTAATCAGTTGATGAATAATCACGTACTTCTCTGAGGTAAAACGCAATTATGAGCTAAAGGAAAAGTTCACCCAGAAAAACTTTACAGCAGTAAATCGTACACATCTGGGAACAATTTGTTTTTACAGAACGGAGAACCTCATTAACTGAATCTGAAATAAATAACTGAATACACTATAAAGTTCAACCTGAATAGGTACTGACAAAAATAACCCCTGAAGTGTGAGACACTATGTGAGGGTGGATTTTTTCCTTTCAAAGTGTTATTTTGTATTCAGACTGTGAATAGTAAATACTGAGGTACATAAGAACATATTTACAACACGTATGTGCATATATATTCATCTACATCAGAGGTCTGAGAGTGTTGTTCTCTGAGTCATCACTCAGTGAAATCTGAGCACATAGACTGATTCACGTATTTTTAGATTCAGTGTACTTACACTCTCTGATGATATCATTATCTCTAACGTCCGTTGTTAATTAACGTCCACAGATCCGCTCATAAATCATGGAAAAAAAAGACATTCCTTATAACTCAAGAACTTTCCTGAGAATTATCATGTTTTTTAGGTTTTCTTCAGGATCAAAGTAATCCAGTGTTAGATGTCTGTACATCCATGGGTACGCTACAAACAGGAACAGCTAATAGTTAATTTGGCATACTTTTAGTGGCACCACAAATACAGGCTAGAAAATTATGGCTTAGGTTATAGCCGCTAACTAACTGACTCCTTGGCAACATTATACTTCCTGTTTACATCCCCCAAAGCCCCCAGTTATGGGAACTATGGTTTCAAAACATAGAGCACAATTACGCCTCAAATTGATGTATGTATTGATCTATACCATTCGATACATTTGACATCAGAAAAATAAACACTTGAACAAACAAGTGTGATCACAACTAACTAAAATGACAGAAACCATCTTTGGGAAAAGATTATTTGAGGTGTATTTTTTTAGTTTGGCCCATTTGCTAACTTGGAGGCAGCTGGCTTTATGACCTGTACTGCAGTCAGCCACCAGGGGGCGATCAAGATGTTTTAACTTCACTTTTAGGGAGCTGTCATGTCATCCGACTTTTATATGTCGATGGATTAAAACCTAGAGAAATCCGAAATTTTATTCAGGTAACGGTACGTTTCTTACTTGCCTCTAGGTGCTATAACGTCCAGGTGACACGGCAGAGGGTGAGCTGAAGTTGGCAAATGTGACTCAACGTAATGTGAATCAAACTTTAATTTACCTCATCTTTGAACACAATTTCTGCCTTAGTTACATCTGATGTTTAACAGTGAAAATAACAACTCCTGTGATCCAACGCTACTATATCCGAGAGACCCCTGGTGGCAGGAATGACATATTATACGTTGAATACTGATGTTCAGAAAACTGGCCACAGTCAAATATGTAAATATATGTTTGAACATATATGCACATAGTGTTAATGTATAGTCATTTTTATGCGTGTTACCCTGTGTTTGCCTATGAGCCAATAAGACACGCTGCAAACATGGCTCTTGAAATTAGAGCGTAGTATCTTCCATGTAGGAGTTAGAGACCATCAGTAGAAACAGTAGATGAAAACCTTCCCTGCCCTGATCATCAGTGACACGCCAAAAGAGTATTTCTACTGTGCTCTGTGACCACTTATCCAACAATGCCTTTCTGTTTGAATGAAACCTGCATTCTGAATATTGTGATCTATCTGTAACTGTGATTAAGTGTGCTGTGTATGAGAACTGTGATCCACAGTACATACCAAACATGGTAGCTGTATGAGCCTTATATATACACATATTATAAATGATATATATACACATTTAGATTTCTAAACTTCCTGTTAGCCTCGATTGACTTTCTTATGGATTTGTGTTGATAGAAAAGTGTTGTGTGTTTTGACAGTACGCTCCATTCTACTTCCAACCTGCACGGTATGATCTTCTCAAACCCCCCGAACTCTAATGGATCCTCAGGACTGTTAAATGTGTAGGAGCTACTCAAATCTGGAACACGGACTATAAAAAGACCGAGGTCCACTTCATTATACGTGGATAACCGAGTGAGTCTGGATCTATTAATCTGGAACTGATGTCAGAGCAACACATCATTAAGCCCAAACCAACAGAAGACGTTTTAAGGTGAACTCCAAACACAAGTGGCTCACTCTCTTCAACTTGAACCAGGAAGTGTTGATATAATTATGATTTTAGAAGAGAAGATGCAGGTTATTGTAAAATCTCTATGATCTGTTGGTGTAATTATCAGTATTACATTTCTATTACAACACCAGTTACCTAAAGTTATTCATGATAAAACAAAATAAAATCAGAAACGAACTCATCCACAGGTACCATACAGGGCTGATTCTGAGTTTATCAAAAGCTTAAACCGTCAGACTGGTTTGTCTCTTTCTGAGATTGTGATGGGCATCGCTGTGAAGCCAGTATGGAGGCTATTGACCCACATATGTCTTCCAATTAAAAAGTCTCATTCAAATGTAAAGTGTTATTTTGCAGTTTGTATATTCCAGTATAGTATCTTCATCTTCATCTGTGAGCCCAAAACTAAACTGAGTTTCTGCATCGGTAGATTTGAACAAAGAGTCAAGGCTGCTGTGCCCAGAGGGTGCAACGTCTGTCCAAATCTGTCCAGTAAGACATTTGTGTCATTGAGTATTTTATTTAATCTACCTGCATAAGTGCCTGTAAGTTCAGTTTTTATCCAGTAGTCACAATGTGAATAGGGTGTGCAGAAACAGTGATGGTTTTCGTCACCATCTAGTGGTTGATTAGCTTTACTGCAGACCGACTTTACCTTCAACCTGACAAAAGTACTCTGAACAAGATCTTGAATATTTAGTTTCTAGTTTTATTTATTTTCCAGTTTTATTAAAGTTTATATGAAGTAAAATCAAATGCAGATGTGTGGGCAATTTAGAGTTTCCAATTAAAGGGTAACTTCGGCAGATTTTTTCCCTAGTCTTGATCACTAGAGGTCACCGAGTACTGTCGATAGGAAAAAGAACGACCAGAATTGGTTCTAGCAAACTGGAGATCCTGCAGCTAATGGCCAGAGCTCCCAGTTAGTTATAATACACTTCTTGGGGGCATAAACTAAAGAGTGCCTTTTGCTTCTCTTAGCAGACACAAAATGCAATTAAAATGTCTGTGCAACATGATCAGGGCCATTACGTGACAACAACATGCCTTTTCAACTCATACGTTGTGCAGAAACCGTACAAAACAGTACTGTCGCCTATCTGTTTTTCCACCGCTCGCTTCACCCAAAGCCCAGAATAATCGATCACGGAGATAATGCCCTCGCAACGAAAAAAAGTTTATTTCCCCCTCAAAAATGTCCATGTCTTCACACATTACTCTCCGATTTGCACACTTCCTGCAACAATTTCTTCTTCTGCGTTTACCTGCAACAAGTGAAGTCCCATGGAATTTCTTGTTGCAGGTAAATGCAGAAGAAGAAATGAGTGGAGATCGGAGGTGTTCACAAGGGAAGGAGCTTGGAGTAAGAATAACGTGTGTTGTTGATCTACTGTGGAGAAGAAATGGTTCGCGTTTGTGCCTTTCCAAATGGTGGCAACAGAATGAGAAGGTAGAAGTGCCTACACTTTCATCGTCTACCATTCCATGACCATGAGATAGACGATGAAAGTGTAGGCACTTTTCATTCTGTTGCCACCATTTGGAGAGGCACAAACGCGAACCATTTCTTCTCCACAGTAGATCAACACACATTATTCTTACTCCAAGCTTCTTCCCTTGTAAACACCTCTGATCTCCACTCATTTCATCTTCTGCATTTACCTGCAACAAGAAATCCCACGGGACCTCAGCGCGAGAGCAGTCCTGTGCTGAAGTCCCGTGGGATTTCACTTGTTGCAGGTAAATGCAGAAGAAGAAATTGTTGCAGGAAGTGTGCAAATCAGAGAGTAATGTGTGAAGACATGGACATTTTTGAGGGGGAAATAAACTTTGTCGCAAAGGCATTATCTCCGTGATCGATTATTCTGGGCTTTCGGTGAAGCGAGCGGTGGAAAAACAGATAGGCGACAGTACTGTTTTGTACGGTTTCTGCAACGTATGAGTTGAAAAGGCATGTTGTTGTCACGTAATGGCCCTGATCATGTTGCACAGACATTTTAATTGCATTTTGTGTCTGTTAAGAGGAGCAAAAGGCACTCTTGAGTTTATGCCCCCAAGAAGTGTATTATAACTAACTGGGAGCTCTGGCCATTAGCTGCAGGATCTCCAGTTTGCTAGAAGCAATTCTGGTCGTTCTTTTTCCTATCGACAGTACTCGGTGACCTCTAGTGATCAAGACTAGGGTAAAAATCTGCCAAAGTTCCCCTTTAAGCTGCATGTCTTTGGAATGTGGGAGGAAACCGGAGACACCCGGAGAAAACCCACGTCAACACGGGGAGAACATACAAACTCCACACAGAAAGGGCCGAGGCCGTAAGGCAAACCTTTAACCTTCTTACTGTGAGGCCACATTGAGCCACCGTGCCGCCCTCTCTCTTAAAAAGGTTGTGAAAGGAAGTTTTTTAGGTCGTACAGACTTGTTTGACAAAGTAGAGCTGAAGCTCAAAAGCTTTCGCTCTACTTTGAATGTGGGATAAAAACCGGAGACATCCGGGGGAAAACCCACGTCAACACAGGGAGAACATGCTAACTCCACACAGAAAGGGCCGAGGCCGGAAAGCGAACCTTCAACCTTCTTCCTGTGAGGCCACATTGAGCCACCGTGCTGCCTTCACTCTTAAAATGTGAAAGTTATTTTTTTAGGTCCTTTGACAAAGTATAGCTGAAGTGAGCTTCAGCTCTGATTTGTCAAATGACTTCAATCTTGCCTGTACATCCTCAAACCCCATCTGACACATCCTTTTTAAGAGTTTGTATTCATCTTGAAAAAACGGCCAGTGATTTTTTTCAAGATAAATACAAAATAATAATTAAAAAAGGGGGAAGAAGACTGGCACTGGATACTTACCTGTTCTACTTATCCTTTGATCCACAGCTGATGTAGGAGGTGAACGGCTTCCTCAGAATCCTGGCTGCAGAAGAGACCATCCTCAGCATAGCAGGGCGCTTCTGCTTCCTCTGTAGCGGTGAAGTTGATCCTTTCTCCGAGTTGCTGACTTCACTGTTAGACAATGAAGTGATGACTGCACAGGCTGGAGTGACTTTGTTTGACCTTCTGAAAAACCTCTTCACTTTGGTGAAAAAGCTGATGTGTTTTTCAGAACTGCCCAGCTGCACTTTTAATGTCCTGACAACAACTTCGTCAAAAGCTGCGTCACCGGACAACATGGCTGCGTGGAGCAACTTTGGAGATCCAAAGTTGCGACAAAGTTCTTTGTAGACAGTGATGTGGATGTTTCCAACAGTCTGTGGGAGAATTGATTTTATTTCTCCCACAGTCCTTGCTCTCAGACGCTCCAACATCCCATAAAAGTCCACGTCAAATACTGATGTCTTGGTGGAATGAGCAATGTGATCAAGAAGCTTCCCGAGAAGCACAGCGAGAAAGGTCCTATCTCGCTGTAGCAACTCGTCTGCAGAACTGGCAGAACACTTCAGACTCTGATCACCTGAGAGGACTGATCTACGCTGCTCTGATGCAGAGCAGATTTGATCAGCTCCCTCCGCGCAAAACTCCTCAACATCCGTGACTTTGTTGGGAAAGCAGGCCTGTGCGGTAAACTGCTCAACACTGGACACGTCGTCTGGAGAGCAACCCTCTGTGTCAAACTCCTCAATGTCGGACATATCATCTGGATAGCAAACCGCTGTGCTCAACCCCTCCATGTCCGACTCATCATCTGAACAGCAACTCTCTCTGGTAAACTTTGGAACATCTGCCACCTGGTCTGGACAAGAACCCTTAGAGGAATCACTCTTCAGGGATTCTTCGTCCTCAGGTGACTCAAGATCTGTCAAGATCAAGTGATTCAATATACGGCAGATGAAGTAAACCATATATTTAGTCTGAGATGAACCGGTTAATTCTGACTCAGCAGACTCTGTTGACTTTGTGGGTGAAGGTGACTGTACGGTTGCAGCCAACATGTTGTTCACCCTGTGGGTCACTTCTGCTGAGAGAAACTCCAGTAGCATTTCAGACTCCGGGGATCTCTCCTGTTCGTATCCGAGCACCTCACCGAAACAGAAGTGAAGCAAATCCCCAATGCTGGCTTGGATGTCTTCCTCTGTCACATAGCGATAATTACACGTCCTCTGTGAAGTTTCACTAAAAAAGAGAAGACAGTCACACATTAGTCAACTGATCTGCTGCTCTGGGCAGTGGGCAGTGATTTATAGCAGAATCTGCTGGAAAATATTTGATCAATGTGTTGGAAAGTTTGGACTTACCTTGTGATAGAGCTGCTGCTGGCGTTCCTGGCAGCCTCCTGAGCAGTCCAGCTTTCAATCTGAGGTGCCACAGTTTCTGAGACCGAGAGGCTGATTGACTCTATGATCTTGTGGCACATGTCAGATAGAAGAAGGACTGTTTTGATGTGGATTTTGCCATCAGCTATTAACTTCCACTGCCTGGAAGAAAAGATTAAGAATGGGTAAGCAAAACAAACATTTAACCAATGTGTATGTAAAGTGTATACAATTAGAATTTCTGCAACTGATTTGATTGATGAATTTTAACTATACTTACTCTTCTGTGATATCATGTACGAATAAATTGAGGATGGATTCAATGACGTCTGATGTGAAAAGAGGAACATCCAAATCGCTGCACCTGAGTTCTCCTAGTTCATCCGATGAGATCTAGAAAGAAAAACAATCAATATTCAGCAACAGTAACTAAACACTGGGGTGGGACTGTAAAAGAATCTACATTAATAGTTATGGTACTTGGTGCTGTGCAGAATTCACAAACCACCTTTTAATTCAATCTGCAAGCTGTCAGTATTTGATGCATTTGAAGAGCTTATGGTCAAAATGAAAGTGTTGTCAAATGTTGCCATTGAAAAGCAAACTGTTAACTGTCTGATTTTAGCATACAGCAACCAATATACACTAACATAGAACATCATAACTGGAAGACATGTCTTTCATAAATATAATTATACTGTTTCATCAAAAGTTGAACCAACAGAAGGTGAAAACTTTCTCCTTGAAGTCGTCAAGTTCAACTTTTGTGTAACTGTGTGTGATTCAAGGCTAGATTTTCTTACTTTGTAATCCATGTCGAGATCCAGTACGTTCTCCATGGATGTAACTAGTCAGTTGTTCTCGTGGTGAAGGTCTGTGTAGATCTGTTCACTGTGATCTCTGGAGCTCAGTGAAATGGACTGTACAACAGAATTCATCCTAAAGTTCTAGAGTGTCACATCAAAGGAATAGAACTCATCAAAGGTATGAACTCATCAAAGGAAGGGAACGCATCAAAGGTATGGAATGTATCAAAGGTATGGAACTCCAGAACATTCTATGTTAATTTTATGTTCTAAAAAAAACAAACACTGAAAGCACACATTCTCAAATAGTTATACATTTTAAATGTAAACCAAAAAAATTATTTACATTCAAAAAAAAACATAAAAATGTGTTTTTCTTCTTTTTTCTCCAGTTGGATGTTTGAGCTTCTCTGCACAGAATACTTATACAAGTGTGACAGAAACCTGAAGCCACCAGTGCACACAAACTGAGAATGGCAGGAAATTTAAGAAATTAACATTTGTATACTAATAGATTCTTGAAGATGCCTTTTTAAGGATTTTAATGTGGAGATTTTACTAATTTTGAGGAAAAAGAAACATCAGACACAAATTATTGTTGTGTGTCAGAACATGGCTACGTTCACACTGCAGACAACAGCAGCCCAAATCTGAACCGTGTAAACAACCCGTTTACACACTGGCAATAGAAATTGATGAATAAATGAAAATAATACATGTTTCAGAATCTTACATATGGAACCTTTAAACTGGTCATTGAAAGCAAATTATTACACCCGCCTCTCCCAAAAAGTCATCAGTTGCCACAGAAAAAAATCTGATTTTGTTCATACCTTTATTAAAAACAACAAACAGTGATAACTGATTTCACAAGCAATATAATATTTACGAAACCTCCAAAAACACACACTGACAGGGTTAAAAAAACAACAGCCTCACATTAATGCTAACACGTATAAATAAATTAGCAGAAAATCTTAAACAAACTGTAAATATATTCTGACAGGAAGAAGTAAATGGAATATGGCGCTGCAGTGACAGGCTTGGACACAGGTTGTCCATTCTCTGTTTGTTCAAACTTCAAGTTAACATTCCTCTGTGACTAAACTCTGTAAACTCATCATTATAAAGCTGATCTAATCAATCTGAGCAGCACACATTAAACAGTCTCAGGTCTGATGCTGCATGTACCGGCTAACACAATGACATTAGGAAATGCATTTAGCATTTTGTTAAAGGTTGCTGCCGAGGATCTTCTGCATGCTTCATTCAAACAGTAAACACACAACAAGTTCACTTTTTTTTGTATTGCCATGAATGCATTCATATCTTTATTCTTACAGTAGGAAGTAGTTAACACATTAGATTTACAGCTGTGATCACATGAATTTCATGTCAACAAAGAAGTAAGCAGTGCCTCAAAGGTTTTACTGATAAAGAATCACAAGGTTACTTTAAAATAAAGTCCCATAATAATTGTACAATTCATTTTTAATACCCAATCATTTCTGCTCTTTAAGATCAAACTTGTGGGGCGTAAAATGTTTTGTCCCAACTAAATTGCACCATGCGCAGAATATTAGTAAGCTCTTTCAAGACGCTCTCCTTTGCTTTTTCCCTGTTCGCATCCGTGCACGTCGGAGATTTTGGTCGTGCTTGCTCTCTCACTTCCTTCTCATTTCTGAGCAAATTGCTCACACACTCAGGTTCGGCACAGTTTCCATACGGCCATTCCTTTGTGTCACTTGTTGTCAAACCAAACAAATTTCCACAAGATCTGCACGGAGGCATTTCTTCCTCTCTACTGAGGCTGAACGCCTGGCACCTGACCTGCTTTGGAAGCTTGATGGTTCCATCAAAATAACCCTTCTTCTTATTGTTTGGATAGTAGGTCATCACTGCACCAGCCACGTAATGCTCCCAGTTGCTCAGACAAGATGCAGCGATCATGATTCGTCCGGGATTACGGCCAGAGGTGGACATGGAGACTCCGTAGTATCTGGGTGAATTGCGGGTATTGTTGGGCTGAGAGACACAAATGGTGCTGGAGATCAGATCTGTTGCTTCATTCTGCTTCAGTTTAACAATGAGCTGTCGCAGCTTCTTTACTATTTGGTCTTCCTTCTCTCGTCCAATCAGGAGTACAATCTGTAAGCAATCACAAATACTTTCAAACTGCTGTTATCCCCAAATGTGGTATCATTCACTGAGTCATGATTTGTCTTTAAATGATTAATCATTAACTGTAATATCTGAGGATGTGTAGGTGAAGAGGCAGCTAAACACAGCTTGACAAGTAACAGAACTGTATTATCCGTTGACAAACTATAGTCTTACCATGTCCAGCACACATGAGATTGGACTCCGCTTGGGTACTTGAGAGGAATAGAGTTGAAAGGGCCGAGGGTAGCGGCCCTTCAGCGTGTTCAGCATGTCATCATCACTCACAATATCTTTTGGGGAATACGGTGGAGTGAAGATGTCTCCCAAAAAGAAGATACCATGGAGAACCTGTTGATTTAAAACACATTCAAATAGATGTATTCATCATGTATCCTAAATACACAATAACACAGGGGTCTCACACTCTTTGTCAAATTGGCTTGGGGCCACTAATGTCATCTCGTAGGAGGGCCACTTCAACATTTAAGTACAAAAAAATATTCTGTAAATGTCATTACCACCACATAGATTTTAACATCATCTTTCAAACAACAAATGAATGCCTGAGATCTGCTCTCTTCTTATCAACCCTTTGCACACATTTGCAGGCACATCTGACCTTTTTTTTATTATTTTGCACCAATTAAATATTATAATATTTGGTAGTTTAAATTGTAATTAAACTAATACAAAAAATAATTAGGGTTTTCCAATCAGGGTTTTTGTGGCCCTAACCGTTGGGTCTATTTTAAGCCTTATGTTATTAGTATTTAACTATTCTTAACAATATTGTATATTAAGTATTCAAATTAATTAAGGAATTAATTGACAATTTATTTATTGGCAGGCAACATGTGCAACATATCCCCCGCCCCCTCTTAGAGCCAGACCTTGAAACTAGAGCAGCCTATGCTTTATTTCTGTTTCTATAGGTAATTTCTTATTTCATTACTTTAATTCATTCTCTACTTTATTTTGGTGTTTTAGTGTTCACTCACAAAATATTGTACACTCACACCTGGCCCACCTCTTCCCGCTCCTCTCCATGTATCACACAGATTGTGTGTGTGTGTGTGTGTGTGTGTGTATGATTGAAAACGAAACTGTCGCTGTAGCTGCTCCCTGCTTGTTCTCCATCCGCAAGATAACGTCTCTCTCTCTCTCTCTCTCTCTCTCTCTCTCTCTCTCTCTCTCTCTCCCTGTGTGTGTTTCTCTGCAAAATACCAAACGAGTCCCTGACCGTGAAGTAAATCTGTGTGTGTCAAAGACTGAACAACTTCCTGTGGAATAAAATCAATTTGTCAGCTGATTTATGGAGATAGCGAATTTCAATCGGATCACCCTTTTAAATAATGTAACTAATAACAATAACGCGGGCTGCATTCTATTATAATATATATTATATTATATCATATTCTACTTGATATCATGCAGCGGGCCGACAGGTGGGCGGCGGCCCGGAAATGGCCCGCGGGCCGGCAGTTTGAGACCCGTGCTATAACACAACGATACATTATGTAAATAAACATAAAATTTCAAATGTTCACTTTCCATCAGACATACCTCATCTACCAACACTGATGGGTGTTGTGGACTCAGTTCCACCATTTCCTCGATAATCCAGAAAGCATTCCTTCTGAAATAATCTCTCTTTTTCAGAAATTCTTCCTCTCTATAAAAAACAAACATAGTTATAGTTGGGAGGGAATAAGACAGCAGAAGGCAGCAGTAACCAGCTGTGCTTCAGTAAATCAGCTGACTCACCTCCTCATCCTGTGTGCAGCAGCCTGATGCAAATGAAAACACCACACATTACAACAGTTAGTTCACTGGCGACAGAAATTAAATCAGCTGTGTAGAATGTAATCATAATGCTATAAAATAACTGCAAAGGACCAAAGCAGCTACTCACCATTGTAGCTCGAGAGAAGATGAAAGAGAAAGTAAGAAATGAAGCCCTCCCCCCCTCACACCAAGCACCACTCCTTATTCATGGTCATTTAGAAACCGAAAAGCCACTGAGTGCTTACACAAGTAGATAGAGATATTCATTATTAGATTGTTCTCCTGAATGTCAAAGTACTGATTTCCCCACCACTGAACAGAGAAGGAAGTCTTATAAAGTACACCATGCTCATACAGTTACAGCTAATCTGAGCCCGGGCACTCCTACATGTTTAATGATTGTCAGAATATACATGAACAAAACGTGTAGCTGTGACTGGCACATTTACTTCAGGGTTTAATTGTGTAAAAAGCAAGTCAGTCTAAAACCAATTTTCTTCATATCTTGTGCTTTGTTGTTCATTATGAGCTCCCCTGTTAAAAGCAGAGGTATGCATATGCATTCATTAAACGTTTGAATACCACAAAGGAATAATATGTTTATTTAATGTGTTTGAAGGGTTCAAAATAATAATAGCTGGCCAATAGGAGTACCAGTTACCTATCTGTGGTTCGCAAAATAAGTTAATTAATATAATTTCTGTTGATGTTTTCCCTTTAATATTGTTTATAATATCCTTGCATATTTAGTCTAATATTAATAGAGAAAAATGTTACAGTGAATTTTGTTGTAGCAGGAAGCTTTGACAAATTCTTTCATTGTCTCCAGTGTGTAAAAAAAGGACTCCAGTTATCACCCCATAATCACCTAGTTATCAGATGTCTCACATCATTTTCATAAAACCATTCACTGTCTCCTTTTTTCCATGAAGGTCTCTGCATCCATCACATTCGTCCACTGATTCATTCAGTTCTCCTTGATGATTCCAACAAAAAAGTGAACTTTGTGCTTAGATTGAGAACCACTGAGTCATTATTTGATTATTCATGTGATTTATTTACACTTTTTTTTTTACATGTATCAAACAACTGTCAAACAAAATGCACCCGCTGCTGGCTCCTGCAGACAAAGAGACAGAAAAAACAAATTAGATCACTTAATATCATCCATATAATCTTTACCCTGCAGCAAAGACAAAGATACTCACATTTGGATTTGAGACTCTGAAGGAATTTAGACTTTTCTGCTGTCACCAGTTTATGATGCGCATGGTCCAAACTCTTCCCCACATCGCCCTTCTTCACTTCCCCCAGTCCTTCTTACTCTACACACAACAGAAGAAAACCCTGTTAATGCCCACAAGGTGACCAATCATCAAAGGCAAAGCCCTGCTTGTTCCCAGCAACTGAACTGTAACCTCTCACCATATGTTTGAAGGCCTCCCCTTCGTAATAGCTCCTGGATGCTGGATACTCTATCCCCTCGGCACATAGCTGCTCAAAGGATGAAGCCACCTCATGCAGCTCCTCTCCATCGTAGGCATACATCTTTCTGTCCTCGCAGGTCATCAGAACGAGCTGGTCACACGGGCACGAGGTCCCCTTCACTACGCCGACAACCTGCATTCTGACGATCTCGGGAAGGAAGAATTTCCCCCACCCATTCACCTCATCATGCTTCCCTCTGTAAATGGTGTCTTCCAGGTCTCCTATCTTCATTATGGCACCAGCTGGACTCTCTAAGGTGAACTTCTTGTGTTTGTATCTGAACACAAAGTCTGACATCTGTGTAAGGTAATCTGGATCGGGAACGCAAAAGAGGAGTTTAATGGAAAATACTTTTCATAGGAAGTTTTTATGATGTGTGCAGTGTAACCTTCACATACCTCTCTTAATTTGCAGGGAAGCAAGCATAGCAGATGCTGGCCTAAAAGATAGAAAACGTTTACAAAAACATGGCAGCATAACATCAGAATTCACTCTCTGACCACATGGCAATGAAACAGGACACAGCTTTCTTCCCAGGTATCCTTTTATATGTCATAACTCGTGTAGTCGTCCATGATCAGAACTTAAAACTGGTTCTTACGGGCACAGCGTCACTGGACCATCCGCCATCCTTCCTCTGACTCTCTGTCACCTTTAAAAACATTGCATTATTAACAGTAGTGGTGGAAAAATACTCAAAACCTTTCATAGAAATACAATATAATACTGTATTACAGTTGGCTCTTGGCTTTCACTGCGTTATGTTATATATTACGCACAATGTATCAGCAAAGAAATAGTCCCTTTCCTCTCACACCAAAATCGAAAGTAAGGAAATCGACCTTTGTTGTTCCTCTTCATACTAAATGTGAAAACTATAATCGCATTTAAGAATTTCAAATTCGGAAACAATGTTTAGTGAGCTGCGTAACAGGCACAACACTGTTTTCCATAATCACCAATAATGTTACTCCATTATTTTAACAGACATAGCGGACTGAAAAAATAATACCAATACATATAAAGTGTGGCACAAATCTTATTATAATATATAACAAACTCCAATAAGAGTTAGTTACCACAGCTGGAGTACAGTCTGAAGGGTTTGCTGTCCTCAAGTAAATGACGCTATCAGCTCACAGTTTGGGTCTGTTTATACTCTCGCCGCTCCCCGCTCCGGTGCTGCCTTCAAGTGCTCCTCACATGCTGGTGTGATTTCCGTCGGGCGGCAGGAGGATTAATTAACCTCTCAAAGTTTCACTCGTTTCTAATTTTTTATTTCCAAAACACATCTTGGAAACTTCTGTAAATGGTGGCTTTCTTCGTTCTGTTTACAACTACGACGTTAAGCAGTTTATGTATGTAAGGTTTATTCTGCAGACGTAAATCCCAAAATGTCCCAGTGTCTGTGAAGGCAACACGAGAATGTGACGCAGCCGTTATAATCTAACCTGTGAATATTTTATTATTGTATTTTGGATTCAATTTACTTTGTCGACATCTTCCTTTAAACTCGTATCAGTTAAAATTTCCATATAAAAAATAAATAATAAAATGTAATTAAATTGTATAGAAAAGGGGGCGGGTCTAAACGAGGAACTTAGCTGACGTCGCTGTTACCGGTGAGTCTCGTAGGGTTTTCTCTCGAAATGCACATTTGCCGGAGGTGCCAACTCATGACGAAGACTCTGTGTTTAAATAAATATACAACGTAGAGCTTGAGAGCCACATATAGTGTATTTATTCTCCGTACTGCCCAGGACGAACAAGCTTTAGCCTTGTTATGCTGCTGACCTCAGACTGAGTCAGCTGCTGCTGTACATGTCTAAATGTTTCTGTGTAGAAGCTCCAGTGATGTAGTGGTGTTTTGCTCTGAGCTGCTGAATTTAAACCTCCTCTTCTTCCTCTCTCCTGTCTCCTGTAGTGATCCTGTGCTCGTCCTGCTCCCTGCAGATCCTCTCATCTCAACTCAGGACAGTCCTCCGTCTCTGTAGCAGTCACTCAGCATTTATAGCTGTCTTTGGACTTGTGTTTTAGTACAAGTGTGTCCATCAGTGTAGTTACACACAGCTGCAAAGGTGACCATTCCTTTATATTTCTTTAATGAGGCAGCCTCTGGTTTTATATGTACTGTCAGTGGTTTTAGTCCAATAAAAAAAGCCAGTGGAGTGACTCCTTCAGTCTAATGCCTTTTCTTTCATCCTGTTCAATCCATTTTATCGACTATGTGATGTAACATTATGATCACTCAGGTCTAGGACACATTAGGCTGGTGGTCATAATGTTTAATGTCATTGGTGTATAAACAGGTAATTGATAACTGATAAGAGGTTTAAAACTTTAAGAAAGGGGAGTCTAGATGAGATGGAGTTAGGAATTATCACATTGTGTACCTCTGTATATGAATCAGAGTATGGTAGGAAGTTAATTTCTAAGTTGTATACAGGAGCTCAAAAGGAGATGATACACTATGTATAAAAGAAAAGTGGGAGAAAGAGGCAAACATTGTGATATTGGTGGATAATAGTGGAAAACAATCTGCTCTTTGCTATCTCGGAGAGATGATCATGAACTCCAGCACATAAGAAAAACCAAGATGTATGGAGAGGATACTGAGGGTGAAATGTCCACTCACGTTTAAGATAGTATACCTCAGGGAAATGAACATGGGACACAAGATTAGGAGACTAATATATGTTTATGACAATGTCAGTTGAAAATGGCTAGGAAGTGCACAAGGTGTGAAATAAGATAGGTGCAGGTGTAAGGGTTATAAAGAGGGAGAGAATTATGAGTATTTCAATTTGGCGTTTTATTTGTTTTTTCCCTTCTTTTTCTTTCTTTTATTTATTCTTTCTCCAGTTATTTTGCACATTTTAAAAGAACATCTGAGGGTGTATGAAAGGATGTGGATGTGCACCTGACGGTAAAACTGGAGAGATAAATGGGATAATGAATATGTATACACGAGTATATTGAAAGAGACACACAGCTACATTTCAATGATCTGTTTCAACATGGTAATTTATTAAATACATTTTTCAATTTAATTAAAAATAATTAAATAATTAAATAAAACATGCTCCAGAAGTATTTTGCACAATCTATCTTATATTTCTACAGGGGAACAATTGCCCCACTAGGTGGCAATACAGCATCAAAACACACCGAAGGAGCTCTGCAACGTCACAGCCCAGCCCTTAGCAACCACATAGCTCCACATCGACAACGTAAAGTGTGTAGACTGTCGCAAACACACCGAGCGTTATGAGAAATATGACAAGCCACAAATTCTTGTTGTTTTTTTTTTCACATAGAAAGTTAAATACGATGTAAAAGAACCACGCATGCTATGTTGAAACTGTAGTTCAAGCCTGAATATGTTTATATTTGTTTGGTAGTATTTTTGTGCCAGTTGCTGCAGTGAATTTGGTTTCTGTATCCGGTTCGCCTACCAAAATAAAGGTTCGTCTTACATCGTGCAAACCACATAACAGAATACAGCTGGTTAAATACTTTAAAGTATATTTTTCTTCTAAGTTGTGTTTTTTTTAAAACCATAATACAAGTCTTGCAATCTTTTGGTTTTACTTTTGATTCCATAATGAGTTTATTTTTTTAGTTTTTTTTACAGCAACTCCACAAAAAGTGATTTTCTGTTGCAGGCCGGGGTGTCTTTCCACTTTCCAATAACAATAAGCAGGAATGTGCCATATTGTTTTCCTGTAAATGCCAACTTTGCTATCTTTGACTCAATTTGAAATAACAGGCATTAAACAATATAAAAAGTCTTCTAAAATATTCTTAAACACGGTACATCACGTTTGTTAACTGTAGTGTAACTTTAGAGAAATAGTAGAAAAACAAAGAAAAATGTCATTGCTACACAGGCCTGGGGAGTAACAGATTACGTGTAACTGAGTATACAAAAAAGGCAACTGTAATCCATTACAATGTGATCAGAGTACAGTTATATTCAATAAAAATGGGGATTATTTAGCAGTTTTTCTTTAAAAATACGCTGATTATACATTTTTTGCATTTCAATTTTTTGCCATTTGCATTGTTGTGTTGTATTATAGCACTTGCATCAGTACTTATTATTGACACCTCTTTTCTCTTGTTTATATTTGCATATTTAGTGCGGAGGTAATCCAAAAGTAACATAAAGTAACATTGTGACACGTGGATTAGATTACTGACTACATTTTTTTTTTTATTTTTTTTTTACCAGGTTATTACTAATTACATTAGATTACATTTTTTAAAGTAACCCTCCCAACCCCTGTTGCTACATTTGTGCAGCTGTTTTCTAACCATGTGCTTCCAGGCTGAGCTCTCTTATTTTGAAACAAATCCGACGGTGCTCTGACAGGAAGTTGCGCGCGGTGTTATAGGCGGCAACTTGACGCATTTACGCCAACTCCGGAGACGGCGTCAGTGACAGTCGGTCTTTTCCTTACACAGGTGAGTGGTCTCCAGTTTGTCGACGTCTTGAACCCACATTTATCAGGTATTCACACGTTTATTCTTCGTTATATGAGGCTTCTGTAGCCGGGCAGGCTTTGGGAGGACGAGGCGTTTCTGTCACATGAGGAGGAGGAGGAGGAGGAGGAGGAGGAGAAACGAAGGGTAAAAAAAAAAATAGAAATTGGCTTTTTTTTTTTTTTTTTGACAGCTAGCCTTTAAGCTAGCGTGCTCAGGTGAGGTCGAGTGATAGGATAGTGTTTGCGGAGGACACCCGGAGGCGTTGTACGGCTGTCACGGGACGAGCGACTGTGTCCTGTAGTGTGTTTGTAGAGCACACAACAGAAACAGACATTATTAATGGTGTTCGCCTCAGTGTGTCGGAGCCAGCAGGGCAGCTCAAAGTGCACAGGGAGTAGCGTTACTGGAGGGATTTCTGTTGCTTGCAAGCAGCCAGAAAACCCACAGACAGAAAGCATCCGCCTCTGATATTTTAACTGTCTTGTTGTTGTTGTTGTTGTTGTTGTCTGTGATAGCTTCTGGGAATGTCCTCTGGTTCTCCCAGAAGAGCTGGAGAAGTGGAAGTAGAGGCCCAGCTGCACCAGGACCTCTCTGGGACTGCACCGCTCTCCTCTGACATGGACTAATTTTCGGAAAGTTTTTTTTTTTTTTTTTTTGCCACAACACGCCTACCGACCGCCGTCCATTTCTTTTTTTTTTTTTTTTTCTGCATCTATTTCGTTACACCTTGCCAGAGTTGGTTGTCATGATGTTGAGCTTTGAATGCCAGCGGGAGATGTTTAGCTCATGACTGAAAGACCATGAAGCAGCCCGGGAAGTGACCTCGGTGGACACTACAGCCTGAGGGTGAGCCCCCTCACTGGCACCATGGCGTCCAAGGAGAGACTGTATGAGGTCTGGATGCTCTACTGCACTAAGGTAAGGTGTATTCCTGTGCACACACACACACACACACACACACACACACACACACAACACACACACACACAGAGAGACACACAGCCCAGGGAAATGTCTTGAGGTGAAGTAATGGACAGTATGATGACATTTCCTCCCTGGCTAAGAGGTTATTCTTTCTTGGCATTTATATTTTGGAAGTTTAGTGTTACTGCTTGTTTTTATAATGGACTGACTATAGTTAGCTGTAATTCAAGTATCAATGTGGGATTTCAAAGCTATACCAGTCAGATTGCCATTGTTTTGTGGCAATGTTTAGCATCTTTTTATACTATGCATTACACTTTTCAGGATACAGAAGCCTCTGAAACAGCATGTAAAACATTATAGGACTCTACAACGCTCCAGTTAAACCCAGACTAATGAAATTGCTTGCAGATCCTAAAGGATTTATTGGTAGGGGACACATTAGGCTTATAAATGAATAATTAATTCACAGAGAACCAATGTAACATTAATGTTGGTTTCTCTGTCGCTGTGGTCTATTTTTATTTAAAAGTAAAAAATCATACCATTCATAGCACTTGAAGGTTCAGCATTTATACCACACTAGAACGGATCCTGTGTGATCATGTGAGGCTGTAAAGTGAGTTAATGGTAGGACAGCCTCATAATGTGGTGGGCGCTGCTGCAGTGAACGGTGCGGTGCGTGTAGGACGCTGCTTTGTTTTTACAGTGGAGATGAATGAATGACACTCTAGTAGAGACAGCACCCCTTGAGTCAGCTGTTGGGTAGATTTAATTCACTTGGCGATAAAGCATGCACACGTCCTGGCGTCCAATCAAAGCGCCCCGCCTGAGCCGCTCCTCACGTGAGCCTGGCTGCAGTCGCACACATACTTCCCTCAGTAATCTCTCACAATAACACACACACATACAGTACTCAACCCTCTCTGAGGTATTTACCCCTTAAAAGCAAAGCTGTTGTCTGCAAGTTTAGGATATGTCATCAAATAATCCTCACCCTGAGAAGTATGGAAGCTTTCATGCTGACATAAATAGAATATCTAATGCTAGTGGTGTGGGTGTTTGGGGGTTTATAACAGAAGTATTCAGACACACTGTTACCCACGCGCACTTGTCACAGCCACTTGTGAAAATGCCAGCAATTGCTGCAAGTGTACACATTGCATTTGTTCTAGCAGGAATGTGTATTTGCATTGACTAAGCATTACACTGCGAGGCAGGATCATTTCATTTCACCCTGGCTGTGAGCCAGGGTCCGCTGGGCCAATATTTCTCCCCTGCGTGAGGCAAAAGAGACGCTGGGAGAGAGGCTTTTAAATATATATGTGTAGCGGCCTGTCTCTCTCTCCCCGAGCAGCTGAAAAGTCAGGTATGGCCGATATGTGCATGTATGTGAGGGGTTGCCAGGATATGTTGGCTGTGAGGAGAACCTGCAGTCACGTGGCCTGAATCAGATGAGGAATGTTGGTGTGAAAGCCCATAGACCCCCTGTGTCCCACCGAAGAGTTAATTGTTTCACAACCAACCTCGGTACTTACCTCCCCTTCCCAGCCTCTTGTTGTCTCAACCCAGGACAACGATTTTCTTGTCTTACTGTGTGCATCTCCTGTCCAAAAGTACCACAGTTCACTCCAAAATAAAAATACATATCTTTCCTCTTACCTGTAGTTCTGTTCATCCATTCAGACTGTTTTGGTGCGAGTTCCCCAGTTTCGGAGATATTGTCCGAGGAGATGTCTGCCTTCTCTTGAATATAATGGAATCAGATTTTCGGACCACTTTGAGCACCTCAAGCCAAGAGCCCCCTGGTTCCATTATATTGAAGAGAAGGCAGACATCTCCTCGGAAAATATCTCCGAAACTGGGGAACTCACACCAAAACAATTTAGATGGATAAATAGTACAAAAAAAATATGTAGTTTTGAACTGTCTCTTTAAGCTTAAAAGAACAACGGTACAAGCTGTTTAAACTAGGTTATATAATTCAGTTTGATGACTTTTTGCTTTATTGTTCTCTTCATAGCTCCCTCATGTCATTTGTCTGTTTAATGATTGTCAAAACAGTGGGGACATCACTTCCCTTAGTGTCAGAGTTGAACACTTGCACTGCTCTCTGAGGAGGAGTCGGATGTGTGTTGTTGACAGTACACACTTGGACAATACACACAGCGGAGGGTCGCATTAGGAGAACCAGCTCGACCTGCTCTGTCAGCTGGACGGCAGCTGTCTTTTTTATCCCTGTATATCGTTATTATTCACCTGATTGTCAACCAGTCCTCGGAGCTCAAAGGGGACAGGGGCGAGATGTCTTAGAAATGTTCACATGTGACATTGTAATAATAATTTCAGGCTATGTTTCAAGCCAGCAGCGGCAGCTGTTCACATATTGAAGATGAGGTCACAAATTGTTGGGTGAGCAGCTGTGGCATCAAAGTCAGTATGGAGGAGTTGGTGTGATGGATATCGGTGCTGTGCTGAGATTGTATGGGAACCAACTGGATGATATTATTGATTTTGGTTACCCCCCTCTATTCTTAACCACACACCTGAGTTTTTAGTGCATTTGTTGGGGAGTATTTTCAGCTGCAGATTAATCCACATTTGGTGCTCTGATTATTTCTGGCAGCAGGACTGTGTATTTAGGATTGACTCCAAATAAATTACAGTGCCCACGTTCATCGTGATGAGGGAACATGTCAACCAGTGCGACAGTGTGGCTCACTGATGGGTTTTTAATAGTTTTTGGACATTAATGGAGCTCTGTGGCACAGAGGAATAAGATATATAAGGCTTTGAATACTTGTTAGTAGATACATTCACTGCTGGTTTTGGTCTTTTCATGGGATTAGTTGACAGTAAGAAAATATAGAATATTACCAGACTACACTTAAGACATACAGTGTCAAAATCACAAAGTCGCTGTTGTTGTCTTGCCACAGTTTATTAGCTGGTGTCAGCTTGACTTAAAGCACCTTAAGTGAACAATATTTTAGTGTTATATTTACCATTTGAAAGTCAGATGAACAGTATTTTCATGTATGAAGCCTATATTGACTGAAGAACAATCTAACACAATATCTGTAAATTTGTTTATACCAGCAGTTTTGGTGAATACAGCTGTACAATAGGTCTATATTTATTATTTGAGAACACAGTAAATGTATACTTTTTTATCTGTACTGTATGTCATCTTAATCATTGCATTTGTGAATTTATGTATGCATTTTGATGTGTCCATCAGTGTACCATTGACCTACTTGCAGATTGGATTGGTTCTGTAGATGCATATTATCCTTACATTTTATATTACCTTATAAAATATGTTGGCATACCCTTTTAAAAATGGTGGGATCATCACATCCAGAAACTCCAGAGACCCCTGCAGGTTTCTACACACAGTAGGTGGTTATAAATAGTGTAAGCGAGGATTATATATATATATAAATATATATATATATTACACAGTATATTATATTAACAGTTATAATGAGAGTTGTTGCAGAGGTTGACTCCAGCCCGCTTGTTGTAGTGTTAGAGGGCTGAAAGGTCACAGCCGACACTAAGACTGTTGCGTAACAGCGATCCTCTTAGCTGCCTGTCATTGGTTGGTGTGTGTTCATGTTGTCCCCGAACACATTGAGCCGCTGGTTGCCGCTGGTATACAGTGGCAACAACACAGCGCTGCAGTGGCGCTCCTCTTTCACCACTGTATTACCCAGAAGGACTTGTCAGAGAAAGTGGAGGGTTTAGAAGACTTCTGAGTAATGCCAGTTACTTTCTTAAAGCCTTTGTCTGCTGCAGAAAAGCCCTTTTAATTCCTAACCGCAGGGAACATGCCTCAACAGCCAGGGGCATCATTTCACCCTTCAGTGGCTTTAAAGCTGAGTCCGGTATCTTAATTCTAGACCAGAAAATCTCCCTTTTAAAGTCCCTTTTAATTGTCCTCAGACCAGGAGTTTTTGGGTAGCATTCATAGAACCGTCATCCTGTCTCACGTCACCCCACCCTACCCTGCCGGTGGCCTTTTGACTGGATCCAAGAAACGACATTTGAATAAACCCCCTACAGGTATGGGAGTCGAGATATAGTGACAGGATCGGAGGGAGAGAGGGGAAAACAGAGCAGGGGGAAGGAGAAATGAAGCAGTTGAGCCGGAGACGACGGAGGAGGAGAAAGTGCCGCGGTTTCACATATTTGCTCAAGTAGATTACTCAGGTCTTTTTCCGGCTTTGCTGCTTGTTTGCTTGTTACAGTCTAATCTTCGTTGTCACACACACAAATACACACATGTACACCACGCCACACACAAGCTCCCACACACTCAGGCTTTGGTTTATGTGCTGGTATGCAAAGTTTGTTCCCTCAGGCAAGCTTTCTTTCTCACTGCAGCTTATTTCATTCTGTGTTCCCTTCTTGCTTCTCATTTTCCCTCTGTGCTATGAATATCTCTGGAATAACACTGATGTCACTGACATTGTGTATCAGACATCCCTCGTGTGGTTTTAACCCCTCCCACCACCCTCTTTAAATACACCCCTGGCGGTGACGTCATGTCAAGAGTCGCCTCTGACTGATAGGCAGTAATGTTGGGCTGTGATGGTGCACTAACAGGATGCCCACAGCCGTCTTTTAAGGCCTACAGGGAGGGGACCTTTTAAACGTTGTGGTTTCAGTGACTCTGTGCCACTTCCACCAAACCAGGTCACCCACCCAAACTAAGCAAGCAGCCACCCGACCAGCCTGCCGACCGCGCCTGTCTGGAGGGGCGGAGCTCTTGCTGAGCTGCAGACCGTGTAGCTGCACTGCATGACGGCATAGAGCAACTGATAATAGATCAATCAAGTAGTCAAATTATTATCATTTTTTTAATGTATCAGTGTAAAGTAGTTGAAAGTTATTGTGTTGCCACAGAATATAATTACATATTTAGCATAAGGTTTTTTTTATGTTTGTCATTATTGTTTTATTAGAGTTGTAATTCTTGTTGTTAAAACTTGGTTGAGTTTTGTGGTTTTTGCCTTTTGACTTCTTTCTGTGAAGTTTGACTTTTTGTAGTTTGCCCAGTCTTTATAGATGGTGTATACATTGAGCGTTTCTCACCAAAGTGCATCGTGTGTATCCTTGAGGTCTAACACGTTTGTTAGTGCATTTCCTTCCTTTTTTTTTTTTTTTACATTTTAACTTCTGCATTGTTTACATCCACGTTTGCTTGTTAGGGGTATTATTCTTTATTACCTTTGTTGTGTGTCAGCCATCAACCACTGATCAGTGGAATAACCTGAAACCAACGCCCATGTGCATGCACAGGGGTATGTGCACCTTCATACAAACTAAAACAGGAGCTCCATAGAACTATTAATGGTCAAAAACTCCACAGGGTACCTTTTGAATAGTACCAAATGTGTTCTGCTGCTACCATAAACCTAAATTGCATTGCTTCTTGTGTAACCGAGAACGTTTGCCATGAAATAAGTACCAAAAAAGTAGAGCTGCAACCTGTACTCAATTGACAAACAAATATATAGTCACAATCGATTTCCAGCTTCTCAAATGTGAGGATCTGCTTTTCTTTCCATGTATGATTGTACACTTAATATATTTGAGTTTTGGGCTATTGGTCGAGTAAAACAAACAAGGAAGCTCTAAATACATCAACTTGTGAAATTATGGGCTTTTTTCTCAATTTTCTAATATTTTATAAACAATAGACAAATGTATCTGCAGATTAATCAATAATGAAAATAATCCTTTGTTGCAGATGGTTGTATCTTGTTTTCCATGTATTAAGTGGGACGTTGTCTGAAAGTCTGACCCCTTACTATGTGTTTTTATGAGTTGCTATGAAGCATCCAGTGCTGAGAACATGTTATTGGTTTCAAGGATATGATATCACATAGCAGAGCCTGATCTGCCGTCCCAGGTCAACACATGGCTCATATTTTTCAGAGCTCGGCGTCTCTCGTATCAAAATGAACGAATGTCAATGGATCCTGACACTGATCCTTAATCAGCACTTTTTACTACGACCATATAACACTGCCAATGTTCTGGTCCCTCTGTGGCTCCACGGGGATCTCAGTGTCGAGAATGAAGTGCATTGATCTGTGTTGCTGGTGCCCTTGTTAGCTTTACAGAGGTCAGCTTAAACAGATCATTAGGAATGTGATGTAGTAGCTTGGCAATGGGCCTAATATGATAATGGGTGTACATAGGAGAGGCATGTGATCTTCTCATGGGAATTGTTTTTAATGCACACTGGGACACAAGATGGTTGTTAGAGTTGGGACAGGGTGACTGTTGTTGAGTTGGGATTCCTACTTGTACGTCTACATCATTATGTGTGTGTGTGTGTCAGGCCAGTGATGAAGGCAAAGGATAAATAGAGCCATGTAGAGCAGGGTGTGTCCCTGCCTGCCACAGTCCGAACCCTCAATGGGCATCTGTGCTCCCAAGCTGCTGCCTAAAAGAGGACATTCTTTCAGACACACACACACACACACACACACACACACACACACACACACACACACACACACACACACACACATTCAGTCACCGCTACTACCAAGCCTAGTCACTTGAGAGTGAAGCTCCTGGCTTAAATCATCTTCTAATGTTCTGGCATTAACACTGACTTGCACATAAGGACAATACAGTATATATGTTTTTAACAGCAGACAAAAATAAAAAGGTTTTTCTCCTAATAATCAGTGATTCGTGCTGTTAAGGTAACACAGGAAAAAGGAGCATGCCATGTTCTCCCAACAGAACATATTATTCACACGTGGCTGTTGCTGACTGCGTTCAGATGTCGTTCTCCCTCTTTTCTTCTCTCTCTCATCCCTCTTTCTCACACACACACACACACACACACACACACACACACACACACACACACACACACACACACACACAGAGGACAGCGTCGCAGGATTGTTCTGATGACTTCATAGGAATTGCAGAGAGTTGGCTTCCTGCTTCGTTCTGGCTGATTCCCACTCTGACACGCAGACAGAAGCAGTCAGCCTTTCAGCCCCTCTCCCACTCTTTAGCCAGATGGCACTGCTATCCTAAGAAAACCCCATTTTTCCAGTTGTTGTGGGTTTTTTTTCCCCTTCAGTTTCAAGCTAATCGGCAAATTCTTCCAGATTTAAGTAATGGATTCATAGGAAAGTGTATAAGTTGGTTTTGTGAATTGTCTGTGGCCTCCTGTTTGTCTGAAATTGGCATCATGGGATATTTTCAGGTGTATCCAGTCAATGTCCAGCTCAACAACTGTGACAGAGGATGAGGAGAAGGAAGGAAAATTGCATTAAATCAAACTCCACATAGTCCCTCGTGGCTTGAACGAGGGCACAAACTGGAAAACAGCTTTATCATGAATTGTCTCTATTGTCAGTTGTCCAACATGTTCACGTTTCATGACAGGATACCTCAAAATAATGATCTAAATGAATGTCCTCCAAACACGAGCTGGTCAGACCCTTCTACCAAATGCACAATATGCTTTGTTATGGTAATCTTCCCCGATCACCTCTTCAGCCCCTCTTGACCTAGATTGCTCACTGGCACCCTCCAGATGGCCCCATGACAGGATTTGCTGGGGGGGTCGTGAACAAGTGATTACTCCTGTATGATGAATCAATTGGCCCATCCATGTGTCCTGCACCCTGCATGTCTGTGGTGAAACACTTCACTTTCAATTCAGTTGATTGACGACTCTTTTGGTAATAGATTCATCTTTTTAGTCAAGATTTGCCCCTTTTTGTTTCATATTATTTAAGATACATAGTATTTATTATCTTTGGGATTTGGACTTGAATATGTGTTTTGGCTTTGGTAAATTGTGATATGCATTTTTGGCTAATTTTGGCTAATTTTGTCGCTTGCAGTCCTACTGAGGTGTACGTTGTAACGGTTCTGTCCTCTGCTGCAAATGTAATTTCAACAGCACACACCCATTAATTATGCTCTCAGTGGCGAGATTGTATACTGTAACAACATTATAATATGAGGTGCTTTCAGCCATCCATTCTCTGTGTCCCCGGGTCAGATCTGTTGGTGCGGATGGTTTTAGGAAAGATTTAATAAGACCAAATTAAGTTTTTGTAAATAGTTTATAAGTAATTACTAAAATAAAAGGAAAATGTGTAATGTAATTTAATTGGTAAAAACAACTTTGTATTGAAAACCATGTGAAACTTTAAGCTTCCTTCAGAACAGTATTGTAAATATGAAGCATCTTACATGATTTATTTGTATTTTTACTGACTAAACATTGCCCTCTTCCCCTCAGTTAATGTTTATTTACTGTCATGCTCCTGCGTTTACTGTGTGGAGTAGAGGTTTTATGGTTTCATTGTCAGGTATTACAATAATGATGGTAATAAAAACTGACACTGCTGTCTATTGGGATATAAGAGCTAATGCTCAAAGTAGTAATAGTAAACTGGTAATGAGTATTATGAGAGTTGTTTTGAGTCTACATGAACACATTGTCAGCTCTTGCTCTCTCAGCAGTTGTAGTTTTGCCGTCTGGCCCCTGTGTTTGGTGTTTGTTCCTGTGGGCTGAAGGGATTTTACACCAGGAGCTGCACTGTGGAAACTGAGCCAAGCCAGCCTTCCTCTGTGGCTGATGTTGCCATCCCATCCTACTCTCGGCATTTGTCCAGGAATTTAGGAAATGTCGATCAGCCGGCTCCCCCTCAGAATGCAGCCGGGCCTGTTTTCCCTCTCCAACAGGTGCATGTTTTAGCTTCTGCGCCTTTAAAAAGATAAGATACACACACGCCCCACCTGAGACATTCCCGCTCTCACGTGTTTGACATGCTTCGGTTGCAGCTTCATAAACCACTATATCCCGTTTTTTAAAGTCCTCGAGGAAATGAAAACATCGCCTTGTGCATTTGAAAGGGTGTGTCAGTTTTTCCCATCTATTGTAGTTGTGAATTGGGAGAAGACAAAAAAGTTTGCAGCCTATTGTTGTCTGGCTATAGAAGTCAAACACACACACAAACACACAATAAATTGAATCAAATTGCAGACGAGGCCTGTCAGCGGCCTGCCATTTATGTATTTTAACCATGACAGCTTTTGTCAGCAAAGACCACTAACTATATTCCCCTCTTTCCCCTCCCTTCTGTCTTTCTCTGTTCATTTCTCAGAGGGATCCAGACTACTTGAAGTTATGGCTGGAGATTTTCATCAGCTCCTATGAGCGATGCCTGGATGTGGACTTTGAAAAGCCACCTTCAAGGTAACTTTTGGCAAACTGCCGTCATACTTACTTGAAGAGAACAAACAAATGTTATACACATTTACACATTTATACAGAATCATTGGTCACAGTAAATGCCCTGTTCTTCTTCTGTTTGTTCAAAACTAACCAGAAATATAAAAGAATAAAGAGAATCTGTACAAACAAAATAATATAAACTAGTAGTAGAGCTTTTCATGTACCCCCTCGCAACTACAGAGGTAGCCCCTAGGGTACGAGTAACCTTGGTTGGGAATCACTGCCGTACACCAGCCCAGGGTGGCCTCTGATTTTCTGCTATTTAGTCCCGCCCAATTAGTCTGATTACATTTAACATTGTAACATCAGTGCAGTTTTCTGCATTAGGTCACCCCAAGTAGGATCAGAATAATCTCCTCTTGTATGCGTCATCCACAGTGTGACCACATACCGTGCAGCCTTCCACAGCACAACCCAAAATAGCACGGCCACACCAGATGCTTTTGTGCGGTGCGGCCACATTTCATTGCAGGTGATGCTGTGATTGGTGTCGACATGTGAACATATGATTCAGGTTAATGTGAGAGCCCCTCAGTGCTTGAGCATACACCTGAATGCTGGTATCCATTATTATAAAGCATGCAGACGTAGGTGAGCTTTAGTGGTGAGAAGTGAGACAGCCAACCACATTTTATAACGGTGGGGGCGTCATGTGAACGGTGAAGGAATATGGGTGGTTAAATCCTATTTGTTAAGCTTTTCATCTCTCCCTCTCTCTGTCATTTCCTTTTTTTCCTCTTCCTTTACTCATTTTTTCCCTATCCTCTCCTGTATTTCTCTGACTCCTTCCTTCATTCTCTTCCCACTGCTGTCTCTTTGCCTTTTGTCCTCTGTCTTCTCTCCATTTACATCCCTCCCCTGCTCCTTCCCTTCCTCTGCAGCTGCCACATCTGTCCTGCTTTCCCACTCACACTCATTGCGTTTGTTTGGCCGCACTCTCTCTCTCTTTCTCATATGAGCAGTGCAGCACACATGCTGTTTTTCCTAGGTATTAATGCCTGCATGCATCAGGCACGTGTGTGTGATTGATTGAATGCAGAACAGGGTCTGCTCCTTCAAGCTGCCCTTGTGCATACTGCAGTGACACCTCCATGACAAACCCCCGTGATAAAAGGCTATATTTAAAGCGTCCGTCTGCACTTTACCAATTTTAACATTAACCTCGTAAGCCTGGTATATAATGGAGATTCTTATTCATCCTGCTTCTCTTGGTTGTGATGCTTCTGTGTCTCCAGGCCAGAGGAGGTTCCCCCGGTGTTGACGCTCCTCCCAGACAACATCCTGCAGGTTTTGCGCCACCAGCTGCTGCAGTGCGTCCAGAAAGCCTCTGACGGCCTGGAGCCTGAGCAGCAAAACCTGGCTCTGCTGCTGCTCAAGTTCCTTATCATCATCTGCAGGTCTGGACAGCAAACGTGGAACATAGATTGTGTCTTGCTGTATTGTTGTGTATTAGTCTGATTTGGGGACATTTTGACCTTCATGGGATATCTGGTACTCTGAAGCAAGTCATTGATAAAGCTAATGGTTGACTTGTCCTGTGTGTGTTTCTGTGTGTGTGTGTGTCTGTGTGCATGATTGGGTGTTTCTGAAAGGAACCTGTCCAACGTGGAGGAGATTGGCACTTGCTCTTACATCAATCACATCATCACCATGACAACACTCTATATTCAGCAGGTCTGACTCCTCTTCCCTTTGTTTTTGCTCTGATCTTTCTGTGATCTTTATTTTTGGCACAAAAAGCACAAAATCTATTTGTTAGATAGTTGAATGGTTTACTCATTTTGGAGGAAAATGACATCTGTGCCATTCTGCTATTTGGCAACTGAAAAAGAAATCTATTGAGACACATTGAAATGAAAATGTTAATTACCTAAGTCATATGTTGGATGAACTTTATAGAAATAGTCTGAATGAGACAAAAGCAGGTCTGAAGTGGGTGTGTGTGTGTGTGTGTGTGTGTGTGTGTGGTGTTACAGCTGAAGAGCAAGACCAAAGAGAAGGAGATGGCAGACCAGAGCCAGGCAGAAGAGTTTGTTCGTCATGCGTTGGCTTTCTGCGAGAGCCTCTACGACCCGTATCGCAACTGGAGGCATCGAACCTGCGGGTAACAACCTCCGGCAGCTAGCTTGGCATTACTGTACAATAACATGACAACAATAAGGCTAACATTCAGCAGCAATTGAACATGCTGTTTCCACTTTAGTATGTGTGTTTCTTTTAATAGAAAAGGCTTATTGAACACGGAATGAAAGAAAAATAGACTTTGAAGTTGTGCCATCTAACTAATTATGATCATGATGTCCCCTTTCGTGAATCACAGTGTTTTGGTTTTGTTTATATTGTAAACATCTGATTCTTAGTTTTGTTTTTATTATCTGCATAAACGGACTAAGCTGAAGAAGTAAATTCTCAGTGTTTCAAACAGGCTGGGTTTATGGCCTTGGACTAGTGTTGGTTTAAGCTGACAGACAGCAAGACTACAAAATAAAGTACATTATGAAGTAATGTGAAGTATTGTATGCATGTTGTACCTGAACTGTCATGTTTTTCACCTCAGGGAGCAGCTGGGTACAGTAGAGAGGAGCAGACAGAAGTACAAGGCAGCTCCGCTCACTGTTGAGTTTGTTCCTTTCTTTTACCGTAAGTCTGTTCAACTTTCAACATCATGTTGGCATGTAGCAACATTACAGTGCTTCCTCTGTATGGTCCATACTTTGCATCTCTTGCTTCAATAACCTCATTGGGCGTGGATGAGGAAGCAATAAAAAAGCCAGCTTGTAATCACAGAACAGATATTCTCCTCTCCTTTCCTCTTCTCTACCATCTTTTTTTCTAAGAGCTCCCATGCCGTCACTCTCTCTCTCCCGCTGCCTGCTCTTCTTTGCTCTGTGGGTCCAGTTGAATCCACTCTTTGTGTTCATGTTCTGTTTGCCAGGCGCTGAGATGAGCCGATAGTGAATGGTGTCTGTCAAGCCACTTCAGCTACGCTGGCGGCCATTTTAAACAAATACTCCCTTCTGTCCTGTGTCCTGTGTGTGTCTGCGGTGGTTTGGCACTAAAAGATAATACCCAAGGCCCAACTTGACAGACTCTGTGTGTGTGTGTGTAGGAAGACTTTTGGTAAAGGCTAATTTTTCAACTTATTAAGCTCATTTATATATGTAGCTTGATTGGGTGATACTGTGATCCAGCGATTGTAAAATATGATATAATTGTAGCAGTATTAGGATAAAGGAAACAGACATCACAGAGCCAAGAAGTCACACTTCTTCTCCACAATCGGATGTGTTGACAGACGAGTTAATGGATGACTGGGACCACCATGACCCAGAGGTTACTGGCAGTGCTGCCACATGCCTGTGTGTGCTATCTTATGTGGTTTTTCAGATTTCATTTAGCTTTCATGCGTGAGTGTGTGCGTATGTATGAAAGGGTTAGAAAAGATAGAGGTGTGTCTGTTTTAAGGCAAAAATACCGGAACTTAAACAGTTTGCTGTCAGATATAGTTTCGTTATGTGGTTGCGTTGTATTTGCATAACAGACATCACGCCGACTGATCAAACTTATGCTGTGTGTGTGTGTGTGTGTGTGTGTGTGTGTGTGTGTGTGTGTGTGTGTGTGTGTGTGTGTGTGTGTGTGTGTGTGTGTGTGTGTGTGTGTGTGTGTGTGTGTGTGTGTGTGTGTGTGTGTGTGTCCCCTTGTTCCAGAGTGCTTCCAGGAGAGTGAGCACCTTAAGGAGAGTCTGAAATGCTGCCTGCTGCACTTGTTTGGAGCCATAGTAGCTGGTGATCAGGTAAACCTCTGGATGGCCTGGAGGTCACAGGCTTAACAGATGTGTCCTTATCATGTATGTGTTGTGCGAGTGTTTCAAGATTGAACCACATACATTCAGTCAAACAAAAACTGCTCACCTCACACTTTCTTGGGACATTAGACAGTCTAGTATTTATTAAGCAAATGTTGTGGTGCCTTTTGTGTTTTGTATTGCACAACGTCTTTCTTTCTTTTTTTTTTCTTTGTTTGTTCGTTTCCACCATTAAACCTTCATGATAAAAGACATATAGCATCAGTGGATATGTGCATGTGAAGTTCTTTCTAGGGCCAACAGTGTCACACAGTCTGCAATTCAGACTGTGACTACAACACATATCCACATACAACCCAGCACTCTTCTGGAGGGCTTGTTACTGACTCCTGTTTATATATAACACGTAGTCTTGAAAATGTCAGATATAGTGAATAATGCCCATCGCAGTTCAATCCAAGGTGACATCTTCAAGTGTTTTGTTTTGTCTGAAAAAAGTTGGAAGATGTTTACATGATGTTACATTACAACATTAGTTATATTGGCAGTATATAATGTTATATAATGTTATATGTTTATCGTGAGGACAGGACAGTGGGTCTTCTGTTCTCCATATCTTGATTTAAACCCCTTTGACTAACCCCTATACCTTTCTCTCTATCTCTTCAACCTCACTCTTTTCCCTTCTCTCCATCCCTCTCTGGCAGAGGAACGCTCTGTTTGCCATCTCTCCAGCCACCATGGAGGTGTTGATGCGGGTGCTGGCCGACTGCTCCATGGGTAGCTGCTCTTCAGATGAGGGCGAGGACTGGGACAGCGAGGCCCCCGACCGTAAGGCGCTGCTGACTCTGGGCTGCCTGCGGGAGGTGGTGCAGCGCCTCCTGGCCTCAAGCTCTGACCAGCGGCAAGTGGAGATCGCCTCCGTGCTGGAAAACTACTTCAAGCTGCTCAACTCGGACCCGGCGGCTGTCGTTGCTGCCCGACAGCAGCAGCAGGCCAAGGGTCGAGTGCCGACACTAGGCCGACACTGGGAGAGCCGATTTGTGGCGCTGCAAGTACACATGCTAGGTGCTTAATTGACAATAATGGCATTAACAATATGTTATTGATTATATTACTTTGAGCTCTTCTGTTTTGTTGAATTATGATTTGCATACAGGGAGGCCAAGCTAATATGACTTATACCACCTTTTTAATGTCTGTCTTTGTTCTCTTTCTCTCCCCATCTTCATCTCTCTTTGTTTCTGTGTCTTTTGTCTGGCTGTCTCTGTCTGTCTCTCCGGCCATCTCTTAGACACTATCAGGGACATGTTCCTGTGTTCCGACAGGCCAGTTCTACAAGCAATCTTCCTCAATAGTAACTGTTTCGAGCATCTGACACGACTCCTGCAAAACAGCAAGGTAAAAGTGCAAGTCTTTCTGTCTAAATATAACTTGAAGACACAACTTGGTTACAGTGTGAGTGTGAGTGGCTGCATCTGGTGTTTGATTGTTTATGAGTTTATGTTTGTAGCTCAGAACTGGGCCAAATTGAACAATATTCCTAATATATTAGTTACTCTTGAACATATCTTGTATCTGATACTACAAGCTAAAGTAGTATCAGTCCTATTCTTATATCAATTAGTTTTTATACTTTGACACAAGGACTAACAGTTGTACAGTACAACTTGCTGCTTTTTGCAGTTGCATTTTGTTCTGTCTATGAAGGAGAACAGTAACGATGATGAAAACCAGCTTTGATAAAAGGTTGTTTTAGTTTGGATAAATTCCTGAAGTTGAAAAAGTACTCAGATGCTTTGCTTAACTTAAAGAAAATTTAAAGTTATCATCAGCTGTATACACTTAAAGTATCAAAAGTTAAAGTACTCAGTTTGCAGAACAGCCCTTTTTTAGAATGTTATTTATTTTATTATTATTATTAGTGATGCATGTAAGCAGTATTTTACTGTTGTTCCTGGTCGGGGTGGGGCTAATTCAATTCACCCAACTTATCTGTAACAATGCGTCATATTTTATTTGGTAATAATATGTTTTGTTTGCACAATCTAACCCGTATCTAATCTTTATATTTATATTTTTTTTTTTTATAAAGAAGCTTGTATATACTCAAGTAAAGCAGCAGCACCTCAAAATTGTGCTTGAGTAAATGTATTTTCCAATATTGAAACTCTCTAAGATCATTTTACGTAAATGTTTCTATAATTAGTTCAGTTTTGGATTGATTATTTTCCTCTCTGGCAAATGACCTTCTGTTGTTGTGATGGTGTATTCACAAAGGATCTAACCACTAGGAGTCATCCTGAATGGCACTAAAAGTTTCTCTTAAGAGCATTTTACAAAGCTGCAGAGAGCCACTTTTAGTAAGGAACAAAGAGAACTCGTAAGCTAAGAGAAGGGACAGGGTCAACCCTGTTGCGATGGATTTTCTTTGAATGAATTACTGAGTATGTCTGCAGTGATAGTTTGACAGGTGTCCAGTCTTTGTCAGGGATTTAGTATTAAATTAGATAGATCAGGTCTTTTTTAACTCAGAAAATGCTTTTCAGAAAAGTTTATTATTGTCATATTGTTCCTAAATATTGGCGCGATAAGACACATTGACTTTGAGCAGGTCTTAGTGACTTAGAAGTAACTTCTCAAACATAGGAGCTAAAATGCTTTGTGAATGACCAAAAATGTGTGTTCTAAAGTTTGGACTGACACACCCTCTTATTTTCAGGAGTTTTTCTAGCTTTTGAATGTTTTGTGAATATAGCCCCAGGTGTTTAACATGTAATTTGGTTTAGCCTGTATGTCCTGTTTTAGTTAAAGTTTCAGCGTGAGAAAAAGCATTTTGCCCACCTTGCATGTTTACCTCCCCACAGCAAGGCTGGATCACCAACACGCCTCCGCAAAGTGACTCCTGCTGAGGGTCATGGCTTTTAACCTCTCACCCTCTCCTCCACTTACAACATCTTTCCTCCCCCTGCACCACCCTCTTACTCTCCCTTGTCTCCATTTTCTCTCTCTATCGACCTCCCCACATGCCATGTTGACATGTTGCCTGTTGTGTGTGTCAGCTGGTTAATGCTAGGTGCACGGCGGCAGACAAGGACCAGAAAGATATAACCAACAACAGGTTACTGACAGGAGAGAGGGACACTCAGGTACCACCGAGAAAGCCCCCACCTCAACTCACCCAACCCCCCCCTCACAACATCCATCTACCTGCCCCTTGCCCTCACCTGCTGCCAAGTCCCAAGACCTCACCAGAGCCACTCCGCAGCAAGACACTTACACTGCTTTGTCTCGGATAATTATTTGTAATTGGATCATGTCTCAACAGAAAACCCACTGAGTCGTTGGGCTGTCAGACTGCTGGCAGGCAACACACTATTAGTTGTGTGTGTCTTATTTATTTAACTGTTACACCACCATGTTTGTGGTGTTTTTAAATTCATACATTATTTCCTGTTCACCTTTTTAAATGAAGTTGTGTTCAAGTTACTGTAGGTCTAGTAAGTACTTTACAAACTCTATTTTCTTTTTCACTTTCTTGCTGAGAGTTGGAGGAAAAGATTGATACCATTCTCATAGCTGTCTGTTAAATATAAAGCAACAGCCAGTTAGCTCAGCTTAGCACAAGGACTGGAAACAGAGGGAAATGGCTAGCCTGGCTCCGTCCAAAGGTAGCAAAAGCACCATATCATGGCTTGGACTTTTTGACTTCAGGAAGTCACTGAGCCCAGCCAAGAAATAGTCCAGCACATACACACACTACTGTAAAACACTTGGTAGGTGTATTTTACACACTTCCAGCCTCCATGCTTAGCCAAGCTAACTGGCTGCTTGCTGTAGCTGTTTGATCCCTCAAACAGGTTATAGGAAGGCAGAAAGTAGCTTGTAAAGCATCCGTTATAAGTATGACATGAAGGATTCTCAAGCGTATACCTGACTTTTTGAAAAACTGAAAAAATGTGGCCTTTTAAAACTTTTGTTTTCCTGAAAGCTCTATGACAGGAAGCTGTCACTTACAGTACCTGTGTGATAAGTCTGAGGCCCGTCTTTTGAATGGTGTAGTGTCAGCTATCAGTCAGAGCTCTCTCATTGAATCATCTCATGTGCACAGAAAGGTCACTTGTTCCCCTCAGAGTATACCAGCTTTCATTCTGCTCTTTGTACTTCTTCTACTCACAGAGCCACCTTTTATACGGTATAATCCCTCCACTGATCTGGATAATGTGAATACAGGTGGACGAACCAACATGAAGACACACACACACACACACACACACACACCCACCCACCAGTGTGCCTTTGTTGTTGTGCAGCTGTAACCCGATGCACTGGCAGATGCTGCAGCCTGCTTGGCAGGTTTTTAAACATTGAGCTTTTGTTGTTTCTGAGGTCACCTGCAAAACTGCAGCTTAGTAGGTTAAAGCAGCATTTAGTTAATTAACAACAGAGATATGTAAAAGTGATGCAGATGTAATTTAAAAAACAAAAACTGAAATTCCAAAACCAGAAGTGACCCAAAGTGCTAAATGTCTTGCTGTGGAGTGACCCCTTTGCCTCTATCACAGCTATGTCATTTCATTTATTTTATTACCATTTTCCTCACGCCCCCTCCCTCCCTCCCCTCCACATTGTCCTGGTTTTCTGCGGTACATGCTATGGGTTCCACAGGAATGCTATCACATTGGTCTGGTGTGTGTTCTCACAGAGTTCAGTGGTTTGAGGTGATCTGGACTCAGTGACAATGATCTTAAGTGTTTAATTCTCACCACAGTCCCTCTCCAGCTAGTCCAAGACTCTCTGTAGGATCAACCGGTCTACAGCTGCATGTTTATTCTAACGGGTTCAGTGACCCGGAACATGTTTGACATGAGCAGGACAGAGCTGGATGGAGATGTGTTTGTTTATTTTTCATGGTTTGGTTTGTGTTTTATGGGTTGCATGCTTTTTGTGAATATGAGGAAAAAGAGTGAGGTTCTTCTTTGTGGCTGTCTGTGTGTGGAGGTGGGTGTTTTTGTTTTTCTTTCTTTTCTTTTTTAGTTTTTTACCGAGCCCTGAGAGCTTCCTGCTCCAGTCCAATCATTTTAAAATAATTGTTTTCTACCTGGAGCAGAAAGACAACACTATCCTTATCTGCACTGTAACATCTGCAGTACAAGCTTTGATGCCAGCTCGTACTGCAGTGTCAAACTACCATCATGATGATTTTACTCACGTTTTCACCCACACTAATTGAATCAAACTCCAAGGCATCTACTTAAGTCTCCCTTTTATTCCTCCAAGTGTGATGCATGTCGTATTCACTGTAATTTGATTTCATTTGATCATCCTCATTTCAGCATTACAAACCTTATATATGAGTGTGGCTTTATGCATGCTTGTCACTTTATTAAAGTGCTATAGCATTCATCTGGAATAAGAGGAGATTTGACTTGTGTCCAATCATCTTTTACAAACTTAAAAGAACAAGTGATTGGCTGTGGTGAGTGACTGGCAAGTCTGATTTTCCTGCAGGTGTTTCAAGGGCGACTAGACTCCCTCGCTGTAGCAACCATTAAAGCCCTGACAACAGTGATGCACAAATCACCAGCTGCAAAGGTAACAGGAACACATGCATTTCATTACATGCAATATCTATAGTCCCGATTTACTTTGGCTGAATTCTAAAGCTGTATAATTTCAGTGTTATATTTTTATAACATAGTTGCAAAGTGCTTAAATAAAATAGAGAAAAAGTATAATTATACAACAAAGAGTAAAACCAGACAAATCAGATACAATGAAAATATTTGCAGACAAAATATGAAACCATACAAGTCAGTTTAAAAGCCAGTTTGTCTTTAGCTGATAAGGTCTGGGGCACTCGCTCTTCAGGTGAGCTATTGGGCCGCCCCAGCCTGCACAATATCGACGTATCAGGTCAAAGCTACCAAGTTCCACAGAAACCAGACAGGCCTGAAACCATTCAAGAACAAAGCCGCTCATTCCAACGTGATTATTGAGTTACTGAGGTAAAGAAGAAAATGTAGTTCGAGAAGTTTCCAAAACTAATTTGAATTCCATCAATCAAATGAGAGACTCTGGGAAGGACATTGAAGTGGCCATGTAATTGTATTTTCATAATTTTTTTTCCACCACCCCTGCAGGAGGTGTTCAAGGAGAGGATTGGTTACAATCATCTGTATGAAGTGCTCACTTCACTCGGCCAGCCGTCACGGCACCTTCTCAAAGAGCTGATGAACATGGTGAGAGAAAGATGGTGCTTGGTGTTGATTGTTCATCTAGTCAGCCCTCCTGTATTATGTTTGTTGGTCTGCTTGAATGATGTCCTGCGAACATTCTTTGTTGCCTGATTAAATAAACAACTCTGGAATCCACTGCGTCTCTGTATCTATCTGTATATTGTGTGTAGGCGGTGGAGGGCGAGCACACCTCAGTGGGACTCCTGGGCATCAGTAACGTGGAGCCCTTGCTGCTGCTGGTCCAGTGGCTCCCAGAGCTGGACTCATCAGAGCGGCAGCTTTTTACTGCCGACTGGCTCCGCCGCCTCAGCTGCCTCAACCGCCAGACCCGCGCCACCTGCGTAAACGCCGCCATGGTCATGCGAGCGCTGGCCGCCCTGGAGTGTCACGAAAGGCTGCACCGAGCTTGCGCCGAGAGTCTTTTGGGGCTGGTGGGTTCACTGGGCTCCCAGTCGTTAGGCGCCAGGGAACTCCTGGGACTCGTGCGCCTCCTCAGGCCTCCAGAGTCCACTCAAGCACACCCTTACGTAGGTCCTGCCCTGAGAGCCCTCCTGGCTATGGTACGGAAGCAGGGCCTGGAAAGTGCCATGCAGTACTTTGACCTGTCACCCAGCATGGCCGGCATTGTAGTCCCAACAGTGCAGCGCTGGCCAGGCTCTGCCTTCAGCTTTGTCGCCTGGTTGTCACTAGATCAGGACCAGTTAGGCCCACTCAGCAAGGACAAGAGGAAGCAGCTCTACAGGTGAGAGGACAGGAGAAAAGAAAACGTGAAAGTAGATAAACGAGAAAGCATTATTAGAAGATATATTCACTATTTTTATATATATATATATATATATATATATATATATATATATATATATATATATATATATATATATTCCCACACTTCTCCCTCTTGCACTGCCAGAATTGATCAGAGCAGAAGGTTCTGTATGTCAACTGTTTTCTTATATTTGTACCTGCTCCTGTACAGCTTTTTCACCCCGGGGGGGATGGGGTTTGAGGCCTTCATTAGCTCAGCGGGTGTGCTAGTGGTTGCTGTATGCACGAAGAAGGAGTACGTCACTGTCATGCTGCCCGACTACTGCTTCTGTGACTCTCTCTGGGTGAGTCAGACTTAATAACATCTGTTGAAGTGCCACTGAAATATGGAATGTAGACAGAATAAAAACACCAACGCAGCACAGTGGGGCTAAAATTCTGAACATCCTACAGTCTGGCAACACTCACATCACCCTGCATTTAGAAGATTAACACCTTTCAGCCTAATGTCTTGTAGACTGATTAAAGAGAGCAAGGATTAAAGGGACTAAACTCTGTCTGAATTTCTGTTTACAGCACAGCATCGGTGTGGTGCATGTACCAGGAAAGAGGCCATTCGGACAGAGTCTCGTGTACATTTATGTGGATGGGCAGCAGAAACTGTCTGCCCCCCTCAAGTACCCCATCATGACAGAGGTGAGACCTGCACTCACTTGGTTAATAATGGAAATTCACTAGCTTCTCTGCAACTTGGTCAAACAGCTAGATTTATCTGCCAGTGCTTCCACACACTGCCTGCAAGTGTACCCGAGTATCTGAATTTAATCATAAAGACTTGAATCAGTAACCTGCAGTTTTTTGTTTCTAATGTATTAATGTTTATAGGAAGAGAATACTCACTCCCCTGTCTTATTCTGTTCTCAACCCACAGCCATTCACCTCCTGTTGCATCGGCTCAGCAGGCCACCGGACCACCACTCCCCCGCCCTCCCAGATCCCAGACCCTCCGTTCTCCTCCGCCACAACACCCACCACTCGCTCCTCGCTGGGCGGCATCCTGTCGCCGCAAACCTGGGGTGGGCTGCTGGGGGGGAAGTCTGAGTCTGTGACTAAGCTCATCTCTGCAGGGACCCAGGACAGCGAGTGGGGAAGCCCTACCTCGTTGCAGGGCCAGCTGGGAAGCGTCATGGTCTTCCATGAACCCCTACAGCCTAACCACATGAAAGCCATCTGTAGTGCTGGTAAGAAGGGGGAGCCGGTGTGAGAGGAGGAAGAAGAGGAGAAGAGTATGCATCATAAATTTAGTAAAAAGTGTTTTTTTTTGTCTTTTCTTTCTCTCTCTTAAATTCTTTTTCTGTCTTCTATGTAGGTCCAAACTGCATCTCTCCATTCAAAACCCAGGAATCAGAACTCGGCGACCTTTCAGCCAAATTGCTGCTGCACTACTCCCCCAAGGTGATTGGGTGGTTTCAGCTGTCCCTTCTTAAAGTTTTAAAGTTTTATCAGCCACATACAGTGAGGAGTGCAGTGGATGTGATTCACAGGGTCGTATCAGTTCATTCAAGACAGTTATACGTTTTTACTTTTGTAGGAATGAGGAATTCTGCTTTGTCAAGCGTATTTATTTTCATTTCCTTTTAATGAGTGCAAAATAAAATTATATTTTCAACAATTGTATTAATTATTTGGAGGAAATCTGCTAACTGTTAACTAAACATGATCCTTTTGTCAACAGGCTTGTAGGAATCCCATCTGTCTCGATCTGTCTCCAAACATGCTGCACGGCCGCCTGACTGGGAATAAAGTTGTCAACTGGGATATCAAGGTGGGAGGAAAATCCGACTCATGCTGTCGTCTAATTGTTCTTCGCTCAGAGGAATGTTGCACGGATGTACTGTATATATCTTTGAATATGTGTTGCGTGTGTGGCAGGATATGATCAACTGTGTTGGCGGCCTGCCAGTGCTCTTCCCTATACTGGAGCAGTTGTCTCTGGTGACCCCTGATCAACAGGCCAGTGATCCCGCAGCCGGGTCAGACTTCATCACCCCTGATGTGACCACGCCAGCCGACGGAGATTGGGTCATTCTCCCATCTAACAGGGCTTCAGGTCTGTTCTACCACAACCTGCAATAACATATTTCTTTTATACCTCCTCGTTTCTCTTTACTCTCAATTTAATCGTGGAACTGGGGCACAATTTTTGTTTCAGAGGCACGCCTGGAGAAAAACCTGGTAGCCACCTTCCTGTTGGTGCTGAAGCATTTCCTGCAGAGACACCCAATCAACCAGGAGAATCTGCTGCACTCGCATGGTGTCGGTACACTGGGAGCCCTCCTGCAGAAGGTCTGTGTTTAATCTTAATTCTGCACATGGTTAACATTACTGGGGTGTCAGGATGTAATTTCAGGCACTGTACACAGAACGAGACTCTGGGTGCTCCTCAAATTCTGTGAAAGAGATCTGCTTCATGTCTACTTCACTCACACAAATCATCAATGTCTTGCCCAAATTAGTAAAAGTTTTAGGACTATTATAAACAAATGTGTTGGCTTGTTAATACCGCCACTTTCCTTTGTTCAAATATGTCAGAGGAGAACAGTTTGCTGTGTAAAAGTTGTTAAAAATATGAAGTTTCTCTTGTGAAAAGGCCAGTTAATCAGTCAATAAACTGGTGAAATGTTTATAATTTATATTTGAAGACCACAAGGGACAGTTTACAGCGGAAACATAAACCCCATCCCTCTCTGCAGCTTGTGACCCTATTACAATGCAAGTTGCCTAATTATCAGGGGTCCCCTGATAATACTTAACCAGCATGAGTCACACTAATTATTTTCAGTACTGCTTTAGTTTTTTGTGGATATAAAGTTACTTCCTCCTTCAGATGAGTAGCCTCCATCTTCCTGCAGTCATACAAAACGAAGAGTTATCTCGAATGATGTTTTAAAAGCATTTGCTGGTTACTTTCTTCCAGTGGTGTGCATTTCACACAGTGTATTAATTACAGAAGATCTCCACATAAGCCTCTTGTTTTTCTCCATATTCAAACTGGATTAGTTGGTTTCTGTAGAGGAGGAATTAAGAATCTCTGTTGACTGACTATTTTTGAAGCCTACAAACAGCCACTTGTAGCTTTTATTACATCACATGGTATGCATTCAAAAATTAATTCACTTCAGATAGCTTTTGTCCCTTTCTGAAGGTCGGTCTCTGTTTCTTCTGTGTTTTCATCTCCTTCGTGTCTTTCTGTTTCTTCCTCCTTCCTTTGTCTTGTGTGAGTGCCTCAGTATTTTTGTGATTTTATCGAAGCTGGAAATGCCACTGAATCATGGGAAAATAAAAGCCTCCACAGAGACCGAGATAAAGGAAAAAGCCTTAGATATGGTAATAGTTCCTCTAGGCAAAGTAACCACACCCTGTAAATGGAAAAAAGCAAATAAACCATTAATGTGTTTCTCCATCCCAACATATTCCTTATCTGTTTAGCTGAGGCGAGTTATGGGTGTAAGGCATGATGTATACTTGTTTGCCAACAGGCTTATCATTGTTTATGAAACTACTATAAGTACCTGTTTATGTTTCTTCTTAAAATGCCCCTTTTGAGATTACATGTATTTTTCTGTGATCTTCCCCTTTCTCTCTTTGTAATTTTACATGTGTGGCAGTAAATACGCATAAAATTGTACGGAGAATAGTGAAATTCAAGCTATTGTTTTTGTATGTGTTTAGCTGCCAGCAGGTCACGTGGACGTCAGCGTGTTGGTTGCTATGCAGCTTCTGATAGAGCAGGTGACATATGAGAAGAACCAGGCTCTGCTGCAGCAGCTTCATACACATCTACTGTTCAACTTCAACATCTGGAACAAAGGAGACTTCCCTCTACGCATAGGTTAGATCTATATGTATGCATGTAATGTGTTCGTGTGTGAGAAGGAGCATGTGCAGGCATACTTGGGGTGAAATCAGGTAAAACTTTAAGAAGAGAAAGGTAATTGCATTAATAAAGAGGATACAGTTGTGCAAAATACAGTAGTCATCACAAAGGGTGTTCGACAATTCGTACAGAACAACATGTAAAGTATAATAGGAATGTAACTTCCCAGAAACCCTGCTGGTTGCCTGGCAACGCTTGTTCCAGCACCTAACCTCTCGTAAAACCACAACTTCCAATTTTTACACGTCAGTTTTTGTTTTATACATTATATATGTAATATAGCGTGTTAATTAGTAAGCCTGAGAGGTGATAGTAGTCAGATTAGATTTTAAGTTTGGACAGGCTAGCTGTTTATGCTAAGCTAGTCTAACCGGCTGCGGGCTCCAGCTTCATTTTTAACAGACACATAAAAGAGTGGTATCGATCTTCTCGTCTAACTCTCAGCAAGTAAAAGCGAATTAGTGCATTTCCCAAAATGTCGAACTTTTTCCATTTTAGAGTTTCCAGTTTAGAGTAGATTTGTGAAGGTTAAATGTTAATAAAAGTACAGTGTGAGTGATGCAGTCCATTAACTAATCTATTAATCTATTTATTCTGCATTTTCCCTGAATTTTCTATGTACAGTATGTAAGTCTTTTTATACATCCTTACGTCTTTTGTGTGTCCCTGATTGAGACTGTTGTTGTCTTCCAATGAAGGTCATATCCAGTACATGTCCACGGTCATCAAAGATAACAGGAAGCAGTTCAGAAAAAAATATGGAGTTCAGTTCCTTTTGGACACGATACGTCTTTATTATGGGTGAGATCCCGTTTCCCAAAGTTCATACCCCGTCAAATACATCAAGTCTCTTTTTCCCAAAACATCATTGTCGCCTGCTCTGTGCTACAGGAAGAACAGCAATAAAGAGAGCGACCTGAGTGAGGATGATATTCGTACCATCCGGGCGTCTCTCTGCGGCCTCATCAAGTACTACATGAGCAAGGGCATGTCACAGGAGGAGATGCACAGCATTCTGGGATACATCTCTGCCATTGGAGATGAGGAGCAGGTGAGGGGGTCGGGTCAGATGTTATGGTATCACTTAAAAGATCTTAAAATAAATCAGTTTGAGAGTTAAAATAAATAAATATAAGATGCATAACAGCAGCAGAAAGGAAATGGTGACTTTAAATCTTCCAATAAATCTTAAGTGATTATCATATGCATCGTGATAGTACTTATGCTGTTGTACTAAATCATACAGAAGCCTAATGAGGTTGTCCTCAGCACAGACAAGAATACTCCCTACTAAGTTATTATTAGTGCATGCTTGCCGGATGACCCATATATTGTGAAACGGGTTAATGCCAGCCAGTCCTGCTGTTTGAGGAGTTTATTGTAAAATAATATGACCTTTCGCTGCCGGATTTTCCCTCTGAGACTTAGTGCAGTGATGCCTGAACAGGAAGCTATCAGCTTGTTTCCCGCCTGGCAGCTGCTTTGCCAGCGTCTCTCTCTCTCTCTCTCTCTCTCTCTCTCTCTCTCTCTCTCTCTCTCTCTCTCTCTCTCTCTCTCTCTCTCTCTCTCTCTCTCTCTCTGTTATTTTTAAACGTTTTCCTCTCTGTAAGCAATATCCATCAGTGGCTGTTTGCTGAAACAAACCACTTAATTTCTCAACTGTTTTCCTCTAAGCTCCCAACACTCGCTAGTTCTCACAGGACTTGGTATATGTCACCTATTTTGTGAAATCAGTTTCCTCCTCTTGTCACACCTCCACCACTTCTCTCCCCTTTTTTTTTGTCCCGTCTTGTTTTTCATTTAGTCTGTCACTTTGAATATCCTCTTACGCTGCAGTACTATATGTGGAAGCTTACATCACCCTTTATGAACATATGGTCAATATAATCGCATGAGCCTCCTCCACTGCTCGGCATCTGCCATTTCTCTGATACTATTTACCCATTCATTAAACCAGAGTGTTCAAATGCTGCAACTACGTCAAATTCACTTTATTAAAAGACAATCTTTAGTTAAACTTAACATGCGTTGTGCAGATGTAGATCTTGCGATACAAATACTTATTTTTACAACAGATTAAATATCAGCTCTCATTTCTTACATTTTAAACTAGCCCAATTTCTATGCTTAAGAGTGATATGACCTGCACAATAAGCTGTTTTACTGTCTTTTAGTGATATAATTTTCTCTCAAAATAATGTAGAAATCTGATTAAACAAGCAACCTTGACTATGTAAAAGTAAGTGTAGTTGTGGTTGTCTGCGTTGCAGTTGTGTGGGCTGCTGGAGTTGTTACTCAGCCTTCTTCAAAGCAGTCTGGCCAGAGACCAGCTCTTCCTGCTCCTCTTTGAGCCCGGGGCGGCCGACTCCTGCTACGCTCTCCTGCTCAACAACAAGCATTCGGATCGACTCCGAGAACTCGTCTTCAAGGTGGGTTACAGCCACACCTGGGAGGTGTCTTACAGAAAAGTCAGGGAGTTTGATTAAACTCTCACATTAGTACATTTAGATCAACTATCATATAAATATAGCAAGAAATAAGCAAAAATGAGAATCAAAATGTTCTCTTCTCTCTCCTACTGCACAGTTATTTGAGCGCATGTTGCGCTGCGACCGCGTCTATGAGAAGAATAAACAGCGTTTGCGGCTGAGGGAGGCAGGCTATGCCGGCCTTTCGCTGCTCTTCTCCGAACTTCACATCACTCCCACCCTGATCCGCTGTCTCCTCAACCAGGTCCTCCACACAGGTCAGCTTTTCTTATTTAAATTACTTAAGTGTGTTTGACACTGCTTAGTAGCTGCAGTCATTAAGTGTAGTGTCACTGGTCAGTCTGGCTATTTCCCAGTTAGCTCTCCTGTTGTAAATCTTAAATTCAATTCATTCAGCCGAAGTTGAAGCTTTTAGTCAATTGGTCAGTGAACAGGGTTGTTTTTTTTATATAAATATATATCCTACAACTTCATTTTCTGCTGCCCATTAAGGCCCGTACCATTACGTGTTCTTTGAATCAATGGAATCAATTTGATGGGTCCTCACGGAGCGCTAAGCCAGTATACATTATTTATTTTAGGAGCAGTGTGGATTTACCTTAACTCAACTCCAGTAATATACATAACACACTAGGCTGAAAAAAATGTCTGACCAATAAAAAGATCAGTGGAGCTCAGTTGGAAGCAGGGAACAGTATTGTTCCCCATCTGTAATTAGGAAAGAAAACGTACAATAGCATTAATGCATTGAAGCACCAAATGTGTAAGAGTGTGTGTCTAAAATCCACAGATCACGTGGTGAACTACAAGGACCTGATGTCTCTGGTCCAGCTCACTCACCGGGCCGGACCGAGCGTACGCCTCATCGTCTGCAAGAGGGTGAGGAAACGCCTGCAGACACTATTAATTATATATATTGAATAACAGCAGACACAGGAAATAACTGAAAGTCCCAGCAATTGATTAGTATTGTCAAATGCTTTCAACATTGATTTCTATTTCCTTTCTTCTCTTTATGCCCTGTTTCCCTTCATCCATTATTTTCTTACACCCCCTCCTCACACACACACACACACACACACACACACACACACACAATCCTTTCTGACTTTTGTTACCGGTACTTTTCATTCATTTTTTTCAACCTACAGCTGACTGAAGCAGCAGCAGAAGGGAATGTTAGCAGTATTAGCATTAGCAGTGACTTAATCTAGGTCTGATACATCTGTAAGAGTGAACAGTTAACAGTGAGGCTGATATCAGTGAAATACAATTACAAACAGTAATGCTGGTGATCACAAGCATGCATTGTTTCCTGAATGCCTTTTTGCTTTAAATTGTCGACCATGAAAAGTATAAAAACAGGGATTGATTTCAGAAAAATCTTGTGATTAATTGTAATTGCCAGTTTTGAGATTAGTTTAGTACCCTCCATTTGTTTTATTGTTGTTTGTATCTTATTCTCTTAGCTATAACCAGTTTATTTATACCTTGTTTGTAATGATCCAATAATCTTTTAAGTTTCAACTCTTAATCATTCCAAATACTAATAATGTGAGATACCAGTGAGTATCAGTACATAACAATACTGCATATTAAGTCAAGAACCAGGAATGATTAAAGAACATCACTAAGAAACAGAAGCAGTTGTGAATTAATTGTTAATGATTGTGAGTTGAATGTTTAGCTTTGAAGATTGTTTTTTTTCCCCATCCTTTACCACTTGATGCTGCTTGACTACTTGAGTTTTCCCACCGGTCTAATTAAACTAATCTTCCTCCTCTGTCTTCAGGTGTACCAGCTGCTACAATCCCAACAGGATGCTGCCGTCCAGATCTCAAGGCAGCAATGTTGGCAGGACACTCTGATGCGGCTGTACCTGCGGGGTGAAGGGTCCTTGCCACTGCGGGGCGCTGACACTGTCAGCACCTGCAGCCTGGACCTGAGCCGGCCCAGTGGCAGCAACACTAACCGCCTCGAGCTGCCGCTGGACAGGAGAGCGCGGGCAGGCAGCGCTAGCCGCCTGGACCGGCTAGAGGACGACCGGCTCAGCATAGGTGACACTCGGTCTGTGGACAGCCTGGAGAACGGTGACGTCATCTCGCTGCTGGACACGCCATCTTCCTCTGCCTCCACCGAGCCTCCACTACACGTCAAGCCCTGGGTGGTGGGAAAGTCAGGGGGCTTGATGCTGGATCTGTCCCACCTGCAGGCATACGAGGGCGGGGAGAGCGGCAGCCAAACGCCTGGCAGCATGCCCAGCACACCGTCGCCACTGGAGACCTCTAAACCTTTCCCAGGAAGCTCCGGGGATCGAGATGCAACTTCCTCCCTGACTGAAGACAGCTTTCTCTTCAGTGACAACATCTCACTGGGGGAGTCCTTCAACAATGCTGAGGTGAGAGGGTGTTTGTTATTGACTTTTCATCTTGCGGAGATGGTTCAAGAGAAAGGATGACTAAGGGAGAGAGATTTAAGATTACATTGTTGTTTACAGCACTAGTTTATAAAAGGATCAGATCGGCAGTATTTTCTATTTTTGTTATTGCCATTAAATCCCAAGAAAAGGCCAAAACCAATTATTAGTATCTCTCGATACCTTCTCAGCCCCATACCTATTGGTTTCTGCTGAAGATGTAAATCTTTAAAAATGGGTCAAAATATTTATTTTTCTCAAGGCTGTAGTTTTTAGCAATTAACTGTTGAAAAAACAGTGTCTGTATTTCATATGATAGTCTGCATCGGAGGTTGCCTTAATGCTACTAAACAGCAGGAGCTTCCGACTCAGTGGGTGAAATGTCAGCGAAACCTCAGGGAGCCCAACACAGACTTTCATCTAGTGGACTTCTTGTTGTCATTTCAGTGAGTCACTGGAGGGCAGAGGTGGGAGAGTGGCAACCGGTCTCCTCCCACATCTGGAGACAGTCAGTTATAGAATTAGATATGTTTGGTTTAAGTACCGGTTGGGTAAAGCATTTGATCAGCACAGTGTTATAAATTAAGCCTGAAGATAGAGTTGTTTTGTATCAAGAGATAGATTAGAGGCGAGGTCATGGTGAAACTCAGGCCATCATAAGTTTTTGAGAAGTATTTTAACTTTAAGAGAGTCCAAATTGTTGGTGACATTATATTTGTAATGTTCTTATTAATGTTGTTGTTTTTTCTTTACTGTGTCCTGTTACCTGCTGCTGCAGTTATAGACCAGAGGGATCAATACAATTTAATTTAATCTAATCTCCTCTAATGATAACCCCTCTCTGTTTCTTTCTCTCTGGTGTGGTGTCGCCACCTAGCGGGCGGAGGAGGAGCTGTGCAGCATGCTACTGGAGATTGTGCTGTGCGTGATGTGGCGTGGCGTAGAAGGTTCAGATGATTCGGCGTGGCTGGAGCGCGGTCAGGTCTTCTCAGCTCTCACTAAACTGGGAACCGCCAACGAGCTGCTGCTTCCAGTCGACCAGATCAAACTCAGGTCAGTCCTCAATTCGACTGCTGACATTACTGGACAGACCAGGAGCTGAAAACATGCTGAATGCTTTCAGAACCAGGCTTGCTAACAGTATCTAATAGTCTCTCTTTCTCTTTGAAGTCTTATGGAACGTATGTTGGAGTGGGCGGTGAGTGATAACCGCGAGGCATCAGCCGCCACGTTACCGCAGCACACGGAGAACGCAGTGCGGTTGCTTCACATGGTGCAAGACTTCCTGCAGGCTGAGGGCCTGGTCAACCCAGCTCTGTGGACGGAGAAGGTGCTGGAAGAGACCGTGACACTGATGGACAGCCTCATGGTTTGGTACTCGGCCGGCACCCAGTGGTTCCAGCTCTCTCAAGTTGGACTGAGATTGCTGCTGGGCTTCATGGCTCAGACAGACCCAGAAGTGAGTAATTCTTCGAATTGTCATCGATTTCTGCCTTGTTTGTATTGTTCCATGTGTATTTCTTTGCGTGCACAATAATAAATGACCTCTGTCCCAGGTGTGTGCAATGGCCACCGCCAAGCTGAATGGCATCCTGCAAACAAAGGAGGTGTCCAGCCAGGACGAGGCCTGCTACCTGCTAGGTAAGGTGGAGGGCATCCTGCGGCGTTCTGTTCAGGAACAAACGGAGGAGACGTATTCCTTCCTGGTTCCTCTGCTGCGAACGCTACTCTCCAAAGTCCACCGCCTCCTCTACATGGAGCTGCACCTCCCCCAGCTCCCGGACACCAACGGCAGCCCGTCCTTCTTCGAGGACTTCCAGCTGTACTGCAACTCACCTGAGTGGCGCGTCTACCTCGACAAATATGTATGAGATTTACAGTTCTTATAGATTATATTGGATACAAATTCACTGGAAAATGTAAATGTTCTCCCTTTTTTACTTCTGTTTGTGTTTAGATTATCCCGTACATGAAGCAGTATGAAATCGAAACATTCAGCCAGGGCCATGAGACCATGGCTCTCTATTGGAAAGAGTGCTACGAGGCTTTCATGGTCAGCCTGCATAAGAGAGAGAGGGAGAGGGGTGAGAGCAAGATCCGCTTCCAGGTTAGTTGGATCAATAACTGAAGCCTCTTTTTCTCTGTTTCTGTCCCAGTATGGACTCTTATCTAATGTTGCTTTGATCTCCCATGAACTCATCCTCTTCATTTTCCCTCAAGGAGCAATTTGTGGAGCCTTTCTCACGCCGAGGACGCCAAGAGAACCTCCGCTACAACAGCATGTTGAAACAGCAGCACAGCCAGAACAGTGCCACCCTCAGGCAGTGGAAGGCAGCACGCCGGGGTCTGGTGTGTGAGAGAGGACCCTGGGCTGACAGGTACTGACATCAGCTGCTCTCCTTCTCTACATGTCTTGCCTTTTTCCACTTTATTCTGTCTACCATAATAATACAAATCTCATCAACCTCTCAATATGGGCCAGAACTTTAGTTTATACTTACAAACATAAGAAAAAAATGATTGCAGTAGCAGTGGTGAGGAAAAAAGCACAATTGAGAGAAGAACAGATATAGATAATTGCTGGAGTTGGGAGTATTACAAGTGTGTTTTGTAACCATTTCTAACAGGCAACAGGACAAGATGCACTGGAGGTTGTCCAGTGCTGAGAACTTCTCCCGCATGAGGCTGAAATTGGTCCGTAATTACAACTTTGAGCCACACCGAGAGGCCAGCGCACTGAGAGACAACCTAGGTAAGACAACATTGCCTCTCTACAGCCTCTTGTTGTTGGCTTGAGTATTTGGACTAAATTTAAACCTCCAGTGGCCTTAAAGCTGCACATCAGTGTCTCAGTTTGTTAGCAAAAAGTAGCTGCTCCAGTATTCAGTGAATGGATGTGATGATAAGGCATAAGTGTGTGTGCAGTGTGCCATGAGCACACTCCAGCATCCAGCCTGCCCTTGATAAACAGATTAAAAAGGACTGACCTTGAAAATGGATGATGATCCTGATTCAAAAGTTGTCAGGTAGAGGCCAGCTTGTGAGTAAGCAAGTTTAAAACTGTACATTTTCTGTTTATGGAATGAAAGTGAGCCGTTATCTTCACAGCAGGTACGTTTCTCAGCCTTTGACAAGCGTGTTAAGAAGTTAATTACCAGCACTGCCATTTGATATTAACCACCGCGCCATATCTGGATCCCTCCTCTGAGTTTTTAATCATTTCCTGTCTCTCTTGCTTTGCTTAGGTGTCCATCAGCAGCGTGTAAACCCGGAGTCTCTACTGCTGGAGGCTGTGAAGCAGGTCAAAGTCAGCGACCTGGAAGACGACATCCTGGAGCTGCCTGAGGACGATCCTGCTGCTGCCAACAACCAGTTAGTCACCGAATACAAAAACCACAAAACAACAAAATTCATGTAATGGATACTAAGAATTACAGCCTTCTATTCTTTGTCTGTGTCCTGCAGAGTTGAAACAGAGGAGGCAAGCCAGAAGGAGAAGCTGGTGCTGTGGGAGGACTGCGAGTTGGTGACGGTGGTGGACGTTGTGCCTGGTCGCCTGGAACTCACCACCCAACACATCTACTTCTACGACAGCAGCCAGGAGAAAGAGGAAGGTGAGAGAGGCGAAGGAGAAAGTATGGAGGAAAAAAAAAATCAATACAGTTTTACCCACACTAACTGTCTATTTGTTTCCTGAAGGTGTGGGCCACGACTTTAAATGGCCCCTGTCTCAGATCCGAGAGGTCCACCTGCGGCGTTATAACCTACGGCGCTCAGCTCTAGAGATCTTCCTCATCGATCAGACAAATTACTTCCTCAACTTCAAGAAAGAGGTGATGAGGCACAAATGTTACTCCAAAAAATTAGATAATCGTCTAAAGATTCAACTCCTGTTGAATTAGATTTGAATTTCTAAAAATCCGAGAGAATATTTGATCCCCTCTAATTTGTTTATAATAACATTGTGTTTTCTTATTAACAGGTGAGGAACAAAGTCTACAGCCGCATGTTGCTGCTGCGATCTCTCAGCCTTTATGGAACCCGCTCCCCACAGGAGCTCCTCAAAGCCTCTGGACTCACACAGGTCAGGAAACAACAATGCAGAGCTCTGATTAACAATTACACATATAATATAATGAAATATATGACTTCATTGTATAGGAGTTGATTTTTAAAATTATCTTTGGTATCCGCCTGGTTTATTACTTGCAGTGTTATCTGGTTTTATTTCAAAAGACAGCACCATCTGTAATCATATTTTCACAGCTGGAGAAAGGACCCTAAACAATGAACTTTAGAAAAGTTTTTTCATACAGACAGTCATCAGATTCCTAAAAGATTTTCTCAGGTCAAATGATGAACATCGGAACATAATTAATTAATTTTTCTCTGCACACTGAATATCAAATATCAGACCACAATCTGAGGTTGGTTTTTATTTAATTTCTGGTTAGCTGTTCATGAAGGGGGGAAACTAATCAATCACATTCTTACAATCTGAACAATAAACTGTACAAACTCACATATTGTCAATAGATGAACTTTAACCTTTTGCCTGTTCTTATTTTTTATTTTTTTCTTTCTCCTGCTTTTGCACAGAAATGGGTGAACCGGGAGATCTCCAACTTTGACTATTTGATGCAACTGAACACGATTGCAGGCAGAACGTACAACAACCTGGCTCAGTATCCAGTGGTACGTTCACTGAACACATTGTACAGCTGTGGTGACTGGATGGATGTTAATAATATGAGCTCACTTATTTGAGTGTGTGTTTTTGTGTGTGTTACCAGTTTCCCTGGATTCTAGCTGACTACACTTCAGAGGAGCTGGACCTGTCTGATCCTCGGGTATTTAGGGATCTGTCAAAGCCAGTCGCAGTTCTTAACGAACGCAACGCCAAGGCTGTTAGAGAGAAGTAAGTTTCATCCATCCATACTTCTCATAACTGAATTATCATTAAATATACTATAAATGATATAGAAATATGTCAGCAGCTGGAGGAAGGCACGTTGCTAAAAGTAAACTTTTTAAATGTGTCCATCAGGTATGAAAGTTTCGAGGACCCGACAGGCACCATCGACAGGTTCCACTACGGCACCCACTACTCAAACGCCGCTGGAGTGATGCACTACATGATCAGAGTGGAGCCCTTCACCTCCCTGCACATCCAGCTGCAGAGTGGACGGTAAGACAACCAGACACTCACCAAAATATCTGCCCCGCAATACAGAGACTCCCCCTCTACTGTCCCTCCATTTGTCCTCAGCGTTGATAGTTAGACGTGTCTGTGCCGCACACACTGCTGCTGTTTCTAGTGTTTTATAATCGCCGCTCATCTGTACCCTCCTGCCTCGGCTCAGGTTTGACTGTGCCGACCGCCAGTTCCACTCCATCCCTGCGACGTGGCAGACCCTCATGGACAACCCCAATGACGTCAAGGAGCTCATCCCGGAGTTCTTCTACTTCCCAGAATTCCTTGAGAACCAAAATGGTGAGATTTGAGTATTGAGTATCCTTTTGAAATTGTTTAAAATATTTATATACAAAACTGTCGGCTGCTACCATCAAAGTTGTGATGGAAGGATTACATATTGCTGTAGAATGGATAAACACACACAGCGATGCAGTTTTTCACTGTGTTTTAGCAACATGGATAAATTGCATAATGCCTTATCTTGCTTCTTCTGTTGATCCCCTGGTTTAAACGTTTTCGGAGGGACGATGTCTCTGGTGTCTTTTTGAATATGGTCATAAATATGTTTTGAATTCGTTCTCTGATCCCTTTCTTCTTTTTACTCTATACCTGGCTTCTGTCTTCCTGTTCCTTCGTCCTTTGTTCTCGCCGTCACCCAGCCTTTGATCTGGGTCGCCTGCAGATCTCCAAGGAAAGGGTAAACGATGTGGTTCTGCCCAAATGGGCCAAGTCCCCTGAGGACTTCATCTACAAGCACCGCAAAGCCCTGGTGAGATGTAGTTTTAGTTCTGCTGCTGTTTAACTTTTCTCAGAGGATATTGTGCAAGAAAAAAAACTTTAATCATTCAAGCTTTTACATCAGTGCAGAATGTCTTTAACTGAATCCAAAACTCGTTTAACCTTTTAGTTACTGAAGATACTCCACTATCAAACTCCATTTCACATGAGATTATGCTATGTACCCTTTGTGTTGGCTGTTTTCTGTATTGTATGTGTTTACAACCACTGTGTGTGTGTGTGTGTGTGTGTGTGTGTGTGTGTGTGTGTGTGTGTGTGTGTGTGTGTGTGTGTGTGTGTGTGTGTGTGTGTGTGTGTGTGTGTGTGTGTGTGTGTGTGTGTGTGTGTGTGTGTGTGTGTGTGTGTGTGTATGACAGGAGTCGGAGTACGTCTCAGCCCACCTTCATGAGTGGATCGATCTGATCTTTGGTTACAAGCAGAGGGGCCCTGCAGCGGTGGAGGCCCTCAACGTCTTCTACTACTGCACATATGAGGGTAAAGAATCCAGGACGGTTGCAGTATTGTGTGTATAAAGAGCTTTAGGCAACATATTGGCTACAGAAAATGTAAATGTAGATTACACTTTTGCAAACCATAGAGTAAACTGAAATATTTGAGTATTGCATCATAAAACACATATTGACTTGGTGGTATTTTATTAACAGTAAAACACATACTTACTTAGATGTTACAGTTAATTCCCAAAGGGGAAAGCTGATTGAGTGATTGGTGTGGTGTTGCAGGGGCGGTGGACCTGGATGCCATCACTGATGAAAAGGAGCGAAAGGCCGTGGAAGGCATGATCAGCAACTTTGGACAGACGCCCTGCCAGTTACTCAAGGTACACACACACACACACACACACACACACACACACGCGCACGCACGCAAGCACGCACGCACGAAAAGAAATGAACAAAAAACCTGAAACCTATCATGACTCACTGAAGTTTTGTATCTGCAGTGATGGATCAGATTAAGACTAAAGTGTGTGTGTGTGTGTGTGTGTGTGTGTGTGTGTGTGTGTGTGTGTGTGTGTGTGTGTGTGTGTGTGTGTGTGTGTGTGTGTGTGTGTGTGACTGCATAGGAGCCCCATCCTGTGCGCCTGCCTCAAGAGGAAGTGGAGAAGAGGAAGGCTCAGCTGGACTCATGTCCTCTCAACATGTTCGAACACCTCAGCGACCTCAAGTCCTTCTTTGTTGAGGTTTGAGCCCTCTGCTGCTTAGTTACATTTTGATTATTACAGTGCATTTTTTAGAAATATATCTCTCTAAAATAACCTGGATTTCAATTCTCTCCCCCGTCATGTTGCAGGGCATCAGTGACAATGTGGCGCTGGTTAAAGCCGTGGTGCCAAAGAATCAGTCCCATTCCTTCATCACCCAGGGGAGCCCCGACACCATGGTGAGCCTTGGTGCTAATACTAGTTATCATTATGATAATCATTACAGAGTTGTTTTATATTTATTGTGCTCTTCTGAATTCTAAACAAAAGGAATGATTGACTTCATTGTGTCTGTTTCCAGGTGACGGTTAGTCGGAACTGCCTGGTCGGGACCCATGGGTGGCTGCCTTACAACAAGAACATCTCCAACTACTTCACCTTCATTAAGGACCCCACAGTGTCCAACACCAAGTGAGAACACACACAACACACGTGCAAATACAGTACATTCACAGCACAGCGCCAGCTCATCGCCCTCTGCATTTGTAGGACCCAGCGTTTCCTGTCCGGACCCTTCGCCCCCGGCGTGGAGGTCACATCTGGACTGTTTGTGGTCTCCCATGATGGCAAGTTGCTCTTCAGCGGTGGCCACTGGGACAACAGCCTCCGGGTCACCTCCCTGGTTAAGGGCAAGACTGTGGGACAGCACATCCGACACATGGGTAAACACACACATTAAACATGCCTCTGTGAAGAAAAGTCTGTTCTTGACTTCTGCCACATCCAAACAAACAGGCCAGGTACAATGATGATGATGGTACTGGTACTTGATGTGGGTTTCCATTCAAAACAATTAACCCCTCCCTGAACTGAATGTATGTTAAATCGGCTGATAAAAATATAAAATGTATGATTGCATATGTGTGTCCTCTAATAGTCAGCGGTTTTGTTCCCCTCTCCTCCAGACATTGTGACCTGCTTGTCAACAGACCACTGCGGTATCCACCTAATCTCCGGCTCCAGAGACACAACCTGCATGGTGTGGCAGGTTCTTCAGCAGGTTAGGACGACCAGGACTCACTTATACACCGTGATTGCATTGATCTGCAGATAAAGTAACAGATTTAACTTCATAAAACTGGGGAGCCAGTATTCATTCCTGGGTTGTACCAATAAGTATTATTGAAGCTGTTGTTGACTGATTAATGATAGATAGAACATGCCTAATTCATTGGTCAGCCATTTAACTTAATACTTCATAAAAAACCTGAGCGGAAACACAAAACAAAAGTTGAAATATTTTTAAAAAATGCACATAATTGGCATTCATTTTGTTTGTTTGCTCTGTCGTGCAGGGTGGAGCTCCTGTGGGTCTTTATCCTAAACCAGTTCAGGTGTTGTACGGACACACGGACGAGGTGGTCAGTGTCAGTATCAGCACAGAGCTGGACATGGCTGTGTCTGGATCACGGGTAAGAGAAAGTGAAAGACTGACGGTGCACAAAGTATTCAATCATATGCTGAGAAAACAAGCTCGAGTTTAGGCTGAGAGTTAGTGTATATGTGTGTAATTCTGGGTCTTTAAAGGGGAGAGATTTGTAAGGTTCAGTTGCTTTAATTACTTTTAATTTAAGAACTGCTAACAATATGCAAACTCCAACTGCAGTTTATGTGATGTTGATGAAAAATTAAATGAATGTTGAGACTTTAAAAGCTGACTGAAACTTTCTTTTTATTAAAAGTATGCTTTTACATTCAAGTTTGATTAGAAACAAAATTAAACTAAACTGGCAAAAGATCTTTTTTTTTTCATGTAAATTAGTTATTGATTTATCTTAGTTATGGAAAGGAAATTGAATATCGTTTGATCCACTATTTCCCAACATAAAAATAGGTAACGCAGGCAGTTAAGTAGAGTGCTGTCACCTGGGAAATTGCACTATTTGTTATAACTTTAAGGTATTAGCTTAAAGCTTTATAATTACAACCATGAAAATGTAAATGAATGAAAAACTGGTGTGTGGTATTTAACATGTGCTTCCACTCTGTGTTTCCCAGGACGGGACAGTGATCATCCACACGGTGCGTCGGGGTCAGTACATGCGCTGCTTGCGACCGCCGTGCGACAGCTCCCTGCCGCTCTCCATCCTCCACCTGGCTGTGTCCTGGGAGGGTCACCTGCTGGTCCACACCTGCCTCGAGGGCAAAGCAACGCTCAAGGTGCAGGCACAGTTTTTTGTCCACACCCACAGACGCTGCATGGAAAGATGGGGATTCATCTGAGAAACAAAAATGTTATTCATAGGTGTTTTTTTTCTGTTTCCAGGATAAAAACGCTCTACATCTTTACTCTGTAAATGGGAAGCACCTCTGCAGCGAGCCGCTGAAGGAGCAGGTGACTGATATGTGTGTTTCAGGAGAGTATGTCGTCATCGGCAGCGAGCAGGGATACCTGTCCATTCGTGACCTCTACAGGTAAACTCCCATACCTCCTAAAACTGTCTATTATCATGATGTTATTCCTAAATCTGTTATTCCTAACCTTGTCCCACCTGAGTCTAATGTGGACTTCTCCTGTGCAGTCTGTCGATGAGCATGGAGCCAATGGCCATGCGGGTGCCGGTGCGTTGCGTCTCGGTCACCAAGGAGCAGAGCCACGTCCTGGTGGGCCTGGAGGACGGCAAGCTGATCATCGTGGGCGTGGGCAAGCCGGCGGAGGTAAAGAACTCGCTGAGGAACTACATCGCTCAGAGCCTGGAGGGATCGCCGCTCATGGCCTCCCCCCTGCTGGCCCCGCTTCGAGCTCGCTCGCCAACCCGCCTGCTGCACCAGCGCGACCAGCTGGTGTTCAGCCCCACTTCCAGCTCCCACAAACCCTAGCACCTCCTAGTCCGTTCCCCTCCCCTCCTTTTCCATTGCTGTATATCTGACACACACACACAGACACACACACACACACACACACACACACACACACAGACACACATACTGCACCTGTGTTGCAATGCTCGGCCTCGACGTCCTCAAAGAACTTTCAACACGCAGTCACCTCTCCTTCTCAGGGATGGTTGTCGCCCACATTCACTCTTTTGGCTTAATTCTTCCCAAACCAAACAAACAAACACACACACACACACACACACACACACACACACACACACACACACACACACACACACACACACACACACACACACACATTTATAGCTGAGCCACACAGATTGAACACATTCCTTCAGCACCCAGCTGAGCAGAAACTAGAACCACAACTGTGACATAAAAACAACTTGTTGTGCTTACCTCATTCTGTTCTATTTGGTATTTGGCATCTGTGCAATATTTGACTAGATTTGGCCGTTGACCTGGGATAAACTCCATCCCCTGCTGTTTACCTGAAGTGTCATTATGTCACGTGTTTGAGTGTACTCTTCAACTATAACAAATAATGCTGTGAAACAAACTTAACACTAATTAACGCTTCTGCAAACACAAAGCCATATTAACAGTGTAGCTACAATCTAATAATGCAAACTAATAATCTTGCGCCAAGATAGACTTCAGTGTTTGGATGATGTTGATAGTGTGGTAGTGTAGATGTCGGAGGTTGATACAGGCAGTCCCCCTCTGAATAGTTTGATCATCGCACCTTTCTGCTTTTCATCTCTTCTGTTCAGATCGACTCACCAAAGTGAATCAAGCTTTAATTTGTTCTTTAATGCCTCACAAGCTTCACAAGTCAATCAAGCTCCAATGAACTAATCAATCACTCATGAATCATATACCTCCTCCTTTTTCTCCCCCTTCCGTTTCCTTTGACTTCACGCTTTTCTTTCCCCCCCCTCTCCCCCGTCCCACTTCCTCCTCCTCTTCCTCCACTCTTCTCAGATGCGTTCGGGCCAGATCACACGGAAGCTGTGGGGCTCCAGCAAGAGACTGACTCAGATCTCCTCGGGGGAGACGGTGTACAACATCTAGCGCCACCACAACTGACCCATCCCGAGCCCTGAACCCTCCCCTCCAAGCACATCCCACCCACATTCCTGTCACTCAGTTTGCCTCCATACCCATCAATCACCAAACAGATTGCTTCATTATGTTTGAGGAAACTCCCTTCAGCACTGTTCCACTGTTTAATGGGTGGTGGGCAGATGTCTTGGTGGTGCTAAAACCATCACAAAGTCTGCGTTATGTTTTTTCTGTGTGCGTGTGTGTGTGTGCGTGTGTGATCCTGCTTTGGGTTGAACGTACGGCGCCGGCGCTGTGGTTCAAATCCAGAAGTAGCACCAGCCTCGGCATCACCACACCACTACCCACCACTCCCAAACACCACGGCATCTCTCGTAATCAGCCGGTCATCATCATCATCTTTACATAATTCTACACAGTTAGCTCCACGGAGGCACTGTGGATTCATCGACCTGCTCAGCTTAAATTGAACAGGATCGGTCAGCTAACTGCTCTCCTGTGTGTGTGTGTGTGTGTGTGTGTGCGTGTGCAAGCAGCCTATTGCCATGCTCTGTCTCAAAATATAGTTTCAAGTGGCCTTTTTGTCCCCCCTTAGTTTGCCTTGGATGCAGACAGGCGGGCCTGTGCTCTGTAGGCCGAGACTTTTCATGGTTGCCTCAAAGCTGCCACACAGCAGCCTTATGCAGTAGGACGGCTCCATCACTCACAAGACCAAACTCTCTGCCTTTCCTATGCGTTTTTATAAATATGTGTATGTGTGCGCGTGTGATTTTCATTTGTTTTTTTATTGTGGATTTCTATGTTGTCTTTGTTTTGGGGTTTTCTTTTTGTTTGTTTTTTAGACAGATTTATGCATGTGCCCAGAAACTTGGCATCTGTTCGTATGCATGGCATTTTTGGTACATTTTGAGATTAGATAGCAGACACGGTGGTGGAGAAGTCGTGTTTCTTTTTGTTTGTTTACGCTTGGATATAGCTGACTTGTATCTGTAGCGTCAGTCTTCAATGTTCATATCATTTAAGATACGGTTTTGTAAAAAAAACAAACACAAATTCTCACTACAGGCAAAACACTACACTCTGAGACGTAAGAAGCATCCATGTGAAGATTTATCACAGCAGTAGAGAGAAAGAAAAACTACTTTAAAGTCACATATCGCTCTCCGTGCTTCATCGAATGTTTTTAAGTTACTTGAATCCATGTTTATTTATAAGTAATAGTAGCAGTTTTTTAAATCACACCTTGTCTCTTGAATACAGACACCAGTATATTTTAAACTCTGACTGTTCAGACACCTGTAAAAGAAGGAGAAAGAAGAAATCCTCAAGGGCTTTATGAGATGTCAGTGTTAACAGCAATACAGCTTCTTCGGCGGGTGGCTGTCGATGCTTTCTTCCTGTTTGTCCCATATTGGTCGCTCAGCCAGCCCTCTATCTCCAGTCTTCCTATACCTTAACTGGGACAGTAAATGTACCCCACCTCCCTCCCTTTCTCCCCCCTCCTCCCATCAACTGCCTTGAGCTGTCATTGCCTCAATCTATCATCCTTTGTTGTTTTTACATCTCATTCTCCTTCCTGCTCATTGTGAAGCGACTGATTTCAGAGGAGTTTTTTCTTTTAATGGGCATCGAGAAGGTTTGCATGCCTCGTTTAGGTCGCTCGGAAGACGTGTTGTTCGTGTGTGTGAATGTGATTCCTGTAATATCAGAATCACAAAAAAGCCACAGTATGAAGCTCCTGTGGATGTGATTTATATTTTTGCACCATACCTGTGTGTGTGGGTGTGGGTGTGGGTGTGGGTGTGTGTCTGATTGTATGTGTGTGTGAGGACATGCCAATGATGCATGTTTATTTTTTATAGCCAAATTCTTGATTTCGTTGTTCATGTGGCGTCTCTGATTCTGTGAACCGTGGCAGCCCTTGATTGTTTTTGGCTCAGTCATGGGTTCGGCATTGAACACAGGGTCACTCTAGTGGTTCCCCTTTTCTCTTTTTTTTCCCATCGTGATTTTTGTATTTAGTTTTTATTTAAATGTCACAGCAAGGTGGAGTGCAAAGACCAATCTGTGTCCTTCTCTAAGAGATTTCTGTGAAAGGTGCATAAAATGTTTTTCAATGCAGTTTTTTTCCCTTTGGTTCATCCGCATTTGTCATTCAGACAAAAGACCACTGTTCGAGTTGTTCCACGACTGCAACAAACGGAGTGCCTTTATCCCAGTGTGGTGTTAACATAGAGCAAGGTTTCTCTCATTACTGCAGATTATCGTCCCCGACCTCACCGTAAATCAAATGAAAGCAGCATTCCAGAAGTTAAACCTCCACAGGTTCACCGGGAACCAAGAATATACTGTAGGACTTTAAAATCAAAAAGTACTATTTTGTGTCTTAGCAGCATTCTCTGTGACTGTCACCAAATGGATGTGTGTATATCTGTGATTATTTATGAATACAGTATATAATGTACAGCATGATTTTTATTTCAGTGTATTTGAAATGTACTTTTGCACTTTCCAGGTACTAAATTGTAACAAATTGTTTTAACTTGGCTCCCTAATCTGTACAAACTGCTTTGTATACACAAGTGGAAAATGATCATTAAAGTCTTGTCTAAATTTAAATGGGTCATTTGAATTTGTGGTTTATCTGCCTTCACTTGAAACACTTAAAAGAAGAATGAAGAGTGACTGCCATGGCTGAGGTAAAAATACACAGATTCAAAATGCAAAGTTTTATTTAAGGAAAACACAGACAGACAACAATGTCTGTGAGAAAGATTGTTCAGGATATTCAAGAGGAGACGAATCAAGGTGGTCACTCTCTTATGTTGTGTTTCTTTGTGGTTTTCATGCAGCGATCGGGTATGAGCAGATGGACGCTCTCTTCAGTTCACAATCAGTGGCCGTCCACCAGCTCTCATCTGCAAAGAAGCGGTAGGGACAGAGTTATTAAAGGCATGTTGGCTCACATAACTCACATATTCCGAGGGTACTTCTAAAACCATTTAGTAGAAATAAATGTCTACTAGTATTTACAGTATTTCTGCTGTGAGCCATCTAAAGGTGTTATTAACATAATTGTGTTAAAGGGACAAAGAGGAAACATGATTGTCAGGTTGCTCTTTGTGCCACAGGGCAAAGATACCTCATACCTAACCCTTAACACTAGCACTGTTGTTTAATGTGTAACACAGACTAATGTATATTTCATCAACCCAGCTCAATTAACAAATAGATGCTGGTGCCAGTTCTTAAAGTATAAATATCCTGACTTTAAAGGAGAGTTTTAATGACAGATTGTACGTTGTATACACATGTTAGAAACTGCACCCTTATTCATTCTTTCTGGGTTAATCACACACACAGAACTTTAACTACTTAAGCCTTTTTTATGTTTCATGCAAGAAAAAAAAGTTTTATTAATGTGTGTCTAGTGTGTGTGAGTTCTTACCTATCTTGAACATGTCCACGCAAACTGGTTTATCAGTCTGAATGTTGGGGTGACCTGGCATCCAGTCGCTGTAACTCCACTCTGACCCATCTACCCAGGATGCCTGCTGGTTCTGAGGTGTGCAATGCCAACACACACACAGTGTATCAAAGATATGCACACACACAAGCTTGATTCAACCATTCTTATTAAAACTGAGAATTAACATTAAAAATACAGACTTTTTATCCACAAAATGAAAAGTACAGAAACAGATGGAACATCTTAAAATAAAAGTTCAAAGGTTGATGTTATACCAAGGTAAGAATAACACTATCTGTCCTGTTAGATAAGATATCTAATGACACTCTCCTTGGCCTCCAGTCTGTGCCATAGTGCAGGACCAGACTGCTGGCGTCACAGTTAGTGAGCGCATGAATAAAAATGGTGATATGAGATAGTTTCCCAAACATCATTCTAATGTTACTTGTTCCTATTAAAATATAACAGACTGTAGATGAACCTTTCAAGATGTGTTTGGGGAGGTAGATCAGGGTACTGGGGCTGATTTCACTGTTCCTACATCACTACAGCAGTGTATATTTTCAGAAAAAACATACTGTCTCTTTCAAAATGTTGACGAGAAGAACTTGCCTTGACCATTCCTCCCAGCCAGGTCAACACAGGGTTGTTCTCGCCACCACTGGTCACCAAGGACACCAGGCGGGAATGTAGATCGTCACTGGTTACAGATGCAAGCTCAGCATTTGGGGCAAGATCTCTGCATAACGCCTGGAACGGACACAGAAAAGTGTTAAGATTTAATTTGAAGAGGCACAAACTGTTTTAATCTGGAAAACAAAGCAGTATTGGTGACATGGATTCACCACAGAAAGTTTAACTTGACCTAACGAACCTCTGTGTGTCTATAACTGTACTGTGAGATGTTTTACCTGTGCATCTTGAAAGGCCAGTGGTGTGGGGTTGAACTCATAGCAGTTTCCATTGATGATCTCCCCCTTACATGCTACTGTCTGTGTTTGGAGCCTTGAGGTGGAGGGTTCAGTTCCCTGTCTAAAACCATCTGGGATTGACATCATGGGTTCGGTTCCCTGTCTAAAACCATCTGGGATTGACATCCTGGGTTCAGTTCCCTGTCTAAAACCATCTGGGATTGACATCCTGGGTTCGGTTCCCTGTCTAAAACCATCTGGGATTGACATCCTGGGTTCGGTTCCCTGTCTAAAACCATCTGGGATAGACATGGAGGGTTCGGTTCCTTGTTTAAAGCCCTCTGGGACTTTACGCACAGGTTCAGTTCCCTGTCTAAAACCATCTGGGATTGTCATCCTGGGTTCGGTTCCCTGTCTAAAACCATCCGGAATTAACATCACTGGTTTTGCGCTTAGCCTAAGACCATCTGAGGCAGAGATCATGGGTTCAGTTCCCTGTCTAAAACCATCTGGGATTGACATCCTGGGTTCAGTTCCCTGTCTAAAACCATCTGGGATAGACATCCTGGGTTCAGTTCCCTGTCTAAAACCATCTGGGATAGACATCCTGGGTTCAGTTCCCTGTCTAAAACCATCTGGGATAGACATCCTGGGTTCGTGTCTAAAACCATCTGGGATAGACATCCTGGGTTCAGTTCCCTGTCTAAAACCATCTGGGATAGACATGGAGGGTTCGGTTCCTTGTTTAAAGCCCTCTGGGACTTTACGCACAGGTTCAGTTCCCTGTCTAAAACCATCTGGGATTGACATCCTGGGTTCGGTTCCCTGTCTAAAACCATCGGGTAGACGAGGAGCAGAGGGTTCTTCCACACGAACCCAACCACCGCTATTCTTCTGGGCTCGAACATCAACAGGTACTGAAAGACAGAAGGTTTTTTTGATGTATCTTGGTAGTTTATTGTGGATAGGAGCTGAAAGTAGTGGAGAATAAATCATAGTTAAATTATGACCTCACCCTCATCTGTCAACCAGTGTCTTCTCCCCATCTCTCCAAATCCAGAAGGATGGATGAAAGCTAGAGGAGGAAAAACATTTCTCATTGCACCTGTTAATGAACTCACTCATATTGAGTTAGCAAACTCCAAATGGGTAAAACTAATTAGTTCTTCATTATGGTTTGATTACCTCTCCTGTCCATCTCACTGATGTGTTCCTGCACTAGGCCGGTGTTGAGGTCAACGATGAATCTCCTGGAGGGCTCGGTACCTTGTCGGAAACCACCGGGAACAGGTTCATGGATGTCGCCGTGTTCGGTGCCCTGTCGGAAGCCATCGGGGAGCCGGTAGGTCGAAGATATCTTCTGCAAACGTCTAGGGACTGCAAGTGGGGCAGCCTGGAGCCCTGGGAAGGGATTATTTTACAGTTAGCTGTGTTTGGGCTTTCTCTGCAGTAGTAGTGCCGTCACACTGAGGATATGCAGTTATTCAGTGTTAGAGAAGCTCACATAGAGATAGAAAGGCTGACCTTAGACTTCCTTTCAGATTAAACACCATTGCCAGTTGACAAATACATAACTGTCTGTCCTTTTACATCAATTATTAACTATTGTGCCAGGATAATATGTAGGCCACAGCTTTTCCTTAACAGTGTAATAAATCAATAATGGTCAAAGTCTAATTTCTACTGTGATTGCATCGCTATTTGCCACGGTCAACACTTTTGCTGCCAAGGCAACATAAGCCACAACTAATTACGACATGGAAATAATCCGACCATTAACTAGGATTATCAAAGGGAATAACTAATTATATTGCTAAAGTTCTCATTTATTTCTCGTGTTTCTTCCACACAGCGGTAGTCAAGAAAAAAACAGTTTTCTTGGGATCAGATGAAAGATATCTCAACATAAGAATATTATGGTAGGATCATAAGAAAACCTCCATAGTTGTCTGTGATAAAATGATAATTATCATCTTAAGTTATCTTTAGTTACTGTATGTCGGTGTAAAGAAACACATATTTAGTGTTCATGATAAAACCCTAAGACTCACATCATCTGCAAATTAAAGCATTCAATACATCATGTGACTTTAAAATAAATGAATTATGAATAGTCATTACACTTAATGTATAAAATAAACTACAGTGAAAGATGGAGGGGTCTTACCTGACAGTGTCAGGAGCAGCAGCACTAACTTGAACATCCTGTAAACGACAACAACAGACGTCTTTTAGCTTTTAATCTGCTGTATGTTTGCCTCCGCTGTGCTGGATCAGCGGCTGTGAACCCGGAGACGCTGCGGCACTTTGTGTTGCTTACCTGAGACAGCAGTGATGAACAAACCAGAAACAAAAAGGCCACCTACTAATATGTCTTGGTCCTAAAACCCAACCCTACCAATGACACTTGGAATTGGATTATAGATTAATTTCATCAGTGATATTTGATGCACTTTGCCCTCAGGTCTCACCTGATAAAGGTTCGAACACGAGCTCATAAAGTGCAGGCTGTCAACAGTTGACCTCTGACATCAGAAGAAATATCCAGTTTTCCTTGACATCCTACTATACTGTACACTTCCTGTTTTCCTGGTTTTGTAAATACGTTAAAGGTGAATGGCACTTGGTTTAATCAGGGGTGGCTCAATCAATATTTGTGAACGTGGCCAGATAGTAAACGTGACTGGCATTGAAGGTTGTTCGAGGGGGACAGGAGTGTTTTATAGGTCATTTCTATGCTGTTGTTTGGAGACGTGTGCACCTTATTAGCAGACATGGGCACAAATACATCAAAAGTATCTTGTTACAAATCACACACTGAAAATAAAATACAAAATAGTGGTATGAAAAAAATGTAATCAGTTAAAATACAAGTAATTTGTTATTTTAACATACAAAAATACATTCTTTATGGACTGATATGCTAATTTCCCGGTAATATAGATTTAAAGTGACCACTCGGGGTATCTTGGAGGTGGGGGGCTGTGAATTCAGGGGTGCATGCTGGGTGTTTTCTGTCAGTCAAAGCGACCACTGACTGATTTGAGTGAAAAGTCAAATGAAATGCAACTGGAGAGACTGAATATTTAGACCACGTTATGTACCAGTTCTCTCAGATGAAAAGAAGACTGGGGATTTAGCATTTCTAAAACAACTTTACAAACAACCAGTTAAAGGAAAACACAAAACAGTGCAACAGAGTATGATACAGAGCAAAATAGCAGATATTTTAAAGAACAAGCTCTTAATGTATTTTATTCCAAATTACTTTTTTCTTTCTGCCCAGGAAAATGCAAATTACAAAGCACCTAAAAGTAATTAAATATATACTTTAAATACATGTATTTAAAGTACTACTGTCTATCTATTAGTAGGAATTGATTACCATTTTCATTTTATAAAACCATGTTACTGGAATTTGTGTACAGCCATGTTGAAGTCTAAACAAACAGGAGATCACATGGATTATTAATGAAAGAGGTGAATTACACTTTATCTGTGACTGACTGGTGTATATGCAGTAACATACACACTGGTGGAGGTTTGTTAACCTTTATTGAGCAACACTTTGGAGTCTGTCGGTGTTAATACCCTGCACTGCTTCAGTGAGCAGCCACATGGCGGGGGGGACTGGCGCCCCAGCTTTCAAAATAAAAGTAAAATAAAAAACACATTTGATAATGAATGGAAACCCGTGTGTTCCGAACAACACCGTTTTTGGATATTAATTCGCACCAGATCTCTTATGATGTATACACTTAATTTTAACCTCTTGGCGGTGTATTCCCAGGAAAGAGTTAACATGTTTTTGGCTCCAGCTTTTACTTTGAAGCCACGACAGGAAGTTGTTTTATAACGCGTACGGTGAGAGAGTCCTTGTCGGGAAACTCACCGGAGACTTCTCATTTACCGACTGAGCACATTAACGCTGCCGACTTTGTGCTTTGTGGCCGACCCAGACGAGCTATTGAACTCATCTATTTGTGATCTCCGACGACGAACAGCTGATTTATGTGAACACGTTACGTAATGAACGTGACAGTGACTGAGTGACTTCTCGCAGATCGAGAACAAGCTAGCCTCGCTAGCTAGCTCCGTGGGCTAAGTCAAACATTTGTGGGTCTCTCCGCTCGACCTCAGTGGGCTGTGTAACCCGACAGCTCGGATACCTCCTCTGCGTTTTCTTTTTGTTGTATTTAACACGTTTATTGTCAGTGAAATGGCTTTGGTAGCGGCGTTAAGAAGATTAGCTCACGTTAAGTTACGAGATTATTCGCCGAGGATGGCGGCAGTCACTTCCAGTGTCTGGCTGACGGGTCAGAGGAGCTTTACCTCCCGCACACAGTGTCTGAGGTAGGTACCATTACTCCAACAAACACTGGGTTTGAACCCGACAGGCCCTCGTTGTGTGTGGGTTGCAGAGCTACTGCTGCACGCCAAACTCCATTCACAAAACAGGTAATTAAATGTGACCTTTGTTATCAGCACAGTGGAAGAACATCAGTGATATTCCTGTTACACTATCTGTCTTCTCCTGATGCACATCGTTCATTATTTGACTTATCTATTCACCTTTGTATGAGACACGTGTGTATAAAACTTTTCAAACTTTTTCCAAGTGCAGTTTGTCCCCACAGTTTAATCCTCCTTTAGGATCAGCGGTGAAACTAAGCCAGTGGGGAGAAAGTTATTAAAACTAATACTTTTAAAGCCTTAAGGTTTGGACGTGAAGTTCGGCTTGGTTTGGACTATAAGCTTAAGCAGCTTGAATGGGTGGCCTGAAAGTTATATCATGTGTTTGCACCCTTAAAGTGTCACATTTGTGAATGGAGTTTGGTCTGAAATGTTCTTCAAAGATAAAACATCAGAGTTAATTAAATTACTTGCAGGAATAACTAAGTTTAAATACTTTTTATCAGGTTTGGGTTTTCATGAAAGTCTGAAATTGTGTGTATTTGTCTTAAAATAGCAACAGTGACACTTCATAGTGATATCTTCAGCCTTCAAAGAGGCTCCACATGCCCACAAGGTGAAAGTGATCCATCTTAATGTTCAGGTACAAGGCTCTGACCACGGCTGGGCTTCCCAGGGCCAAACAACTTGTTGAAGTAGTGAGTAATGACATGAACCTCAGGTTGAAGGTTTGGAGCGCCCGGGCTGACCTTAAACCGGTTAACACTGTCCCCATGTGTTCACGTCAGACAGGGCATGGCTGGCCCCCCTTTTATTCCTTTTCTTTTTTCTTTTAAAACAGCGGATTAACACAGGGTTCCCACAGGGTCCGGAGACTTCCACAAGGTCACTGAGTTTATTATTTATGGCCCAGAGAATGTATAAGTTGTCTGAGAGTGACAGGGAATGTCGTGTGCAAATTAATTGTATTATTAATTCATTAATTTATGTCTAAGAATGGAGTCTCCTTTGGTTCATAGTTTTCTGTTTACATGTAGTTTTTCAAACCCTGGCAAAACATCCCAGTGTGTCAGCACTGTTGGCATGTTAATTTAATTCCCACTGAAACACTCATTACAGTTAAAACTTGACTATCGAGGCTAATCGGGTGAAGTATTTTTATCCTTGAACATTATTAGGCTGAACAGAAACATTAATTGGCTGAATACAGTCAGGAACTGTCAACGCCTACACGCTGTGTGTCTCCACTGACTGTGCAGTTCTACCTCCACTTGCTCATGTTTATAGTTTTCAATGTCTGTGGTTTAACTGATGTGTTTGGAGGCATCATTGATTAAACTGTTCAGTGTCCCCTAATTTAGAAACTGGACAAATATTTGTTTATGTGACCCAACTGGGTTGGAAGTTGACTTTTTTTTTCCCCTCCTGCTGACTAAATGTTTTCAACAAAAAATCACCCATACGATGTGCTTCATGCAGCAGCACGGACAAGGTAGAGATGTTTGTCTTAGATTTAGTTCCCAGCATTAAAGGGTGAATTAAAAATATATCAAAAACGACAACACCGGCCAAATTGTTGATTTAAACATCAGTATCGGCTAAAGTTTCCCGACTGGTGCATCTATAGTCTGTTTATATTGTTGTCTTGGAGGTTTTCTAAAGCTGTGTCGAGCTCTTTTACTCTGTATAAACAGGGATTGGAGCCGATTACATTGGAATAGATTTTATTGATACCAGTGTCATCAATTATTTGAATCCTGATCAGTTTTCTGTGTTGAAAAGAAAAAATATTGCAATTTGGAACCGGTTCCCGATTCCCATCCTAATATTTGTACAGCTTTCATTTTGTATTCAGGTTTTCTTAGTCAAAGAAAAAATCTGCTACGCCTGTCTGTGTGGCATTTAAGTGTGTGTGGCGTGGAAGACTTGAAACGATCATTTTAAACAGACATTACCAGTAAAACTGATCTCTTAGTGAGATGAGGCCACACTTTTGACCGTTTCTTCCTCTTTGCCAGGATTTTAAAGTCCAAAACATTAACTTTACTATAATGTAACAAATCCTCACATTTGTTAAACTGGAACCATTAAATGATTTGTAATTGTAGCTTAAAAATGACCTAATTGATTCATTAATTATTAAAAAAGTTGAACTTTTTATTTAAAAACATGAGAAACTAGGATATTTCTTACACACACCTTCAGGGGCAGAGTGGAGATGTTGTGGCATATTGGGTATGTGTTACTGGAGTTCATCTCCTGACTGTTGTACAAAGCTGGTTTAATATCCGAGTAAAAGTAATTTTATGTTTGTTTACAATGTTCTGAGTTTTCCACACTGAGATGTTAACAGCAGTTAAACATCTTTTGGTCAGCTGGGTTTGTGTGTAGTGATGAGCTGTGACCACTAGAGGGCAGTGACGGTCAGGGCCGCACAGAGCAAAGATTTTATCCTCGACCCATTTGTGACTGCAACCAGTAGATTTAACAATTATTTCAGGTTTTAGTTGTTACTAACTTATCATGTAAATAAAAAATAGAAATGGTCTCTCTCTCTGTCTCTGTCTCAGGTCAGACAATAAGGTGACGGTCAACTTCATCAACAGAGATGGGGAGAAGATCACAGTGAAGGGGTCGCCTGGAGACTCACTGCTAGATATAGTCATTAACGAGGACCTCGACTTTGATGGCTTTGGTACGTAAGCACACACGTATTGGGGTGGGATGTTGTCATAAACCAACAGCCTCATCCTTTCAGTTTCTTGCCATTTGTTACGTCGGAGCTCGTCCCTGGCAACTGAGCCGAATCTCATCAGATAAAGCTGTAAAGTGCTTTTGTGTGTCTCTAGGAGCGTGCGAGGGAACCCTGGCGTGCTCCACGTGCCATCTGATCTTTGACGAGGACGTGTACAAGAATCTGGGGCCAGTCACAGATGAGGAGATGGACATGTTAGACTTAGCCTACGGCTTGACTGACACGTAAGGAAACACCACGAGCGCCACACACACACACACACACACACACACACACACAACCTGCCAAACCTGCTTCTGCAACCCAGGCAACTCTGGGGCAGTTTGATATTCAAATGTCACTGTTTGATTCTTTAATTTGTTCCTATGGCACAGAAGAAGAGGCTTTATGCATCAGGCTTCGGGCACATGGATAATAGTTGTTATTGGACTATTGATCACGGAGTTTGTTGTTTCTATAGAGTGCCCTGATTACAAATAACGAGATAGACAATGTCAGACATCTTTAAAGAAAGTGGTCTCACACATTGTGGGACGCTGATAGTTCTGTTGGGGTAATGAGATTTGTCAGAGTTGATCAGTGAGCAAACAGCGTCAACCCACACTGTTAAAGTCAGAGTTTTCACCTGACTCAAACGCTGTTCCCACATCAGACTTTTAGAAGTCGCTCCACTCTGTTTCTGTCTCCCTCTTTGTTACCATAACAGTTAGTGTGTTTTTTGTTTGAGAGGAGACTCTGTTCATAAGTGAGTAAAATTTATGCTGCTTCTCTACCAGTGTCAGGATTAATGTTACTATGAATATTATACTTTTGTTGATAACTAGCAATGTAACTAATTACGTTTTAAAACACGATTAAATAACACTATTTCCATCTCGTTATTTTTGTCTTAAATTAGTGAACTGTAGAAGATGTCGTATGAATGCAGCACAGCCCGCTGATTTATCGGTTTCTAATCCTATATAACGCCACCTGTCTGTTCATTAAATAACTTTACTAATTACTGTGGCAGAGCTCAGTTAATGGTGGGTTGTCTCTAATAAACCGTCCTGTCTATAAGACAGTCAGCTTAGGTTACAGGTATGAATGCTTGTCATTGCTGCCCCCTGGTGGTCGGAAGTATTAATGACTCTCAGCCCACAGCAGCAATATGTCTATCTGTGCATTAAGAGAAGTGACACATAAAAGTAATGCAAAAGTAACCTTAATTAGTAACTAATCACTTTATTATATATAATAATAATTTATAATATAATAATTGGTAGTAAGTAATTCAATTACTTTTGAGAGAAGTGATTGAACTAATTACAATTATTCAGTAACTGAGCTTTTTAGCATTGTTTCCCAGAGCAGCAGGCAGTTGTTTACAGTGAAAAAGCTCTGATAAACAAACAGCTAACGACAAGCTGGTGAACACAGTGGAGCATTTAGCAGCTAAACAGTCAGATATTGTCCTAGTTTGTGGGGCCCAAACACAGTTGATAAACTAATAAATTACAGCTGCTCTGTCAACTGACTGAGATTTAATTCATGATTAGTAAAGAGATTTTTTAATTAATCTAATTTTGACTGAAAAAAGCAATTAAACTCCCGATGTGACCTATGCAGTCTGTACTAAACGAGTAGGCCAACTCTCTGTATAGTGCTTCATTATAAAGCTGTTTAATAATTTTACCTTTATCAACAAATTGCAGCTTCTGTGAGTTGGATATCGGGGGGGCAGCGATCGGCTTTATTAAGCATCAAAACTCAGATAACCAGTGTTGAAAATGACAACAATTAATTTCTTACCTGTACTTTAGCTTGGAAATGTCTTAGAATAAAGCGATTGCATATAAACATGCTTGTTATTGCACTTGGCCAAACTGTGATTTTGATAATATTTGAATTCAACTGTGCAGCCTTAATTACAATTTTTAATAGGATAGCTTACAGGCAGACAATGTGGAGACTTAATCCTCCTTTTTATTCCTCCCACAGATCTCGTCTTGGTTGCCAGATCTGTCTGACCAAGTCTATGGAGGGCATGGTTGCCAGGGTTCCAGAGAGCGTAGCGGACATCCGACAAAGCAAAGACGGATCGTCTTAACCGGGAACCAGCGGGTGCAGACAGTGTGGTTGTGCCCGGTCAGAACTGAAGGTACAACATGTGCCTGCGATGGTAGGTGTAACTCTGTCAGCACTGCTGTCTGCACGGCCGTTTCCTCCTTTTTAAAACAAACGACTTCCAAGTGACAGACAACCAGAACCAGCTGTCAATACCAGGACGTAAGAATACAGGACTTTGACTCTCAAATCAAGACAAAATCATTTTATTTTAAAGTAAACTCCACTAGGCAAGATATTTGAGTAAAACTGTAACAGGACAGTAATGACTCCTCACACTAAGCTCTCTAATGGTTAACGATGAGATATAAACTGCCTGTTAATCCGCCCTGATTTAAGGTAACTATGACTGAATTGACACGGACGCTTGTATAAAGAGCAGATTTGTGCCTGTGCAGGATACTTTTTTATTTGAACTCAGGCTGCAAATCTGGTCCGAATACATCTGACCTTTTTCCTCCTGTGTGAATCCAGTCATATTCACTGAACACAGCTGATAGCAGCCTGTGACTGAAATGTAACGAACAGTTCTCAACGCCTTCAACGTTGTGCTGATGCTAAACCCCCCCCCCAACATATTATATTTTATTCTACATATATGTATAACTCTACTATTGTTAGTTTGATTGAATCCTTCATGTAACCATATACTTCCATCATGTGATTGTACATAGCTAGAGCACACACATATATATCTGTATCGAGGGATGAAGAATGTAATAAAAAAAAAATCACCTTTCTAATGGTGTGTTGATCTGTCGCTTTTTACATGTTTATATTGTTTCTGATGTACCAGTGACCACAAACGTAAACAATAATGTAATACTTCCCGTTAATCAGTTTCACTTCAGTTTATTTGAAAATGCAGATGTCGGCGTTTTAACACGTTTTATATAAAGTAAGCATAGACAATAATATAATGTAGAAGTAAAGCAACAGTCCTGTGACCTATTTAAACAAAGTTTAGAGCTGCATAAAATAGCTTGAAAAACACGACTACCATTCCCCCCCTCCCCCCTTAAGGGATCATATTTACACAACAGAAATACTGGGACAGAATGTGATGAACTGAAATCAATACAGGCTTGTGTGAAAACCACATTGTTGGCAACAAATAGAAAACAAGACTCGTACCTACTGCATGTATGTGCAGGACCACGTGATTTAAGTACTAATGCCTTAAGCGTTTGAAGTGTTATATGACCCAGATATTTAAAGAGCAGAGACTCACTGCGGCGAGCAAAACTTAATCCGTGTCATCTAGAAAAGTTAAATAATGATATTCCAGTACCTCCGTAGACTCTACAGTCGGCAAAAAGCAGCACAAATGTCAGTAAAGACAGAAAATAGCACAAAGTTTTTAAGGAAGTTTCCGTTAAAAGCATAAATAGTGAATTATCACCTTTTTACTTAATCTACAAAACTCAACATATTTCTTTAAGTGAAGCTGTGGTAACATGAAGAGATGCTCTGAATTAAAACTATAATCATTATCCAATGTCACAGTGTGTACCCAGGCTGCATTTACACTACAGGCCAACAATGTAGAATCCCATAATGTCCTAAAAGTTATGTTTATAAGAAAATACTGTGCGTTAATTGTTTTATTTGTGCCACTCGTAAAGCGTAAAGTAGGACAGTGATCGGCTTTATTAAGCATCAAAACTCAGATAACCAGGGTTAACAATTTCTTAACTGTAGCTTTAGCTTGGAAATGTCTTAGAATAAAATGTAAATAAATAATAAACACGCTCTGTAGGAGTCAGTAAGTTACCTACAATCTGTTTAATATGTCCAAACATAATGCTGAGAGCAGAAATCACCAAGTTAAACCGAACCAAACAAGTTTACAGCTCAGTGTACCTATCGGGCAATAAAACATTAGTAAATGAGATTCTACTTGTTCATGACGTAAGAAGGCAACACCAGGTAGTTTTATTGGCAGGTTTAAACTTTGGCCTGATAAAGTTAAAAAGACAATCCTTGTGTTTAGACTGTGACAAACTTATTTCAATATAAAAAGGTTATAAAGTAGTATTCCTTCTTCATGTGTAAATCCAGCCTTGAGGACAAAAAAAAAAAACATACACACATTCCCTTAATGGCAAAAAGCTCTAGGCAAAGTTTATAATGTGCCTAATTCTGTTTGTTCTACCACAGCAAAGAATTTAATTTCAGGTGCTGTTAGACTGAGGCAGAATGTATCTAATGAAACACTGAAAGCAGTCGTTTTTAAGGTGGTGAGTATCGTAACTAATTTATTCTCAGGTTGGAAGCAGCAGCAGTGAAGTCGTGTAGTTCTGTGATCTGTGTGTGTCGCTCCGGGTTCTAGTCAGAATCAGACGTACGATTCTTCAGCAAACAGAAGCTGGTCAAAGTCTGGTTCTGCTGTGGGATCGCTGCATCTCCTCAGCCATTCCCTGCGGCTCTCCACTAGGGCGAGCGCCACCTGCTGGCTGCTCTGAGGGTGACTGCGCGGGTGAGAGGAGAAGTAGTCTCTCACGGCTTTGGTGGCATACGGGGAGAGGCAGAACCGGCCCTCTGGCGTCCCTCCCTGTGAGTCCACCTCGCTAACCTTCAGTCCTGGGTCGCTGGGCAGCCTGGCCCGCGTGAAGGTGGCGGCTCGCTCTACGACCTGCCGCTCGGGTTCCGACCCCCGGCGCTGGAAGAGCCTGGGTTTGCATTCATCCTCCACGGAGTTAGACTTGCTTTGCTTGAAGAGGGACAGAGACGCCCCGCTATGCTTGTAAAACAAAGATGGCGACTGCTGCTTCACTGCGCTTGACGGGGAGTCTGAGGAGTGGAACCAGGAGTGGAGACTGCCTGTAGAGCGGTGGTGAGAAGGGGGGCTGGATGAGTCCTGTTTAAGATGTCTGGGCTTGTGGGCCTCTTGGCCAGGCCTCCCTCTTCCTTCTGCATCCTTTGAGGTTCTGCAGGAGGTTTTGGGCTTGGGTTGGCTGCTGGAGGTCGGTTTCCCTCCTCCGCCTGCTTTTCCTTTCTCCGGGACGAGTTTCCCAAGTGTGAGCGACTTCTCAGTGGGTCCCCCCTGTTGGTGGAAACAGAAGAGAATGTAAACTAATTAGTGGTCCTTTTCAGCTGATCTTACAGGTGTACCACGCAATTACCCAGGGGCCCCGACTCCGGCGGTACCAGCAGAGATCCTATGGTGCTGAAAGGTTAGTGGAAAGTGCTGCTGGCTCCCTGTGTTAAATACTTGCTACACGTTCTTGACAGTCCAGCCCTGTAAGGTGTGGCTTCTTGTGTGTCAGTGTTACGGTGAGATCTGCCCATCAGCTTGGAGTGCCACCAGACCTGTTGTGCCTCCTCTCAGTCTAGATATTCTGTTCTGTGGAGGAAGCTTCTTACCACTGATCCTGTGTTGTTAGAGGTCGTTACAGTTTAAATTGGAGTATTTCTTTGTGTGTGTTTCCTGTACATAATGGTCTTTATCCTCCTGTCACACTCAACTAGGGTCAGCAGCTTGCCGTCCCGTTCCTGCGAGAGAGTACTTCTGATGCGTCAGGTGAAGCTGTTGATGTTGGAGCAGTTCTGTGATCCAAGTACAGATCTAAGGTAAGGGTGGGGGCTGTTAAGCAGTCTGTTAAAGATATTCAGTTTACATGTAAGCTACAATCGGGTAGAAGGCTGTTCCATTGTTTATGAACTATGTTTCATCAAGACACCTTCTGTAGCAGTCTGACTGTGGTTGCAGTCTCTGTAGGGGAGGTCTCGTTTTAACTGCTGCCTCAGTGGGGGTTCTAGTAAACAGTGGCACCAAGAGACCTGGCTCTGGAAGGGGAGCACTTTCAATACCTTAATCCTCTCTCCCTCATCTCCTCTGTTCTTAATGTGACATTGGACGGAGAGAAAGTCTGAGGCGTTTGGAAGAAGTTGTACCCAGCAGCAGGAGACAGATCACAGGAGATCACTCTCTCTTTCAGTCTTTTAGGATCATTACGAGCCTCGTACTGCTGCTTTGGATCCAACACAAGTGTAATATAGAACTCAGTGTCCGTTAACCCTCTGTCTGCCAGCAGGTGAAGGTCCTGGACTCGTCCGTTCAAGCTCCATCAGGGTTTGCTGTTCCTCTGGCAGAGAGGAAGATTGTGGGTTTGCAGAGTGAGGCTCACAGTCCCAATAGGTAACGTTGAACTCAACTCTGATCTAACACGGAAACAGACTGTCAGTTGCAAGTTGCCGTCCTGAAAGAGTGGATTAAGAAAGGAACTGACCCTATGTCCCACTCCTTGATGCTCTGTGGTCCAGTAGTTGAGCAAACCTCGGTCACAACCAGTTACAGTTTCTCTTTCCTGTACTAAGATATGCTATGTGCTCGTCTATCTTGAAAAGCAAATTTTGAAGGTAGTTTATAACATTTGTTAATTAGCTATGTAGTTGGCTAACACTTGACTAATATTTATGTCGCTTATCTTTTAACCATTTTAAAAATCTGGTTGTCTTTTCAAGATAAGCAGATTGTTAAAATATGTCACATAAATATTAGTCAACTAGGTAGCTAATTAACAAATGTTTAATTAGCTAGTTATAAACTACCTTCAAAAATGATGAGCACATACAGAAAGTACAGGAGAGGAGAAAGTTGAACTGGTTCTGACCCAGGTTTGCTCAACTACTGGAGCACAGTGGGATTTATGAAGGGTTAATTCCTTTTATTAATGCACTCTTTCAGGATGGTGACTGACAGTCTGTATTCCTGTATTAGATCAGAGTTGAGTTCAACATCAATCAGAAAGCAGTTGGGCTTTTTCATTGGGACTGTGAGCCTCAGTCTGCAAACCCACAATCTTCCTCTCTGCCAGAGGAACAGCAAACCCTGATGGAGCTTGAACGGACGAGTCCAGGACCTTCACCTGCTGGCAGACAGAGGGTTAACGGACACTGAGTTCTATATTACACTTGTGTTGGATCCAAAGCAGCAGTACGAGGCTCGTAATGATCCTAAAAGACTGAAAGAGAAGTGATCTCCTGTGATCTGTCTCCTGCTGCTGGGTACAGCTTCTTCCAAACGCCTCAGACTTTCTCTCCGTCCAATGTCACATTAAGAACAGAGGAGATGAGGGAGAGAGGATTAAGGTATTGTGAGTGCTCCCCTTCCAGAGCCAGGTCTCTTGGTGCCACTGTTTACTAGAACCCCCACTGAGGCAGCAGTTAAAACGAGACCTCCCCTACAGAGACTGCAACCACAGTCAGACTGCTACAGAAGCTGTCTTGATGAAACACATTTCATATACAAACAGCCATATCCCCGATTGTAGCTTACATGTAAACTGAATATGTCTAACAGACTGTTGATGATAGCCCCCACCCTGCGGGTCTGTGATTGGATGACAAATTGCTCCAACAGCTTCACCTGAAACATTACTGTGTACAGGAAACTGACACACAAATCAATACTTTAAACTGTAACCAACTAACATCTTAGGATGAGTGGAAAGAAACTTCTTACACACAGAATATCTTGTCTGGGAGATGGAGCACAGTGTGGCCCCTGGGGCCCTCAAAGCAATGATTAAACTCTCGCCTTAAGACTGACAGCACCTTATATGGATGAACTGTATGAATATGTAGTGTGTATTTGAGTCGCAGGGCACCAGGACTTTCCACAAACCATTCAACACTTAATGATCCATGCTGGTACACCGGAGGACAGGAAGAGAGGGAGTGGTATGACATTACTTGAGACAGCCAAACTCTGGAACAGCATCCAAGATCATCAATCAAGAATGAGGCTGTTTTCATTTACTGTAAATCCTTAATAAATGCAATAAAAAATATTAAAGGGTGGAATTGTGTTATTACTACTCACATGGTAAATGTATAATAAAGTATGTGGATGTAATTAAGACTACAGCTGAAACAATTATCATCTTCATATATAATTTACAATCATACATAATAGAGTAAAGCTGCAAATCCTCACATTTTCCTCCATTAAAACCAGAGGAGGCAACTTTTACCATATCTGCTGAAACTTTCACTATATCCTGACAGAATCTGGGAAAAAAAGATCAGGTTTCAGTGCTCCTACTGGTATTTACAAGAAAACAACCAATCAGAGCAAAGAACAATAGTGGATGGTTGAGACTCAACCATCTGTCTCAGCTCTGATTGGTTGTTTTCTTTCCAGCAGTAGGAAGAACCTGACGTCTTTCACCGATTGCCTGTCAGGAAACAGTGAACATTTCAACATGACATTTTTACAAACGTTACCTACTGCAGCTTTTATCACAACTAATTTCAGTACTTAACAGTTTACTTAAACAGCCACTACCGTAATTAATTGTGCTATTATTACTCACATGTAAATTAAAAATCATAGATAATATACTAAAGCAGCAAATCTTAAAAACGTTTGCTCCATTAAAACCACAGGAGGTAACTGTTATATTTGCTATAACCTTCACTATATCCTGACAATCAGGTTTCTGTGGCTCTTCCTGGTGAAAACAACCAATCAGAGCCAAGCTGAATAAGTTGATTGTTGAGACTCATTCCCAGGTCATCAAACCCTGATGCTAGAAATGAGACTCAACCATCTGTCTCGGCTCTGATTGGTTGTTTTCTTTCCAGGAGCCGGATTATCTGTGTTATACTACTGTCAGGATATAGTATAGATACATAGATACGTTTGAGCAACATAACATTTTTACAAAAGTTACCTACTGCAGCTTTAATGACTAATAATTTCAGTATTTAACAATTAGCACATATAATTTGAATCTATGTAATCTGCCATAATCAAGTTGTTTTACTCACCCCAGTCTTGTCCTCTTCCTCCTTCTCCAAGTTGTCTGGTTGGGTTAGTGACAGTCTGCGGCCTTTCTTCAGCCAGGAGTTTGGGTGGAGGCCCCTGCAGCCTTTCAAGGTCCCCCAGTTAAGTGGTTCTTTGGGTGGGGAGCCTTTTGGACAAGGCCCCGGGTCTGGAAGTCCACTGGAGGTCAGAGCAGAGCTTACGGTGGAGGAGGGGACCATTAAAGAGGAAGAGTTGGAGGGTGGGGGTGTCTTGGTTGGGTTGAGCTCCCCTCTGGTCACCCAGGCGTGGTCACTGCTGGGGGAGTGCAGGGAGTGCAGGGAGTCCAGAGAGTTCAGGGAGGAGCCGGTTGGGGCAGGGGAGGCTGGGGTAGACGAGAGGCTGGAGTAGCTCGCCTCCAGAGCTGCTGACCTCACACTGAGCAGGTTTAACTCTGTCTCACCGCTGGAGTGCGAGTGGCTGCTAGGCTTCTGGGAAAGCTCTTCTTCACCATCTTCATCCTCACCAGTGCTCCCTGAAGCGCACGGCCCAAACTTGGCCAGGTATGCTATAGCCGGCTCCGAGCGCCGCCGCTGTCTGTGCCGACCGTCCAGGGAGGGCAGGTCGAGGGTGGACGAGGCGTCGGCAGTCGCTGCGTCCTGGCTGGGGCTGGAGAGGTCTGGGTCCTGTCTCCTGCCTCTGGTTCTCCCCAGTGGGCGTAACTTCAGGCCATGCGGGCTGTCAGTTTGGGTCTGGTGTACGTCTGGGTCCGTGTCTTGCTCGTAGTCGCTGAACGTGAGGATGGAGTCCAGGCTGCCTTGTAGCGGTTTGGATCGAAGGTGTCTTCTGCTGCAGAAGCCCGGCGACCCACCGCTGCTGTTGTCCAACTCATTCTCGAGACTGTCGTAGGACGAGTCGGTCAAAGGGTAAATCCAGGAGTCTGACGGTCCAGGGAAGAAGGGAAAAAAGAAGGACAGACAGTTAGAAACAAAGTGTGAAAACATTGCAAATAAGAACAACATTAATGTAAAAATGTAAATTAAAATCATATTTTCCAACTTCTAACCCTGTGTCACTTGTGTAATTATAACCTGTTTTATGCCCAAAATAACAATTTTATATCAAAATGGCTCTTTTGATGACTCATTATGAATTTGGGGCAATTCCATAAATGAATCCAATCAAATCTTATGTGTAGCTGTGTCCACTGAGCTGGACTGTTAACATGAATGTTTCCTCTCCCGTTAAAGACTTGAACAGATATTGTTTCTGTACCTGATCCCATCTCGTCAGTGTTGAGTCTTTGTGGCGGTCCTCCAAACAAGGAGGACGGATCCTCTCCCAGAATCTGCTGACAGTGTTCAATCATAAACTTCACCAGCTCACAAACCTGCAGCAGACAAGAGGATAAATACTGACATTTAGCTATTTTATTATGACAACAGTGTAACAATTGTTTTATATTTCTGAGTGTTCAAGGCTGCGTGGAAGCACTGCGACTCTCTTACGTCCTGCTTTCAGCGTTTAAAGTGGATCATTTCTGAGCAGCTAAAAGTGTTACAATGCTTCATGCTTTCTGGAACAAAGTGCTTTTACATTATCTCTACCCTTTACCCTTTCTACAAAGCTGATTTGAGACAATCCTATGAGAAAAGCTTCATGTGGTTTAGAGGTGTTACAGTGCACTCATTAAACACACACACACTGAAAACATGCCTCTATGTTAGATGGCCATACTTTCTAACTCCATAAAGTATTTGTATTTCAAAATCACAGAGTAGAGGCAGTTTCAGGATATCTATCTATCTATCTATCTATCTATCTATCTATCTATCTATCTATCTATCTATCTAGTCAGCAGCGGTTAATAAAGTTCACTATTGTTTCTTAGGATTGCAACTTCTGTGCTATATTTGTGTTTTCTATGGCCTGCAGACAAAACTAACAAACTTCTCTTTGTTACTTAGCCGTGAGCTGGCTTAGACGGACTGATTTAATTGTGTTGCAACAATACTGGGTGACAAAGTCATTACAGAAAGAGAAGTTACAGTGGCCAACTCTATCGAGGTCTAGGTCAAATTCCACAGTGTGGTAGCTGTTAAAGTGATATTCTGCCCCAAATGCTTCAAACTACTTCTTCCTTCCCCTCCCTCACCTTCTTGGCTCCCTCTCCCTCCACCTCAGGGCTACAAGGCGCTCCAGGAGGCCAAAGCATGCTGGGAGCGATGCACACTGATAAATTGAAACTTGTCATCTGGTTCTCCTGGGCGTTGCCCTGGATACCGTGCAGCATGGCCAACAGGTAGCGTAGCAGCAGAGCGTTTTCTTTGGGCAGGCGACCAATCATCCTGCAGAAAGACAGAACCAGGGGATGAATAAGATCTCAGTACCTAAAATAACATAAGGAGTTTTCTCCATGATGCTAGAAGAGGTGGAGTAGCAGTTACCTCTTTACGTCCTGCACTTGTTCTTCCTCCTCATCCTCTTCTTCCAACACGTCCATCCATTCTTCGTACATCTCGCAACACAACAAGCTGCCTGGGATGCTGCGCAAGAAGTCCTGAAAACACGCACGCATCAGGACATTAGTGTTTGTTTAAAGTACTGCGATTAAAATGAATTCAGACAACATGATGGCTGTGACAAATATAAATAATGATTACAAATGAGAAATCTCCGGTGCAGCTGTGTAAAGACGTGACACAGTTTAAGCTCTGTTATCCCTCCAGATAATAAGAGATTATAATCCAGATCACATTAACAAACCAATCTGAACAGCTTGTCCTGCTAACGTAGCTGCATAGCATGTCACACGCAGGCTGAGTAGGATGGAAGCAGATTAATTTTGTGCTTACAGACACGGGTCAAAAAGGTAAACACAGTGACACATATACACAAACCTTTCCCCATGAGGCTGTTCATTAATTAATTAATCTCAAGATAAACAGAGACGACTACAGTTCCACCTGGATTTGAACGTTTGAACGGAAATATAGACACACTCATACTGTTGTACCTTAAAGACTCCGGCTATGATAAAGACGTGATCTCTTGTCAGAGGAAGATGAAACTCTCCGCCGTCCAGAGAGTCCCGCAGCTCCCTGACGGCCCGAGCACCCGCCGGCCGACGGAAGATCCCCCGCGTCCACGAACCCTCGTGGTACAGAAACCCCAGCATTTCCTGGTGAGGGAGAGAGTGTGAGGATGGTGTCATTTCTTTTGGGTGAGAAAGAAGGCCCCTCCTGCTAGCAAATTTATTCTCACTGGAGCAAGATGCCTTTGAAAATTGCAAAAATAGTTAATTTAATAATTTAATTGCCAAAAACAACAGAAACATCACAAAATGCATCACAATGCTGTAAAATGAGGCATTTTAGACTCCCCAGCAAAGACGCCTGTGAATCCTAGAGGTATGGAAATGTTGCCATGCCAACAAATGAAACTAAGATAACATGATAAGCGTTGTACCTGCTAAACATCTGCTTGCTAACATTTTAACTACGAGCATGTGAGCCTGCTGATGTCAGCATTTAGCTCAGTACAGCCTCACAGAGCAGCTAGTGTGACTGTAGCCTCTTAGTGCTGTTTGTCAAAAGGAGAGCACAAGATGCATCATTTACAAAGCAGATCAATTAAATGCTATTTAATTTAGGTTGGACTTTAAACATATTCAGTATGTGAGCAGATGCACAGCATGATGGGACTGGGGGTTACCATCCGCAGACACTTTGCTGCTACTCTACTGTTAGGAGACGTTTGAGGCAATCTGAATAAGAGCATCAGGTTTAACTAAAGGCAGTTAATATAGGTCACAACCTTCACTGAACCCACTCACCATGACGGGCTTTGGCAGCGCGTCCTCTACACAAACACAGCTGAGCGGCTGGCTGAACAGGCAGCCTCGAGCCGCGCCGGTCAGGGACAGTTCGTTCAGGTGAGAAGACGAGCCGCGCCAGAAGGCCCAGGTGATGAGAGAACGCCTCCTTTTAAACGACTTCTGAGAAAAATCTGAAAAGACAACGCAGTATCCCAGAATGCATCAGCACCGACGCTCCAGCTACTATTTTGAACTCCTTTTTAAATTTAAACAACCTGCAGACGATCTCACCTGCAGACAGATACAGTGTTTCAACGGGTCGAGGCTTCAGGATGAACTGGCACTGCTTGTACACCTGCAGCTGCTCCACCTGCATGGCCCTCTGTCTGTCGGGAGGTACCGCGGCGTCCCTGCCAACACCGCCGCCGCCTCCGCCACCTCCCTGAGACATCGTGTGTCTCACATGACTCATCTGGATACTGAAGGGAAACTCATGACCTGAGAGAGAGGAGAGGAGGCAGCATCACACCCTGGAGGCTTGTTATAGTTGCTATAGCATCAACACCACCATAACATCACATTGTTAGTCAGCGCGCACTCTGTGACCCCCTTCGCCTCTTCCCTGCAGGCGCAACATCGCACAACACACACTCCTCTCGGGGAATGAATGGTACCAGTGTGTCTAAAAAAAAACATCCCACCCCTGTGTGAAGGCTTAGAGCAGTCGTTCTCAAACTTTTTCTGTCATCCCCCCCTTCAGAAGCCAAAAAGAGTTCAACAGGAACTGATGATATTTACTCAAACTAGTCTCACTGACCGATTAGAGGATAGGGGGCGTTTTCCCTCTTGGAGATGACCCACAGCTGGAAGTCTTTCACATTTCCCTGAGCAAAAAACAGGAACAAAGAGAGTCAGAAAAACAAGACACAAACCTCCACACAGCCTCAGAGAACTAGAAACCATAAAAACCACATCAGACGGTCCTACAGAGAGCAGGGGAAATGTTTTAGGAAGCTGAGATGTGACAAAGACTCGTATTCTCTTTCAGTTTTCACATGCTGTGACTTTACATCACATGTAACTTGCATAAGCTGATGAGGCGACAGGGCGTCTATGTAAACATCCCATTTCAGAAGAAAATGTTGGTGCTGCTGAAATTTTGCGGCTGCTTCCTCTCGTCCTCGCTCCTCCATCCTTCGGCTCGTGACCCGGAGGTCCGCCGTCATCGAGGATGTTCTGATCGCTTCAGTGTGTTTCGAATGAGATGAGGAGCGAGCAGAGAGGAAGAGCACCCTTCACTGTGAATCTGTTGGGCAGATACTATTGGACAAACTGTTTTCTAAATGATGTCTTTTCATTAATAATCATTTATTTCTATCTGTGCTGCAGCAGTAGATCTACATTATACTCAGAATAGGAGCAGCAGTCATTAGGAGCTCTTCCACGTGTAGTTTTTACACGCCTGAGGGTAAGAAAGGTCAACATGTAGTGATCAACGGTGGATGATTTCATATTCCAAAGCTCCTATCTAATTCAGTCTCACAACAACAACAAGGATTCTGACATGTTCATTTATTTTTTCTATCTTCCATAGAACATAAAGGCAATCAATCATGGATTAAAAATAAATAATTATTATTATTATTGGCTGATAATTATCGTGCATCACTCGAATAAGGTTGTCAAAAAAGTGTCATTTTTGGTGTCTACATTATCAACACAAACAGGCAGTGACTTCTTCACTCACTATAATGCTGAACTGCTGCAAGGCCAGTCGGACCACCTCATTGGTTGAATCCGAGTTGCTGACGGGGAGCGTCTTGGTCTAGATCAGAGGGAGGAGACACACACACAGGATCAATAGGACGTCACACACTTTACACAAGAACTACAAATACACATGAACCTTTAATCACTGGATTGGAAAGTGACAGAGCCAGACAATCCTATAACATCCCCTCAGAGGCAGAGAATGTGTTTGTATATAAAATCTTCATAGTGTTATTACACACACACACAACTTACAACTGCAAAAGTATTGATTCCCTTCCCGTACACTCTCAGAGGAATGGTTTTAGGCTCTTCCTTCTCCTTCTCTTCCTTTATCCGACTGGAGAGGAAGCGAAGAGCAAAGATGAGTGAGATTTACACACACACACACACACACACACACACACACACACACTTTATACTGAAGGCACTTTACCTTTTGAGGAGCGAGAGCCATTTCTCTTTCTGTTCTGCTGAGCTGTGGAGAACATGGAGAAGAACGTCACACACATCTTTACACTCTGTGTGTTCGAGTAACATTTAGGGTTTTTTTCTCAGCCCCACTCGGCAACTATTTGGTTTGGGTCCTTTTTAATCTTTTAATGGGTTTTATCAGTGTTAAAAAGTTTGAATAAGTTCCTGCAGGATTTAAACAGATTTTACTTTCCAGTTAAGCAGCACACTGGTGAAGGCCTGCTGTGTGGGATATTCAGTTTGACTCTCTGTACAAGAGCTCACTGCTCATCCTGTCTGTTTTCTGTTCATGTGGCATGTAAGGTCAAGTTTACAGCATCAGCAATATATTTACTATTGAAACATAAACACATTTTACAACCTACAGCAGCGTGAACGTGAACCATGACCCCGAACAAAGTTATTACAGAGCTGATGTTGGAGACCTTCTGGACATTGTGGTCTAAAACTGTTTTTTATTAAACCATCAGATAGGTTAGATATGTCGAGTTTATGTGAACATTCGCTCGTATTAATCTTTTTATACACCAAACACATTCCAATGTGTGTTTGTGTGTGTCTGTGTGTATACAGCATGTGTGCAGATTTATAACAACATAAATGATGACAACACTGGACTGGTTCCAAGTATTTATTTGTGTGTTGTGTGTGTGTGTGTGTGTGTGTGTGTGTGTGTGTGTGTGTGTGTGTGTGTGTGTGTGTGTGTGTGTGTTACCTAAACATAGCCACACAGTTGCAGGTGGGCCAGCCCATGACGAAGCTCCTGTCTGGGTTGGTGCTTCCCTCACACACCTCGTCCGTGCAGCCTGCCGTCCACATCTCACACACACACACCTGGGCCTTGTGCTTGAAGTGGTTGGCTGATCTGGGAGCGCAGAGAGAGAGACGTGAGCACCAGTGTGAACGCACACACACTCTAATTTTACCCTCAGACCCAAGTATTACCCCTGAAAGACATTGAGGAAATGATCCTCAACTGCCCCTCACAAGGATAAAAAAAAAAACAACACACACACACTTGTGCTTACTTGGCTTTGGCAATCACCAGTATGTCAGTGAACAGGAAGAGGTGTCTGTCCTGGCTCTGCATCCCGGTCTTCAACTGAGCGTGTCCGTGGAGAAGGAAGGACCTATCAGAGCCCGTGAGGTAGGACTGGACCAATGGGCAGGTCTCTGGGCACACAGGTAACAGGAAGCTCTCTCTGGAAGACAAACACATGGAGCCAGAAATTACTGACACATTCACAACTCACAACTCCAATGTGTGGCACAATATAATAAGTGTTAAATGAATTGTCACACACTGGTATAATGAGTCAACTGGGAATCTCAGACTACATTCCCCATCAACCCCTTTGTTTTATGTTACAAAGAAGATCATTTTCTTCCTCTTTGGGGTGAATCTTTTGTTCCTGCACTGCTTTAACATACTAGTTTCTGCAGAATATATATCCAAGTTAAACTGAGGTTTAATGACCTTTTTAATACAACACAGAATGCAATTTAATACTCGTTATAGAAGACCAAGTATGATGGAAACTAGTGAGGGGAAGAAGGCCTTTCAACGATTTACATTTATGTCACATTTTTTAAGTACTTCCCTGCAGTATAGAACAATAAAATAAACACAACCTAAACTTGTTCATTTATTGAAGTCTTTGTTGTAATCAACACTTCCCCATTGTGATAGCTAGCCATGATTGAACAGCCTCCTGCAGCACGATCCACTGTCACAACTATCCTATTTTCAGTTTATAGGTGTGTAAAGAATGCACAACTAACATTGGCAGGAGGAAATATCACAGTTTAGTCAATTAAAACTTTTTAGGACTTTTTTTTCTTGAAGAAACTAAAATTTCATCTGAAGACCTGCATATGCCCCAATTTTGGGAGAATATACTATAATTTCCTTCTTTGAATATTAAAATGACATATTTGATATGTTTTTGATGAAGTGCAAACAAGCGTATCCTCTTTAATATGTCTGAAGATCCTCTCTCACTCTCTAATGTCATTTAGTTCAAAAGGAAAACACAGATACAACCCGCGCTACTGCCACCTCCACTGTCTCAGTGGACATCATACATTATGTAATACTGTAACTTTTCAACCATCGTGACTGACTGGTAATGCTAAGCAGCTGCTAACTCATTGGATCAAACCTCTCTCCTTCTTATAAAGGAGATGCTCTGAGATTTACAGAGTTTATCAGACCTGTTGTGAACAGAAAGACGGTCCGTTTCATATGATTACTATTAGATTATTCACTTCAGATCTCTGTCTCTCTCCCTCGCTGATATCCTTCATCACCAAATATATCTTCCAAATACTGACATATTGAGTTTGCATGATCCACTTTGAGTTGTGTTTTGGTGATAAGAGATCAAAGGACTCCTGTACTCTTCATTATGTAAATTGTATTATGCAATTTCAAGTCATATGTGATGTGATTCGGTTGAGAGTTGAGTGCAGTGTGGGGTCAGGAAATCTGCAGCCTTCAGAATGTCAAATCTAGACTTGCATCCTTAAATTGTTGCTTTTCGAATAGAAATCTTTCAAAATTGTTCATAAATAAATAAATCAAGCGACTGAATGTTTATTGTTCCAAAATCACTGTTTGCTTTATTAGTGGACTTTTTAATTTTGTGTACTAGTTTTGTTTACTTCAGGACCGGGTTACCATTCACAGGAATATTTGGACCTTTTTGGAATTACGCTTATTCGCTTCCTTTTCAACACTTGGATGAAAAGATTAATATATTATGATATTAACTATAAAGCTACAGCCCAGTTATCTTAGCATAAAGACTGCAAACATGGGGGAAACAACTCATAGTCATGAACCAGTAAACAAAAATAATAATATAATAATGAAAATGAAAAGCAATAAAGAAAAGAAATAAAGCAATCAAAGCTTGTGGAACAATAAACACCTACCCTAGTTACACAATTAGTGCATACACAAGAGGGTGGTATCAATCTTCTTATTTAACTGTCAGCAAGATGGCAAATAAGCGTATCTCCTATAACGTTGAATTATTCCCTTCAGAGGGGGTGAAAGGGGAAAATTAGGTAACAAGCTGTAAACAAGTCACTTTTCAGATCTTTACATGCTCACTTCAGTTGCACTCAAGACTGATTGAAACCAAATTAAAGAAAAAAAATGTAGAAAACAGGGAGTATGACTGCTGAGTGAGAGTGACAGTCCAGGTGGGGGTTCAGCGAGGTGTGTCCCCCCCGCCCCCGTATGGAGGCTTTTTAATTAGGTTATTTCTTCTTCACTTTCTCGGTCCATATGTTCAAAGGCAGAGTTATTAATAGACGCCTGATCCTCTGATAAGTCTAGGTACAGGAGGATTATCTATCCCAGTGGATTCAACACCTCACTCTGGGTTGTGCCCTGGGGCATGTGTGAGTGTGTGTGAGTGTGCACGTGTGTGTGTGAGTGTGCACGTGTGTGCGTGTGTGTGTGAGTGTGGCCTGACCTCAGTGACCTCAGTGACCTCTGTGTAAGAGAACTGGGTGAGGTATGACTGTTTCTGAGGATGTTAGCACTGACTGCCTCACCCCTGTTGAGCTGCTGCTGGTGTCTGTGGTGAACTATCAGCTGAAGGGAGGCTGACAACATGAACCGGGATGATAACGCCTGATATCTCTCAGCTGATCATTCTGTTTCCTGCTCTGTGTTCCAGTCGAAGTGGTGTGTTTGCACCTCTCCTAGATACAGGAGTTTTAAAATGGAGAAGAGCTCCCTTGGCGGGTGTTTTGTCCCTTCTGTCATAGCAACACTGAACAAACTGTCCTGCTGACACTGTTACATAGATCCAGACTCATTGGTGTGAGTGCATATACGTGCATGCAAACAAATCTCCCTCTGGGACAATAAAGTTTATTACTGCGTATGCTTTTAAGGGAAGATTCGGGTAATAAATAATATAAAAGAGAGGACATGGGAACAGAAGTTAAGTATTCCACTGGATTTACTGAAATCGTGCAATGTGCGATGTTCAGTTTTAAAGGGAAAACTGTCGCCACAATACGACATCATGTAGAGAGAAGTCACACCACAGAAACATCCAGACACTACATCAGTGAACTAGGGTATTTGTAGTTAATTGACCAACAAAAGGCTACTACACCATCAACATGGCGGCTCATTTTTGGTTACATTATAAAAATATTTCACTGAAATGTGTTTCTGAAAACATTTGAGATGAGAAATAATCAGCGCAGTTGCAGTTTTGGTAGTTTCCAGCTGGGGCGTAGTGAGCTAGACCTCTACTTTATGCAAATGAGGAGTGGCCAGTGCGCGTTTTACGAAATGTGCCGCCGGGATTTATTAGATCTCCACATTATAATTTGTTTTAAAACACTGATAAACCTATAAAATAAGCTGCTGCCTTAGTAAACCAGGAGCTAAATACACAATGCGGCTGTAAATTCACTGGAAACCACAGCACACATTTATATTATTAAATGTATTCCACTGTACCTGGAGAGGGTCTTGGACCTGGTGAGAGCCTTGGTGATGACCAGAGACGGGGCGGACTGGCGCCGATAACTCTGAGACTTCATCCGCTAAAAGAGACAAAGAGAGACAACATGAAGTTCACCCCAACTAAATACTGACTATGTCTTATTATTAACACACAGGTTTAACATGTATGTATCCAGAATGTAACAGAAATCATCTAAACTAACTTTTTGTATTTTTTTTGTGGGAAAGAAATAAGTTTCTATCTTTAGATTTAAACAATATTCATATTACAGTAAAAACACCAAATTCATCTCTTATTTATCTCAACATCACTTCATCTCTAGTCAGTTCATGTTGCTTTGCCCCAGCAGTTCACCAAGCCTTCAATTTGCAACAATTTGGATTTTAAACAAAAAATATTTATATTTAATAAAAGTTTTTAACATCAGAAGCTTATAAATGTCATTGTAGGCCATAACCTCTTTAACACATAAAACAGCTGTAAAATAATCTTAAAGAAACCATTTACCTCTATCTGCGTCACACTGACCACACTGCCCTGCACAGCTAAAAAGCTTTAAATCTCACAAAGACAGAATTTCCTCCACGCTTATGTCATGTTTGCACTTTCCTCATCCGTTACATAAGACATCATGTTCAACCCATTCATCACATCATTGGGACCTGTGGCCTCCAAAAGGACAGCGACAGCAGGTTGAAGCAGGAGAATTTAAACACAGAGGAAGGTCGGAGCGTGAAGGTGACAACGTTTTACAGTCTGTATTACCTTCAGCACTCAGCAGCCTCTATCTGTCTGTGCTATGACCTCCTGACCTCTCTCACACCTCAGCTACTGGAAAAAGCCAGCAGGAGACTGTCATTTAGGTATTTTTATAAGTGTTAAAATTGTGTCTGTCAAATATCATAAACTAACTTCTTGAAGCAAGTCTTTTACGTTGAGATGAAATCAGAATAGACTCAAATATGGCACTTCCACAGTGAATTAATCCGCTGTTCCCACCAGCTGCTGCTTGCAACCATATTGAGATCCTATTTTTCTCTACTGGATCCTATTATCCTCATTTCCCCACGAGGATCATTAAAGGTGCATTTAATCTAATTGTAAAAGGATTTGTGAGTGTGAAGCAGGGTGACAAACAACCATTACATAATCACAGCTCTTTCATTGTGTGTCAGATTATAACACACTCTGTGACACCTAAAGGTTATTGTGTTTGCTATGATTATTCTTATTGTTCACAGGGACTCTAACTTTTGAGTTGTAGGATTGAACTGAGGCGGATGTGAATGAGCACAGTACACTATCTATCTGACTGCAGCCAACTACACTGACATTTTATAATTAATGGCAGTGTACAAGTAACAGTGTAACCACAGTGGCTCCAGTGGACCTGTTCAAATCCACCATGATGGGTTGAAAAAGGACTCGATCTTTATGAATTCAAACATTTTAAATGGTTTCACCTAGAAGCAGCAATTTACAGATTATTCTTCGAGGGTCACACGACCGACAGAGACAACTGTAGGCGAATACTAACCACTGTGGGCTAGTTTTGTTAGCTCGATTAATGGATGTATTGTTTAGAAGCTAAATACCCCGCTGCAGCTCCGCCTCGCTTCCAATTTTGCCCAGTGGCCACGGAGCATTTTCCTCATAGACCACCATTATAACAGACGTCTATAAAACTGTTTACAGGACATCGTGAACTGCACACAAAATCAATTGTGATTAATTTTTTTAAATCCACGGATGTTTTATATTTGTAAAACTTTTCTCGGGCGAATAAAGTGATTTAAAAATCAGTGATGTAAAGTCTACGAGCCGCCATGTTTGCATCCAGTATCCAGCTCTAAACAATGCCTCCATGAATCGTCTACTTGTACTGCAGAAGACACAGTGAAGATAACACGGCTCTGTCTCCGTCCACCTGTTGCCTTTCCATATTCTTTCAAAGCTTTTTAGTTTTTGAATTGTTTTATCAGTTTATTTACTTTCTTAGCATTATATAAGAACTATGATTATGAGACAAACAAACTTGTAGCAAACAAAACTCTGAGTATAAATAACAATGCTGTTTCTAGTTAATCAGATTTTGACATTGAAGGATCCTGAATTGTTTGTATTTCAGGTATTTGTCTTTATAAATTGTGAGAGAACCATAAAACCAGTGTGCATGTCCACACATTTCTGACATTTTTACAATGTATGATGATTGATTTAGCGAGGTCACACAGTGGTGAAACATTCCTTACACTCCATCCACAACATGACAATGTTACCTTTCACCCCTAAAAACGACCCAACGTAAGCGAACGTGGTTTAATGGTGGGATGTACTGAGCGACAGCAGCTCTTACATTACGGAGTGTGTTTCAACACAAAGCAGCTTAAGAGGATATTCATTCATCGAGACTGTTTCCATCATGCTGCCAGCAGGTGCAACAGGTCTGAAAGAACCAGGACGCAACTTCCAGCTTTAACCTTTTAAGTAAGATTCTGTGCAAAATATACAGAATATACGTCTCCACTGTATTTATTTACTCATGCTGAGACCAGCAGTGATACTGTATTCCTCTATCTTTTTGATTCAGTACATACTGTACAGATGAGAAGCCAGAGCCAAACCTTGTATCAATCATTAATGAAAACAAGGACGCAGCACACACTGCTGCCAAAAACCAAATATATTCAATTTACAATGATATGAAACAGAGAAAAGCTGCAAATCCTCACATTTAAGAAGCTTAAACAAGCAAATGTTTGACTGTTTTTATTTAAATTAACCGATTATATTGTTGGCCATTCATTTTCTGAATCGTGCAGAAACCAACATAAACAACAACCCAACTGCTGACCTTTGGGTCTGATTTTGAGATACAGCTATGATCTATATTAATACATACATACATACATACATATGTAAACAGTAACAATAGGACATCAATTTACCTCATTTATACATAACAATGGTGGTAAATAACCAATTAATGGTTGAAAGCTACATTAGTTCACCAGTTGGTGGTGATTGTTCAAGTATTTGGGCTAATATAATAGAGATGAGATTAAATCTAATAATTTAATTAATAATTTAGTTGTAAAATGTTATTTTTTTACAACTATTTAGCATTTATAAGCGATTTAAAGTACTTAATAGATTGTTTACACTATAATGATGTTGTAAGTAAATATGACATTTTACTGATAACTGAATACCTAATTAATAAATATTGGGCATAAAATATTAATATATATATATTAACTGTTTAAGGGAGACACATCATATTGTAGTATTGGTAGGATTACATAGTGAGTACAACTATGTTGCCTTACCCAGCCTTCATTGTTTATACACCAGTAACAGAAGCTGAATGACTCATAGTGGTGGACAAAAACATTTCTAAACACAACGACATTGTTTGTTGTTAACCATTTATTATACTGCTTATTAATTCAGTTGGGGAGAGGATTTTAAACTTAATGTCAACAGATTTAATTATTATGAATCAGAGTTCTTAGCATCTAATTGGTTTGATACTTTACAAATTCTTTAATTCAATCTCTAAACTTTTTCCAAACAGCCAGCTCTCTGTATATGTTGGCCTCTCTGAGCACCACTATAACATTCCTGTTGTTTATGGTTGTCTGCGGTATTTTGTACACCATCCTAACTTCCCTTGTTCGGCTGTGTTCATGGAGGCTGTGTGCCACTGAACTCACCTCTCACCCGACAGGACCGCGTTTACAAAACACTCATTCGTGTGTGTGCTGCCTCAGAGGGGAATATGATGGTTTTCTCTCATTTGATAAAAGAAAAATGGAAAGAAAGAAGCTTAAAAAATAAGAATATATTTTAATTTGATAAAGCGCGTGGTCTCTCTACTTTGCGCGCAGTCTGGTTTAAGTTGATCCATTACGCTTACAGACATTAACAAAGACTGGGAACAGTTCATACCCGCTTGGTCTCCTGCTGCCCGCCGCCTCGGCCGAGGCTGTCCTGTTGCTGTTGTGGAGACATGTTGTCCATCCAGCCTCCAGACGCCCGACGGCTCACTGCCCGACTGTCCTCAGGTGATGCGGGGGAGAGAGAAATCCCATTAATAACCTCCGTCTCCGGAGGACAGAAACCATCTCAACACAAGCTCGATAGAAGTCGCCGAAAAAAAACTTTTGAGTGTGCGAGCTGGGAGACGGAAAACCTGCGAGGAGGGGAAGAAAAAGTTAAAAAGAGAACAAGCTCAGCTGATCCACAGATCTGCTCCACTATCAATGAAAGACTGTGCTGTAACCAAAAGCAGCTCCTGTCTGGATTATCAGCTGCTGTGCCACTTCTTAATGCGCCTTTACGCACTGAACGGAGGCGGCGCCGATACGCGGCGAAAAATAGGTCTACCTATTTTTAACCACATCGCTCCATTGATCCAGCAGACAATCAGATTCACACTAAAAAACAACAACAATGACAACAAACTGCAGGAGGGATATTTCACCCCGCTGTCTGAAGCTGATCAGACTGCATCTGCGGTCTACTATCAACACTTCTGTCGTACAAACATTTCTCAGAAGCTTTTACTCTCAGTGATTTAATTAACTCATTATCTGATGTAAAGGTGAATAAAATAAAAACTTGCAGAACATTCATGTAGTTTAGTAAATAATTAAACGTATTACATCTTTTTCCACATTTATATAGTCTAAAATAATGCAAAATGCCCCTGTTGATAGTAAACAATAAAACAGGTGTAATCTGACATCAACTCACCGTTTAAAATAACCAGAACCAGAGTAAGTTTCCACACACTGGAATGACTTTACTGTGACCTGACTGCTGTTGGTAGTGCATGGGGAGTTTGTGTTTACAACTTATAAAACATGTGTTGTTATAAATTAACTACCCAACAGTATATACAAGTACAGCTGAAATGGTTAGTCGATTAATCAATTAGTTGATCACAAAATATGAGGATTTGCTGCTTTTACCTTTAAGTTAAAAGCAACTAACTATTTTAATGTATGTTATAATTTTGATATTTCTTTGCATTAATTGAACTATAAAGGCTTGTGGTGGTGTCACTTTAGGCTTTGCATTATTGTGACAGCATTTCTCACCATTTGTAGAATTTTTAAAAACTAAATCAATTGACTGAGAAAAATAATCAGATCAGAAGCAGATTAATCCATGATGAAAACAATTATTAGTTGCAGTCCGATATACAAAATGAGCTCCACCTCAACCAACTACATCAGTAAGATCCTGTTTTTTACATGAGTAATAATCTAATGATATAATACTCTTAAGGATTACTACTACAGTACCTTTCTACATATTGGGCACTAATAAGGTCAGGTAAAAAAGTTTGGTTTTGCCTTTATTATTATTATTATTATTATTTACACATACAGCACTGGAGTCTGTGGGGAGATTGGAGGAGGACAGTAGAGCCAATATCATCAGCACAGATGAACAAACTCACAGGAATCCTGGGAACTTTTTGTACACTAGAACAAGTTATTTAGATCCAATAGACAAACGTTATCAGATTATGGGTCTGATGCTCACTGTCAGTACAGTAGCTCCAAGCTCCACGTCAGTCTGAACACACATTATTAGATTCCAGTGTCTCTGGGATACAGTCGTGAATAGTACTGACTGCAATCTAGGCCATAAGGTTGTAATGTAGGACGCATTCAAACCTTTAAGTGAAGCCATCCTCCTTCAATAAACGAGACGTCGTCGTTGATTTGTGAAGCATATGTCCCAAAGATGTAATAGGATGTTTACAGTGAATATTAAGATTCATTTAGGTCTACATGCATAATGGATACAAGCAAACACCTGACTTTACGCAGGGGAGGGAGTCAAGATTTTTAAAAGGGAGCTTGTGAACTTGGCACAAAGCAACTATTGCCCCAAAATCAATTGTCCTTGTAGAAACAGAAGTGGGCCACAAACTGGGCTAAAGAAGAACCAGGCCAGAAAGTGAAGACTGCGGAGACCCAGAGTATTCATTCCCCAAATTGGCCACAATCAGCCCCGTTAAAACTGGATCACTTCAATGATTAGCATCCCTCGTGTTGATAATGAACAGCCTTGGGCATGGCAGAGAAAAGCAGCGCGCACCCCCCTCCTCACTGGCTCCCAACCCTCCCGCTACAAACACACTTCTTCCACCTTAAAAACATCAATCAGTTTGCTTTGACTGTATCACAGAGGTTGTCCGAATGTTGGAGGCAAAAGTAATCCTTCATATCTCACTGCGACCGGTCACCTATATTCAGTCATCACGCTGAGAGCCCAGAGAGAGAGAGAGAGAGAGATGAAATGCTTATTCATTAAACTAAACGAGCATAAGAGGGATGGTTAGTGTTCTCAGCGGGGGATCAATAACCAACATCGACTGTCCCCCCCCAAATACTTTGCATTTTAAACCTTATGTCTGCTAACAAACAGAAACACTATAAAACTTCTTCAGTTTCACTTCTAATGGAGCCAAAGGCTGAAAAAACAATGATCCTGCCACAATACAACAATTACCTCTGCACATCAATTATACCCGTGACCCAAATAGCAAATTAAATGTCTTAAGCTCTAATTTAGTGGACTGTAACAGCATCTAATCTCATTTATAATATCAGTTTTAATAGGACAGGCAAAAGTTATCTATAAGCATGACTTAACAGAAACTACTGTTAATCACTCAACTAAGGGGTTACATAACCTTTCTTGCATGTAAATATACCAATCAACAGTATAAAACAAATAGTACATCGTTGACAATCAATAACTTTACAAGAGAACAAAAGGTCAAAATCAGAGGCATCAACAGCACTGTGGTTTTATAAATCATCTTTATTTACTGTTGATACAACAGGACTTTTGATAACCTACCTGTGGAATCAAACAACTGAAAACTATTCATGTGGCTGACTCTGTTCTATAAACATAATCAATCTAAACTATGGACCCTTTCCATTAGTAAGGATCTGTATCTTTGAATATTGAGATTAACAGCAGTGGAAAAGTCAATGTCTGTCACTTAAAGGACCAGTGTGTACGATTTAGTGGCAGAAGGGTGACCCGCTTCTCACATCTCATTCTAATGTAACAAAAATAAAAGCTCCTATATTCAGGCGATAAAACACTGATGAAAACATACCTGTGAATATTATATTATGCCTAGACATCCTCCAAAATGATACACACTGGACCTTTAAATATGAAACAGCTTCTATTCATGAGGTATCACAGTGACAAAATCTCCATTTTGTGGTGATTGATATCAGAAATGTAAGAATATAATACAGAGAAAGAGGGATTGTCGTTGAGTTACTAACTCCGACTATTCTCTACTGAGATATGTTCAACTGAAGTCAGAACATACATACAGAGCATAACATTTAAAAGACATTACAGTGGACATGCAGAGGTGTAGACTACTGGAATAAAACACGATCAATAATGTGTACTGACTGCGTGTGTGTGTGTGTTACCTATTATATTTATTCCTTCACTGGACGCAGTACACGAACGGGGCCTGTAAGAGATGAGAAACAATAATATTTAAAACAAATATTCTGTAACACTTAGCATACATTAGCAAACATTTTATAAACACAATGTGTTCCTGTATTGATGAACTGACAGTGCACTGTAACATCTGCAGTAACAAATTAACTTTCAGTCACTTCAGGGAAATCGCCTGTCTGGCCTCATTTATATATAGATGTTCACATCAAAGTAAGGTTTTAGAACAACTTATAAGAGGTTTTCTGGCCAAGTCATACTTGACAGACGATGACAAAATCTTTGCAGCTGATACCAAACATCGATTTTTAGAGACCAGTGGAGCAATTACTGTTGAAAAACAAGCTATTATCCTGTCAATATGATAAAAGTAGGTCTCCAAATCCAATTAGAGTGACCATTAATGAATGCTCGGCCTGATGTAAGCACAGATATGATTTTCAAATACAGTGAAGCTGGTGAAGTTCTCAAAAGCTGCTCCTCTTCAAACAACCCACAGGTTTAAAATGGACTAAGATTTGGTAAGTATCATTTCTTATACGACTGTGTCATTACATCTTCCCAAACACTGTTGACATATTCTCATAAATCCCACCCATCTCATGTGTCGCTACAATGTACCCCCAGAGCCTGAACTGGACAAAAAAAAGGTGCCAGTATGCTGATTCAGCACAACTCCAACCACAACATAACCCTGATTCTTTTGGGGTTTGGACATTTTAAACCCTTTTTTCTTAGCGTTAAACTGTTTGCACTGGCAGTACTTTTTCCCCCACCCATACTCTGCCTCTGATTAGCTCTGACCCTGACTTTAGGGGAGAGCACCTCAGCAGTACCCAATAAAACTAAGGGTACTCCTGTGGACAAACGTCCGAAGGGCTGGTACTCTGTGCCTGTGACTACTTGCATTGTGTTCGCCTAAATTCAAACCCATTTCTGAAGATCCCTTTTTCTAATGTTCTTCCTGGTTCTTTGACTGCTGTCCTTGCCCAAATCCCTAAAATGTATCAAATAAAAGTACATTCACTGAAATCCATAAACTGCCTTTACAGCCCAAATAACTAGAGAGCCTTTAAGTTATCATGTGACCCAGCATCAGTATGAGTATAGGTCTGAAACTCACTCTATTTACTGTACACAAATCCCTTATAAACACATATGATTACTTATACATGTCACATACATACACATAAGACACACAGCCGTTTTCTCTCATCGTTTCATTAGATGTCATGATAAAGTCAGAGCCCTGCTGAACTCCTACAAAGTCACATTCACAGTAATTGTGGTAAAACCGGGTGGTGTTATGTTGATGCAGAAGCACTAATATAATGCTTTATGCACATAGAAAGGCAGATTATGCAAAAATATAGTTCAAGAGAAATATGCAGAAAGATACAAGAGAGGAGAAAATGAAATGTATTTACCTGTTATAAAACTATTCTTTAGATTCCATGACACCTGGTCAGGATATATCACATGTCCAAGATCCAGTGAAACAAAGAGAGCAAACAGAGAGCCAGAGTTTGTGTTTTAACCGATGCTACGTGCACAGATAACACTCTCCAGAGAACATTGTGAAGTAGTTTTAAAAAATGGATTGTAGAAGGCCTAAACAGAGGAACGCCAAACGTCCTTTAGAACTGAGTAAAAAAAAGTGAAATATTGGCCACATGAAGGTGTCCACTCCACAACAGTTGACCTGTAAGTCATATAATTGGTATGTACAATGTTTGTCAAGGGCATCATTTTCCAGATGGGTCAAACACGCACACAGATACACCTGATTGACAACTCTACCACTCCGTCTCCAAACTCAGCCACACCCACAGCCTTCACTAGATGGGGTTGAACATGCATCTGCACTGTCTAAGTGTAGCTGCTCTGTCAAAGAGAAATCTGAGAGATTTCCACATTTGGTTTGTGGCCCATTAGATGATTTCACAATGTAATATCATTATTTAGTGCCAATGCTGGAAGAAGTTCAACCGTTTATGAACCACAATCTTTCCCTGTTCTTAACCCCACCATAATTACAATGTGCAGATATTGTAGTGTTAAGGCTATGAAGTAAAAAAAACATTGTCATTGAATATATTACATGGATTCACACAACCGTTCAAATATAAACAATCTTGTGTGGCAATATGATTAGGATAGAAGGAGACTTAACATATGCCAACATGATACCTACATCTATATACACTTATTTTGTTATTATAGTTCTGATAATAGACTCTGGAGGATCAATATTTTGTGTCAAATTACTGACTTCTTTGTTGTCATGCAATAATATAATGTGCTTTGACCCTTATCAAAATATAAAATGTGGCAATTTAAAATGTTTTCGCAGTACATTAAAAAAAAAAAAAAACACCTTTCTGACTTCTCATCGCAAATACCATTTAAAACAATCAGACTTACACGGTTAAAGGTAGTAAAAGGAATTAAAGTTACTTGATAGTGAATCTGTTTTAGCTGTGTGTTCACAGACAAAGCAGTAACATTGCAAGAAGGTGGAATTCAGTGGGATAGTGTATGTTAGGTAAATTACAAAAGAGAATAAAATCTATTCTAACCACAAGCCATTTGAGCCACTCTCGATCAGAACTGAGCTCTGACTGTAAAACAAGCCACAAGGTTGAGAATCTGGGATTCAGGCATTTGGTGGTTGAAGTTATTTAGCCAGATTTGGTTCATTTACGGTCAAGTTTAAGGAAAAATGGGCAATTCTTTAAAATCACAACGAGACAGAGCTTCCTACAAAAGTTTTATTTCTCTTAATCATCAAATACAGGATGCTCCAAAGCTGCAAAAACATTCACTACATGTTTGAACATGGAATTAGTTTCAGTAACAGTGTTTAAAAGGAGAGGACAAAAATATCTACAAACGGAGGAATGTATGACTGAATGTAGATATTAGATTGTTTACTTACAGGAACTTTTCTCGTTTTTGGTGTGACACTTTTCAGTTTGAGAGATCCGCAATCGTGTTTTCACTCTAATCACCATCCAATATAATTTATCTTTTTTATAGAGCAGTTTAATAAAGTGTATCCAAGACCACAGCAGGCAGAACAACTGCAAAGCTGTCTAACCAAAAAGGCCTTTCTCGAAAATGCTATGAAACTTCAGCACACACACCAAAAAAAAGATACTGTTTCATTCAGACAACATAGAGGAGGAACATACGTGGTGAAAACTATGATGTATAAACATTACAAGTGTACATACAAAGCTTTATCCTGTAGTTTTGTCACAAGTAAATCCCTCAGTGACAACTTGAGATACAGGGGAAAAAAAGAGTTTTATCTATGTACAAAACCGACAAAAGAAATCTGATTTTCTTTCAGCAAAAGGTATCCACATCATGGCAGGGAGGTGAATCGCGGAAAACAGAAAAAGTCGATATCGGGATGGGACGGTAACAAAGATCCATGAGAACTGAACCAAGTTAGTATCTGCGGCGCTTGTTATTTGGCCCATCAAAGACCCCCCCTACTGGGTTCCCCCTGCCAAATCCTGGGGCTGCTCCAACTTGGGGGCCCAATGGCTGCTGTTGCTGCTGCTGCTGTTGTTGCTGCTGCTGCTGCTGCTGTTGCTGTTGCTGCTGTTGTTGCTGTTGCTTTGGGGACTCAACCTCTGGTCGGCCCCCCATTGTCCCACCCTGCGAGTATCTATCGCTTCGCTGTTGTATCATGGAGTCAGCGTTAACAGAAAAGGCCGAGAATGATGTGAAATCGAAAGAGCGATTGTATTAAAAAGGCACGGGGAGGTTGTTTGGGGGTCCGACACAAATAGAGTTTATCCAGAAAAAAGATTTCAAAGTTCATCAGTCAGGGTTTAGTTTGATCCAAGTGCCGCCATCCGAGAGTAAAACGTGTGTGAACCAAACAGACAAAGGGAGAGAGAAGAATAAGACTATTAGTTAAGTCTACAGTTTTCAGATCCATTTTCTAGAACTTGATATAGATTTTATTACCTCAAAATAAGGCCTCTAACGGTAAATGCAAGCACTATTTTATTTTATTTAGGAATTAATTAGATGCAAACTGATTAACTTTTATATTTTAAATCAGTTTGAGGCAATGTTGTCGCAAAATATTCTACATAGGAAAAAAAAATGTCTTTAATGTCCAAGACTAATTGAGAGATAAGCTTATTTGTCCTGATACATTACCATGGCTCCATTCTCTGACATCAATGGTGTCCCCATATTTGTAGCTCCCTCTGGGCCAATGGCTCCTCCCCTTCCACTCATGCCCATCATTTGACCCTGGTTACCACCGGGCCCCGGAGAGGCCTGGTTATAGCCATCTACACGCAAAACAACGGAGCATTGGTTTGTCATTCGGTGGGTCAGTGTAACGCACCCAACGCCCCGCAACAACAGCAGCTTAAGACTACAACTAATCTCATTGACTTCAAAGTAAAAGTTAACGTTGGCTTTTGGTCAGTAGGTAATATGATTATCGGTCTTCTGATGAGGATTAACATTTATGATCAGTACAACTTCGCTACTCATTTAAAAACCATCTTAAAAGGTACACTTAAGAGTTTGAAGAAAGTCCTTTATAAAACATTTATATACTCAACACCCTGTTCATTCATTTATATAAATATGACACCAACACAACCAAAAGCCAATGTTAATTTTTAAGTGGTCAACAGACGGTATATTATGTTAAAGTAGACACTTATAGTTGCATTTTACAGGTGAAATAGACAGACAGCAGATTGTTTAACAGAATCAGAGGCTCTCACTTTGACAACTAAACTTTGAGGTCAAGTGCCAACGTCCACATCTTTTGTTAACTAAACCTTGGATTGCACATCACGTTACTCATGGAGCATACAGAGAACAACATTTCAAAAAGCAGTCAGACCTGCACAAACATCACATGTTCAATCGGAAACTATCAAAAAACCCAGACTTGGATGCTCCACTATCTGACGGATCTACAAACAGATTTGAATGAAGCAAAAAAATATAACAAGGTTAAAACGTACAATTGGACAATTGACTGCAACATCCCGACATGTTGCAAAATGATGATCGATGAAAACCGCACACAGCACGGACAAGTGAGCTTTATGGTTTAAACCATAATTACGAGTAGCTGAGTCGGAAAAACCATTCAGTCTACAACCTGTAATTCCAGGTCAAAGATAAAGGTCATTTCTGACTCAGACGATATCTCCCACTTTGTGAAATACAGACGTATCAACCATGTCTGCAAAAGCACCAGCGCTGGGAGTTATAGCAGCCAGAAAAGTAGCTACTTTTGGTTATTAGTCTGGTGTGACTACAATGTTAGCACCAGGACCGGAGGATATTTCCAGCTAATGTAAATAACTAGCATCAGGCTTTTATTTAGAAATATAAATAGAAAATTTGATCAGTCAGCCTTACTTCTGCTCGACTATATTCCCTCAGATATTAGCAAATTAGGCACTATGACGTAAACAATACAATACTCCACCAACATGACTAGTGCTGGTTGACTGATTGAATGAATGAAGGACTTAATCATCACACATAATTAACAGTGCTGTATAAACAAACAAAACCGAAATGCTATGTGCAATGGAAATATAATTAGTGAATACAGCATGGGGAACAAAACTTAAACATCCACGGAGAAGGAAACTAACATTCCTTAAATTACTACATGAAACAAGCAGAAAGAGTAAGACATCTGACTGGTGCTCCATTGATTACATAATCTCATCTACTGATTACTGTCCTCTTCCTCTGCAAAGGTTTAATGGCATCGGACTGGAGAATCAGCTCCACCTACTGTTTATCTCAATGCCTCAAGCTCCTAATATTCCCTCAACAGTAGTGGGTGAAAACACTGATTCATTCGCATTTTCTTTTTCCGATTTACTTGTACTTATTTGGGTAAATTTTGCACTGCATTTGGATGGAAACGTGACAATTGTCCAACATATAGTATATGTTCATTTACATGCTACACAAACATACAAGTATACATACTACTGCAGACAGAGCAGCCAAGATTAAAGTAAGACAAAATAATTTAAATAACTGACCCCTCTTCCGGACTAACATTTTAGGTAAATGGATGCTACTGTTTGTGCAACTAAAGAAATAAATACAAAAGAAACATTGCAGTTATAGAGATGATGTGCAATCCTAGGTTATGATATCTGTACGGTGAAGAGCCACCATGAACCTTCAACAATCTGTCCATCATTATAGATTCAAACATCAGTCCCCAGCCCCTCATCCTGCACTCAGCAGATCAACATTTACTTTGTGGAGTACAAAGTTTTCATTACTGATCAAAGTCAGCAGCGTTAGTCTCTTATTTTCTACCATGATTTACCAAATAGATACTGCAGCCTTTAGGATTCTTTTAGAAATGTATTAAAAGATAATCTCAAAGGCTACAACAGCTAATAAACATGTTTAAACTGAACGGAAACATAGCACATTATCCAACCTTATTTTAAATCTGCATATAAATGAGGACGAGAGCTCAGGGACCAGATATTTCTCAAACTATGAAACTTCACCCCAACAATAACAACCTCGCTCAGCACACGATATATTCTGTTAGTATAGACATTACGTTGTCATGTGGTGTATTATGGTTTCTTTTCTCCTTTGCATTGCATCCCAAGTGAGTCCACTTTACACCAAATGTTTATAAAGTGTTATTTCCAAAACATCTGAATACATCTTGTTGAGAAGCAGTCATTTGGGATGAAAGACAAATAATGGTGTTAAATAACATAAAGGCAGTCATAATTCACGTTATCGTCACTTGATCTGGTTTTGTATCTTTACACACAATCATGCCCGTACCTCCCATATTAATGGCTCCACGAGGGCCCAGCTCACCCACTCTCATTTCCTGTTCTCTCTGAAAGAAGTGAAGAAGAGCTTTGAGATAAAAACTTAACTAAAGTACAAATCTTTAGCGACTAGCCTACAATACACTCACACTGTATAAGTATTGATTTTACACCCAGAGCTGAAGACAGCTGCATACATTGCCCACGGCTCTTTAGGACTCTAATTAGGTGAACTTTAGGTTTAGCTTTAATGCCTCTATTTAAACTCTGGCAAGGCAGAAACATTTTATTTACTGCAAACACAACAAGAAACCAATTTGCAAACTCAGCCTACATCAGATCAAATCGTCTGGAGGTGGGCAAACAAATCTTAATAAAACAATAAGCCACATAAAATGGGCTTCAGGCTATTTTATTCACACATGTATGTTTTTTTTAGAGTTAAAACATTTATCTTGTCAGCTACTAGACTAAACACAAATTAAAAGTTATGTCAATAATCTTTACTACATTCACCCCATTCACACAAAAAGCCCTGACACACCAAGTCCACCTAAACAAAGACCTCACATCAACGTAGCTCCGCTGACCACCAGCATACAAGTATAACCTACCTACCATGGCACTGTTAATCTATTTTAATGGTCTTGTTTTTGCACTGTTATTCTCAGGCCAAGGTCTTTACTTGTGAGGGAAGAAAAGCTGGACTACGTCTGATTCAAAGTGCTTATAAGATGATACGGGTCGACTACAGTTAATGGTGCTGAACAGCTGCTGAATGACGACTGAGTTGGTGTGTCAAGGCCCAAACACAAAACATGGAGATGCTTTATTGTTGTGTTCGTTCATTAGGTAAACATTTCATTCACACAATCTTCTCTCTCTGTGTTTCAAAATGTATCTTGCAAATACAAAAAATAAATAGGATTAAACAATAATGGATTTCACTGACCTGGATTGAGTCTGTTTTAGGATTAAATATTTTAATGGAAATGTCCAATGAAACATCTAAACAAGGATTAATCCAGATCATTGAAACCAACTGGACATGAACGACCTAATAATATTCTTCATGAAACGTTATAAAGTCACTATAATGGGTCAATGCATTTTACCACTAATGAACCCTCTTATCACAAACAATAGTGATGTATGTAAAATATATTTATGGTCTTCATTGTGATGGTTAAATTTATTAACATCAAGATCGTTAAAATATGTTGAATTACTTCAGATACTGTGATGCTCAACCTTTACATACTTACCTGCTAAATCATCAATATGTTGCATTTATAATAAGAATAGCTGTAAGTGAGATGAAACCCTACATCATTGTGGCACTAACATCAGTGGATGAAGCACTAGATGGCAGCAGATGGCATTTATATATCACTCTAACAATAATCCTCCCACAAACTACAGTAACACCACAAAGAGCCAGTCAGCATTCAATATAAAATGGTTATGAGACTCTAACATCCCATAGTTTATTATGAGCATCAATGTGCTTTGTTTTTATATCAAAGTGGTGGAGTAATATTTATACAATTTTATATTAATGTAAATCAAATTATATTTTTCAAGTGAACAAAAGGAAGCTAATGTGGACTTTAGACTATTACTGTTAGGAAAGTAAAGTGTATTACTTGTACTCTAGTAAATATCACACCAACTGTATGACACAACAAACAAAATAAAAAAAATACAAATGAAATCAACCTACTGAAAACTACATGTGTCCAGTGATAACTAACTGTTGGTGTTATTTCACATTAGTCAACTAAGTGAAGAACTACTGACAGCTGGCGACCGTATGGACGGCGTGAGGTGGACGGATGGTCCTAGACGCTAGTGTGTGTGCTTGTGTTACGTGCATGTAAGGATGTAGACTCCAACAGGACCTCTAAACAGAGCAAAGGATTTGAAGAGAAAAAGTTATAACATAGAAATCAACAACATATCACACTAACATATTTATACTGTCTGTTAAGAACCTGGAATTCAACTTGATCTAATAAAAGTCTTTAAAGTCTACAGATTTATTAGATGAAGCACGGACTGTCACTTTCCCACATCAACCTGTGTAAACACTATTATTAGCTTGGCTATTTCTTTTAACATTTTACTTCTCCTATTTCTTCCTCATACATTAACCTCCATTCATTTTGTTTCTATTCTAAAATCTGCACTGACTGTTTCTATTCATATATCCAACTTTGTTCCTGTCTTTTATAATCAAATTAACAGATAAAATGTGCCAATGCAGCAGATCTACACTGTCTGAGATTTGATTTGTGTTAACTATGGAAAATAAAGACGGATACAGACTCCTCAAACTTACAGGAAACAACTACAGCTGCTCTATAAAAGGTGCACAGTTACGAACATTTATAGAACAGAGAGTCCTAAGCCATGAATAACGTTCTGTAACAAAATGCATAAAAGGTACCACAGCCAATCACTGATCTTTGATTATGAGCCTCATAAGCCTCACAGAGGTAATATCTGATGTGGGGCTATTGTGCTGAATTTCATTACACTGTATCAGACGGTGTGAAAAAACTAAATAGGATGAGCATGTCGTCTTTGATAGAAAAGGATCAAGAAGAGACAGTAAAGAAACAGTAAAAAAGTATTTCAGTTACACATAATAGTAATAATAAATTGCTCATAAATAAAAACTGTACAAGTGAAACAATACAATGTTTGTGGTTAGTTGTGGGTGTTTGTCATATCCCATGTGTAGTTTGACACAATGAACCAAAGTATTACAGCGATGTGTTACCATGGCAGCCTGACCACAACTATTAAAATACAGGAAAGTTATTACAAATAAATCAAAAATACTGATGTTATAGGCATTACTTATCAAACTATGAGGAAATAGGAAATCCACGCAGAGCAGCACAGTTCAGTGGAGATGCTGCTCAAATGCAAAAAGTGTTTCCTTTAGAAAACTGAAGAAAGCCGATAAACTAGGCTCTTTTTCAGCAGATCTTTCTTGGGGCAACATACGCTCCCCCAAGATTTGCCTCAATGAAATAGCTTTAATCTCCCAGTGGCAGTTTATATAAACAAGACCTGACTGAACCCAATCGGGCCGAAGACTTCTGGGAAAAGTATAAAACTCAGCAGCTATTGTAATATGAAAGACCGATACCTGAGGTAAGTTACAGAAGATACTGGTGAAGTATGTACACTGTACAAGCAGTTGAGATCACTCTACAGTACATATATACTATGATATTGTTGGTATATCAAGGCAAATATGGTTAAAATACTACATTATGTACATAAAATGAACTGCTGTTATGGTTGTGTATCCATTTGTAGAATAGATTAACACATTTTGGTGTCATTCTTGATTGTATGTGTGTGTACGATACTATAATATGCATCAAAAGTACAAATGTCACTGGATAAGCTTTAATGTGTATATATTCCAGCTGTACTCACATTATCCAGGTAGTTTGGTTTGAAGCCATCTGGGTGGCGTCTCAGGTCCTCCTGTTCTCTGTGTCTCATCATCTCTTCCTCTCTCCTCCTCCGCTCCTCTTCATGCCTTCAGCCAGAGAGTAAAGAGAGAAATTAGTCAAAAATAACTAACAAATAATAAATTAAACAAACATAACACCATGTCTTTTATGAAATTGATAACATGAGCTTAAAAATAACTGATTTATGCTTCAAGTCAACTTAAACAATAGGAATAATAACACTAAATTATGTTCATTCTCTCACTCTGTCCTGATGATTTGCTCAAGAGAGGAAACACACCTCATCTCTATCTGCTTTCGCCTCTGCAGCTCCTGGTTGCGGAGCTCCTCCAGCCTCCTCAGCTCCTCCTGACGTCTCATTAGATCTGGAAGACCAGAGGAAGACATGAGTATGAAGGAACCAGCAGACAGACGGATATATGTATATAAGGAATAATACAGGAAAGCAGTATTACCTACAACTCACAGTGATCATTCTTTAAATCACATTGAACAAAACACCAAATTACTACATTTATTTACCTCAACAGGCCTTTTACTTCAGACAAGCTAATAATACAATCTCTCTTTTATTAGATGTATATTTGGACAGATTTGAATGTGAACCAGTGCATGCTGCTCATGAAAACTCAACTTTATTTTACATTACAACCTTTCCAGCAGTTCAGGTGGCAGGTTGCTCTTTCACCCGATCAACCTTAGTTGAACCATAGCAGACATGAAGGCGACGCAATAAAGCTAACATAATAATAACTCTACCTATAGGACATAGGTCTGTAGGTGTGTGGCAGAGACAGAGAGAGAACGAGCGTCAGAGAGCGACAGTGAGGAAAAGATGAGCAGTTAAGTTGTCAGTTTATTAATAAATGTAGAGTGTAAGTTACAGTTTGACTGGAAGTAAATGCTGCAGCTTCTCAAGATCAAAGTAAAGCTCCAGTGTGTTTCTCTACTGCTGGAAAGGTGAACGGGGTAATCGCACATCGTCACATTGAAGATAAAGTTAGTAGGGATGCGCTTGTTGGGGAATTTGGGGCTGATATCAGTGTTTAAAACAACTATTTGTCTGAAACAAAGAAATCTACCAAGATAAGCATCTGTGCCTTGTTGCAGCTCAGTCTGTTTCTGGGGGGGGGGGGCAGGAGGAAGATTTTACCCATTTTAAATAGTTAAAAAATAGAAAACAAACATTCAATGTCACTGTTGATATTGAAAGCAGCTACAGGGCAGCTTATGGTGACAGTTATAAGTGAGTATTGTTAGGATTTCCCACCTGAGAACATGTGAGATACCTAATACAGTACTGAGAATAAAGCAGCACAAACTCTTATTTTCTACACAAACAATAAGTTAAGCAGTCCACACACACACACACACACACCTACCTTGTCTCATTAACATGAGCTGATGTTCATGTTTCGCTGACTCCAGCTCAGCCTCCAGTTTCTCTTTGGCCTCTTTAATGTTCTTGCCCACCTGCTCTCTCTGCTGTTTCTCCATCTCATGAAGAGCTTTCCAGCGAGACGAGTACTCAAACTCAAACGTGCCCGGCTGAGCAAAATGTGGCATTTGCTCTCGTTCCCTGGCAGGAAAAAGAGATAAATATAGACGTAAACGACGACTCCGGTGGTTTACTCATACTGAACGAGACAAAAAAGGTAAAATATTGTTAAAACAACACTTACTTATAGTACTTTGGAATCTTCTGCAGTAGTTTTTCAGGGAGTCCGTCCTCATCATCAAAGTGCTCTGAAGGCTCGACAATGGCTGGACATGGTGTGCTGAGGAAAGGGAGGACAACACTAAATTAAACCTCCTGTGATATTACAAGAAAGACTTTTATTGATGAAAGACAAAAGGCGCCGACTGAGATCAGAGTGATTGCCTGTGAAGTGACTGTTCATAAATCTGCCTTTTTTTTAGGAGTTAAAATTCTCACATTCTTCAAACCTCAATAAAACATAATTCTTTTAGTAGCATAAAATCTGACTCAACCTTTGCCGTACCATGTGCCATATTAAGACTTCAAACTCATGGATGGACTAAAACTGGCCTCCTAGATTGTTGTTTTATTGTCTCACTGGTACATGAATCAACATACATACATTCTTTTAACAACAAAACATTTGTTTTAAGTACAAACTCAAGGTTTTCAATGATACAGGACGAGTAATGAAAGCCTGAACCTTCGTATTGGGAAGAAATATTCCTTTAATAATCAGTGAAGACTACAGAGCCGGGACAGCTTCGCAAATCTGAATCACTGCTTCACAATTTCTTCTATAATGTAGATAATTCAAACACTAATGTGCTGTGATCGTCCCTCCAACCCGCTTCCATCCCCACACACTCCTTACGTGGTCAGCAGCAGCGCTCCCTCTGTGCAGCGCTCCAGGGCTTTACGTGCAGCTGCTTTGTTTGCAAACTCCACAATGCCTCTCCCAGTGGGACGACCACGGTCATCAGTCACCACTATAGCTCGTTCCACCGGCCCAAACTGAGAAAACGCCTGGTGGGAGAAGGTTTTCAGGTTTAAACACCACTGCACAGAATCAAAGCACAATGGAGAAGATATTTCAAAAGCTCTTTTATGAAGATTACCTGTTCCAGCAGCTCGTTTGTTACTACAGGCAGCAGGTTACGCACTGCCAGCGCAGCACCGTGTGTTGCAAATCGGATCCTGATTGGTCGATTGTTCAGAATAGTGCCATCCAGCTCAGCTTTAGCAATCTCTGCCAGTGTCCGGGTTTCCTGGAAGACAAGAGAGGAAAAGGAAAAGGATGTTTATACCCCAGTGAGGCACATTTCAGCATTCATAAGGGCTGTAATATTAAAATTAAACTTTAATCTTCAGTCCAGGAGTTGCACCTGTGTATTTTCTATGAAGACCAACCAATTAAAGTCACATAGTTCAAACTATACATTGCTGTGTTTGTCTGTTTAACACATAAAAGCAACTTAATTTCAATATAATGTCACAGAAGAGAGGAGAAACACCACATCCAGGTAACCTACCGCCATTTTAACGCACAGCACATGAAATAATATGCGTGTAAACTTAGTTAACCTGCTCTAAAACATGTTAAACATACAGCAGGTGATGTATATAAAAGCACATTGCTACTGTGACACACTGAATGTATTTAAAGGGACATAAAAACACACAGTTTGAAGCCAATAACGAGAGGTACATACCAGGCGAATGAAGCCGAAGCCCCGCTCTCTGTTGATGAAAACCTCGTTAATATTCCCATATTTAGCAAACATGTTTTTGAACTCTTCCTCCGGGATATCCACCGGGAGATTACCGACAAAGAGCCGTGAGCGCTGGGTGAACGTCTTCTCACCGGGCTTCCGAAAGCTGGTGATATCCAGAGTCATTTCTTCCGGGCCTTCTTCGCTCCCTTCCCCGGCTCCTTCCGCTTGTTCGTCGGCGGGGGACTGCTGCTGCTGCGGCGGACCCGGGCTGTCTTTGTTCCCCGGTGTCAGCTCCGGAGCCGGGGAGTCGGTCCCTCGCCTCACCGGTTGAGGAGAATTACTAGTCTGCATGTTCGCTTGTTGCATGTTCCGGTTCGCCATGCTCGGTACAGAGCGGGTTCTGTACCGCTATCTCTAGATTCGGTTAACTTTGTGCAGCAGGTTCGAGGACCGGTGTTTGACGGTGCACACGCCTCCTGCGTTCAAAGATGGCGACCGTCCATCCGGTTTTGTCTGGGGGTGTGAAGGAAAATCAGGACGCAACCGGGTTTATTTGTAATCTTCTTCCAGCTATGAGGTGCTGGGGTTAGGGAAGGATTTTGGTGCATTACCGCCACCTACTGCTCCGGAGAGGGAATCAGATAAATAGATTTAAAATAAAGTTTAAAATAATAATAATAAAAAAATAGAATCACGCACACAAAGAGAAAAAAAAAAAAACATATTACTGTTGCACAAAATGATGTTGATTTGACATTTGCCTTATTATTTCACCCCATTATATTTTCACCCCATTATAATAATAGGTTTTAAGGTGGGGGAGGAACCAGGCTCTGCGCTGGCAGTCTCCTCTGCAGACATCCGAGGGAAGCAGGCCCTGTAGAGATGTTTTTAGGGTCCCTCAGCTCGGCCACTTTGCTCCACACTCGGGCTGTTGCCTTTGACCTGGCTGCATCGCGGAAAAGAAGCAAAGTAGCTGGGAGGAGTTTGTCCGATAATGGAAGCAACGTAATCATAACCCCAGCATCACGATTAAAAAGACATAAAGAGGCTACCCGAAGTGACACTCCTCCTCCCTTCATGCACTTTCTAGATGTGCAGTCAACGTTTTATTATATTTTACATCTTTTAAGAAAAAAATCGTCTCTTTGTCTGTCCTGTTGCACGTGTAAAATCACTTATTTTGTCTGACCAGTGATTTAAAACAGACAAAAGAAAGGCTTGAAACTACAATAAATAAATAAATAAATAAAATCAAGGTTGACATTCATACTTTAAATTTGTATTAACACATTGGATGGATTTAGCTGCTGATTATTTTTCTATTGATGGACTAATTGATTGATCAACTAATCCTTTCAGCTCTAAATCTTAAAATGGTAAAAACCCCAAAAGCTCTTGATAATCTGCACGGTGCCTCTTCAGTCAAGTAATGTCAAGTCTACTTTTATCCAAACAGGCCCAAATTCACAGATTTGTCTCAGAGGACATTACAATCTGTAAAACACATCAAACATCCCAACATTAGATCAATAGATTGACAACATAATATAAAGAGTATGAAACCAAGAACATGTCACACAACCAAGTCATACATGAACTAAAGCAGGAGAGCTGTCACTGCCCCCTTTCATCGCATATTTCCAGCATGAACACTGTATATTTTGACTGATCCTCTACGTGTCTTTTGCTGTCTGTTGTTGTTATTCGAGCAGAGTGCGAGTTCCTGAGGTGCTGCTGAAAGCTTTTTCCATGACGGACCGGCCATCTGTCCAGATATTATGGCACATCTGTGTGCATATGCTTCTAAAATTCCTCTGTTTGACAAGGGCCTGAAGGGTTGCGGTCTCCTTCCCTGCTTCCCTGTGAGGGATCCCGTATCCACACAGGTCAGAGGGCTGCTGCCTGTCACTGTTGAGTCTATGTATGAGTCTGTCCACACAGGCTGCATACCATGTGTTTCACTCAAGGAATGTGAATAAGCAAGCGGTTTGTAGGGCATGCATAGTTTTGGAGGGTCTTGTTGTAATTTGCCTGCAGAAATAATGAATGCTCATTAAAGTGCAGAGAGGATTTGCTGTTTGATCTCTTTTGATCCTGAGCCTTCAAGCATTAATCTTACATGTGAGACACTGATCTTTCCCTTAATTAAGTCCATGTTCATTACTATTGGTTGCACATAGCACCCCATGTTGTGTGTTGTAGAGAGCAACATGCCTCTATATTCTTCTGAGAGTAAACCAGTAAAGATAAGAGATTTAGAGAAACATTTCATGTATTTTAAATAATATTTGTATTAGAATTTTTAGCCATTGAACACACATACATTGTTTACACATTCAGCACCTTAAAAAAATACTCATTATGCAGAATGGCTTCTTTAAAAGTGTTTTATTATTATAGAATATTATATTATTCTGATTTTATTACTAACAAATACAATAATTTTAATCTTTTAGTTTGTCAATATGAAACCAATTTTAGATTTTAATACTACTGATTAAATTAGTAGTGCAGTACTGCATCATATCAGACAAGCATCTATATTTTTATGTAAAAAGGAACTAGTAATTAAAGTCAGCTTCATTAAACAGATGACTGACCTTTGAATTGACAATAACTGTCATACATAAACCACAACTTAGTATATTGATCATCATTGTCATTGATTCTGGTACTCGTTTACTATATTTACTTATTTACTACATTTAAAATCTCAAGTAAAAGGTACAGGAGGACTATCAGCAAAACATGCCTGAAGTCTAAATAGTATAAATATTTAGACAGAAACTATTCTAATATTGTAACTATTATTAAATGTTATGTTAGTGGATAGTTAACTGATACTGATACATTCATGCATAGAGATGGTGCTAAATTTAAGTGTTGGTAGGTTTTTATCAAAAAACATGAAATTAAATAATTAAATAACGGTCATATATGTTTTGTATTTAAAATCAGAATCTGTAACATCTGTCAGAAATAGTGCAATATTTGCCTCCATAAAAGTACTCAGACCTTAAAATTAAGTAAAAATACCAATGCAACAGTGTAGAAATACAGGTAAAGGTAGTTTACTGGCAATTATTAGCATCAACATGTACTTGAAGTAGCAAAAGTAAAAGTATTCACCAAGCAGAATGACCCATCAGACTGATATAGGCCCCTGTATGATATAATTGGATCATAATTATTGATGCATTCTGTAATGTAGAGATAGAGCTGCTTTTAATTAGTTTATCCTATAATAATACACCACAATCTATTTGTTGATTATATTTTAAATTAGTAATGTGAATGTGTAAGGAACTAAAGCTGCCAGGTGAATGTAGCGCAGGGGAAGAAAAGAGTATTACTTAATAATGATAAAATTAGACTATATATATATATATATATATATATATATATATATATATATATATATATATATATATATATATATATATATATATATATATATATATATATATATATATATATGTATATATCTTTTACTGGTCCAGCTGCAGGGTTGCTGATGGGAGTAGTAGTGACGTGTCGGTGACGCAGCAGCACCCCCTCCCTCAGTTTGACGGAGCAGCTGCAGGAGAGTTTGATTCTCATCTGCACACTGAGGGCTGCGAGTCTCCTGCGGGCTGATCGAGGACAGAAAGCCGGTAAGTTGCATTATAAAGTCCCGCAGACTCATTATGTGAATATAAAGTTTGAATGCACGAGTGTAATTAAGCGCTAATTTAAGATCATTAAGGATATTGTGTTTGAAACCCAGGCTTAATAATGATCGCGATGAACGGACAACGAATACAGTTTAATACTGTGACACTTTCTTTTTAACAAAAGGATAAAGAGGTTATTAATCCCTTAATGTTAATATTGCAGCAATGTGTTTTATTGTGCGCTGGCTGTCCCATAAATAGGCTTTTTAATTATTAAGGCCGTTTTAATTAACGTGCAGTGGCTGAGATTTGAAGCGCAGCGTGAGTGGAAATCTTTAATCACATGTACGCTGACACCAGTGTATTTCACACATATTTAATGTCATTTAATTCAAACCTACTGTATTTACAGAGTTACATATTTACACCGTGCACTGTTAATTCATGATACTGTAGCCTAGATAATGGTTACTTAAGTACAGTTTGAGAAACTCTAAATTTGTAATTGATTTCCATTTTACACTACTTTATAAATATTGTAGAAATATCTGGCTTCTTCTTAAAGATTCAAGTTTTAAACAAAAATGTGCAGTTTATAAAATATACAGCACATAGGCTTATATATGCATAATTGATTAAACTACCCAACCAATGGCAGCTTCACCTCCACCAGCTGCAACATCAAAATACTACTGAAACCCACTAATAAAGTATATAACGGTGTAATATAAGAAGACATGCTGCATAATTATCTCCTTTGAAGTACATTTTGAGTCATGCTTTTACTTTATAGGATCTGATTACTTCCTCCACTGCTGCATGAGGAAGAAAAAAAAGGTGTTTTATGAAGTTTATATAGATGTTCATTAAGAGCATCCTGACCTTTTTAATCCTTATAAAAACAAGATGTCAGACATTTTACGAGATGCCAGCTCAGCAAGGACCTCATAAAAATCTTACAGTCATGGAGTGACTCAGTAAACCCAGATGGAGATGCTTGGGAAGCAGACTAGTTAACACTTCCACCTTATGTCCGATTAAATATTTAATTTATGACGCTCTGTGCTTTGGTGTTTCAGTCAACAGTGAAGTGTTAAACAGCTTAAGACACAAGAATTCAGACACATATTACTGTCATTTCCACAGTGCAGTCATGCATCTCCGACTGAAAAACACGGCAGAAGTTAAGCCCCTGCCATATGTGTCTGGTCGATAGAAGTGAGCTGCTGGATATCGGCTGAACTTCAAAAGGCAACCCTGGTGGCCTAAATCTTGATAGGATATTCTTTTGACACGCATCACCGACGTGGAGTAATTATCCTTCATCTAAAGCATCAAATAGTTCAAATTTAACATTTTGTTTTACTATATAGAAGCCTAGATCGCTTTATGCTTACTTTAAGGCTTTTCTAACACTTCATTTAGCTTTGTTGGTAAGCAAATTCTCTACCAAGGCTGCCGGTGTAGTTTGACCATACAGTATCTGATGTATTCAAGTTTGAATTAAGGTATTTGAACACTATTATACAAGTATTTAAACCATTTCTGGTTATGTCCACCGGTAATCCTGCCTTCATGTGTTCCTCATATTCTCCCGTACAACACAAGTTTTAAACCTGTCCATCTGCATATTTCCGTTAAAAATTCCAAGCAAATAAGAGCTTTAAATCAAGACGAGTGAGACAAAATGCATACAAGTATGCAGCTGATGTCTAATAAATCTATTCCCTAAATATTCCTTCGTAATATAAAATAATCACAATCACTTTCAACCATCAGGTTTCATTGTGGTTTTGGATGAAGATGACGTTCCCAGTAATATTTACAATGTTTTGGGATCATTCGTGTGTGTCTTAGTCATAAATATGTTAT